AAATCATGTGATTATGAAATCAATTTAGTAATTCATTTCATGACCGGTTTGGCGTTCAAAACAACATTAAGCAAGTCTGGTCCAAGAATAAATTAATTTCAATAGAAGCAGAAAAATCAGACAAACAGAATAAAAAGGGTTGAGGAAAATCGGACGAGGAATAAGAATGTTAGGAATATTTCTAAGACTTAAAAAAGAACATGAGAAATTGAAAATCACTGGACATATTGGCAACGCATTGACATCACTTCCTCACAAGTCACTAATTGATTTTATTTATAATTCAATTCTCACTTTCTGGTGTCTAAGAATAGGCTTTTGTCATAACTTGAAACCTGGCCTCAAATTAATTTTTTGCCCACGGGGGCTCTTCCAAAAAAAAAAGAGCCCCCGGGAGCCTTCTCACGGGGGCGCTTTTAGTGCTGACGGGGGCTCTAATTTTAATACAAAATTCCATTGAATTGGTACTCGTGAAACTCCTTGGTATTTTCTCATTATCATTTATCTAAGTCGGTATTTTTCCTCTTAGAAATTTACTTGTTACATAGCTGTTATTGACTTTTATCCCCGTGAGGACATTTTCTCCATTTCTTCCCGTTCTGCACATAATTTCCTCCTCGTTATTCAGAGCAACCTTATTTACTATTTACATTCTTTCTTTACTTTTAGTCTTTACCATATCCTTCCAAAACACAGGGGCGGATCAATCTTTTTGCTAAGGGTGGGGGAAGGGTATCCCAATTACGATGTGGAGCATCGTCCACGAGCCGCGTAGCGGCGAGGCGATTTTTGTTGTTGCTATTTTGAACCCCCGTATGTGGTATTTTCCTGGCATCTACTAACATGCGGATCATCGTCCACGAGCCGCAAAGCGGCGAGGCGATTTTTTGGTGCTTTTTTGAACCCCCGTTAGTGATGTTTTCCTGGCATCTACTGACATCTAATAATACTGTGTAGGTCTGGACACATGATAGCATTTTTCTGTGCTCATCACATTTTTCCTTGGCAGCCCAAGGGGGAAGGGGGGGGGGGGGGGGGTTAAACCCCCTAAACCGCCTAGATCCGCCCCTGCAACATTTTATGCCTTCTTCTTCTTCTCAATATTGATTTACTGGTCGGGTTACATTATTTGCTGGTCTTTAAGAATCACCAGATTTCAGAGGATTCAAACTTTCACAACGAAAAACTTCTCCATGTTTCAGTCCTTGCGCGATTGTCGATCTCCAGCTCCAGCAGATATTGGGCGTCAGCGTGCACACCGGTACTACCAGCGCAGTATAGCCACTGTGCTGACGGCCGCACCGCGAGCTTCCGTTTGTATCGGGAATACTCGTAGAGATGGTAGAGAAAGCGCCATCTAAGTTCCATTTCATTGGTTTAAGGTTTGAAAATTAATACTCAATATTGTGTTAAAGTTATATCAGAAAAGATAATCTTAATTTTATAATTCCACGGGGGCGATTTTTTATTTTGCAATCGCCCCCGTGAGCAACCTGACGAGGGCGATTATGGAGCTCACGGGGGCGAATCGCCCACTGCCCCCGTGTATTTTGAGCGCTGGTCAGTAGGGTCATCACAATTTTTTTTTTTCCTTTTTTTTTCCTTTCTTTCTTTCTTCTTTCTTCCCCCTTATAAGAAGATGTGTAAGACTCGAAAGAAAAAAAGTCACGAAAGGAAACTTTATATCTGCCGCGTTTCCGGAGTAGTGATCTACAGGGGGGAGGGGGGGGGGGGGGGGGTCAAATTGACTCCCCCAGTTAACATAGGGTTTAGACAGCTGCGAGTATCACAGTGAGTTAGGCCTAGATCTAGATCTAGTCTATGCAATTACTGTCTGATTTTGTAATCAAATCTGGTCACTTTGTCACAATACAGAGCTACAAAGTGTCACGCATTAGGCGTGACATCACGCATTTCGAGGGTCTGAAAACGCTCCAATACACGAAGCGCGCGCTAGATTAAAAAAACACGCTAGGATCTATACCCTCGCTCGTCGAATCATGAAAATGTCACGCATTGCGGATCTTTGAACTTGGCGTCTCTGACAATACAAAGTCAGTACTCGGACTAACTGTTTACTTCAGGTGGGGGGTTTATCGGGTAGAGTCTACTGGGCACAAGGCATTTAGGGAGAGGGCGAATCACTTGAGACATTCAGATTAAAGGGCAGGCCGGTGTGGTAGGCGATTTGTTCCGGGTTCCGCGGAACAAATCGGCGCGCCGATTTGTTCCTCGGAACGAATCTACTGGATCGACTCGTTCGCAGATACGTTCGAAAGCCGCCGTTCTTATCCGACATTGGCCGAACGTTTCTGCTTATATAATCGCGTATATTTTTATTACTTGTGTCGAATAAACATGGTAAAAATAAATTTTAGCTTTATCTTGATACTTTTGTATTTATTGTTGCAATGAAAACCAAATTATTTTTTTTTGAAATATTTTTGTGTTGACCCCGGCCCCCCCCCCACCCCACCCCGCATCTCTTTCATTTAAACTAGAGTCTACATGTACATCATGCATGCAGCCCACATGCATAATTAGATTCTGTGATGATCGAAGCCCGGTAATAGGTGGTTGACGTAACACGATATCATATAAAGCAGCATTCAAACCAAATTAGAAGGCCTGATTAGAAAACACCCCGACATCTGCTTTTACAGGCAAACTAAGCCTATGGCAACAACTGCCCTTTTTGCTAGACCACCCAGTCCCCGTCGCTTCGCGACGGCGCTGTTTGTGGTCAATCATTGGCCGCAATTATCAACATATTTGAACAACGGGAATCTGCATTTCTATACAAAGTTCTCAAATTGGCAATCGTTGGTGTAGCTAATTTGGAAAATTTTGATTGGTTGCAAAGGCCGACCAGAATAGTTCATTTTGCTTTAGGGGTGTACCATGGCGTGTATTCAATAATACGTGAGCACGCACGCTCTCCGATGAGATTCGGAACGGATCGCCTGGCCGGAACCGATCGCCTGTGACTAGCGGAACGAATCTACGAATCCGGAACAAATCGGCGGGTACATATCCAGGCGATCGGTTCCGGAGGAACCGATCGCCTGCACGGAACAAATCGCCTATGACACCGGCCTGGTAGCTAAATAGCAAGGTTGATTTACTGACAACAAAAGTCAGTAAGTACGCCTGGATCTATGTTTGCACAAGACTACGCAAAAAATAAAGATCTAGACTAGACTCTAGACTAGACTAGTCTAGATCTAGATCACTCCAGCAAAGCTAAGTAGAGTCTAGGTCTAGATCTAGATCTGCTAGAGTCTAGATTCTAGGCCTAGTAATAATAATCTAGTCTAGATCTAGGCCTTCATATTTATTTTTTACGTAGGCCTGGATCTAGATCTAGACGAGTCTGACTTTAATTTAGAAGTCTAAACCCTAGACTAGTCGACGATCGACTTCATTTTTTTTAGTACTTTAATTAAAGTTTAACTTAGATCTAAGTTTAGATCTATCATCATCTAGACTTCTAGCCATGCAAAGTGTGACTTCTAATGATTTCTTTTTAAAACTAGAGTCTAGTGAAATCTAGACACTATTTTGGTTCTTGCAGTTTATTGCAGGAGTTGCTGTTTCGATAGTTAGGTTGCAATAAAACTGAATTTTCGGTTCTAAATTAAATAAACAGACAGCCAACTCCGGATACTTGTATTTTCCTGCGGTACAACGTATGGCAGGAAAATGTTGTATATGCGGATCCGTTTAATGATTACGTAATGGGAGTGGCGAGACGCCACGATCCCGCGAAGCGGGATGGTTTGAATAACTTAGGCAGGTGTAAGTTATTGTATTGAGAAGGAAAGGAATGTTCAGATAGGCATAATAAGAGAGGGAAATGGGCGTGGCAGCCATTCTAGCTTTGTCAGACACTAGATACACGACACAAATTTCAAGTGGAAATTTTAATACAGAACAATAGTTTGGTGTTTGTTTTTGTAGGAGGTATAGAGATTCAAATAGATTATTTTTATTGGGACGATTTGCCATTAGGTTTTTCCAGAGCATTTGCCTTATTTAGTTTATCTCTGGTTTTTTCAACCTAGGGAATCGGTCAGGGCGTGGGGCAATTAAAAAGGCAAAGCCCCATGCCGGTTAGGGATCAAATTTAATATTTTGCAATGTTCTATACACGTCAGTATATACTTAGGTGTGAAAGTTGACGATTGAGGTTGAAATTATGCAATGTTAAGGCCATGTAAAATTGATTTCATGTTGATCGTCCCCGCCCGCTTCCTTTTTGGGGGCCGCCTCCTATTTTTTGTTATTTGTTATTTTTTTTTTTTTTTTTTTTTTTTTTTTTTTTTTGAATTTTTTTTTGATTTTTTTTTTTTTGAAAGAAAAAAAACATGAAAAACACTGCTAAAATGGCTCTATTTCTGATTTAAAAAAAAAAAAATTGTCGGCGGCCATCTTGAAAAAAAATAGCCTCGACTGTCAGGGAAAATGTACCGAGCGGCCATTTTGAGCGGCCATTTTGAAATATCAAATATCAAATAACATGGTACACCCTCCTCCTCTTTTTCAAAAAATCCGGACGATCAACATGTAATCAATTTTACATGGCCTAATGAGTTTAAAAATTGAAATTAGATCTATTTTGATGTTCAAAATGATATAATTAATAACAAAGATTGTTCATGATTGTTCAAAAAGATACAATTCGATTAAAAGCTGGCTTGGTCGGTCTGGCAGGCTTCCCAATAAAGTTTGTTATTGATGTAATCTGTGAGTCATTAACTGAGTAATAAAGGATGAGAATATACTTACAGCATCGGATAACAGTAGTGACCGATGCCAAAGTGTCCGGCACTAGGCCGGGCGCTACACGCAGCTTCCGCTTTCGACTCTTGCCCACTGCAGGCCGCACGAAAATGGTCAATCACTCGCACACGAGCTATCATAATCTATCTTTTTTTAACCGCCAGAAAAGTGTTGACAAATAAAAAAGCACATATATAAAAAATATGACTTGTACTTACGGGATTGCTACGAAAAACAATTTCAAGCTCAGAAATTGGGTTCATTGGGGTTCATTGTTGCGCAGAAGAGTAGACGACACTGAAAGCAAAACTGCGCATGAGCCAAGTCGTAGACTCGCCGCTAGTCGCATCTTTAATTATAAACTATTTTTTTCACCGTGAATCCATTGTAACTCACGCTTGATTTCCAAGGGCGTTTATAATACGGAAATCGGCTATTGAGTTACAGTTGATTGTGACAGTGGCGGATCCAGGCCCCCCCCCCCCCTTGAGAAAAAAATCATGTAAAATCACGCGATTTTTACCCTTTTTGTGGGTTGGCCCCCCCCCCCTGGCGCTCAAGGGGGGGGGGGGGGGGGGGGGGGGTGCAAATTTTAAAATTTTCTAGGACCAAAAAAAAATTGTGCTCACTACCCCCCCCCCCCCCCACCCCCCCCCCCCCCCCCCCCCCCCCCCACCCCCACTGAGCGAATTTTCGGCTGGCTGAGTCGTTGCGATTTTTTTGGGGAATCAAAAAAAAAAAAAAAAAATGTCCGCTTCAAATTTTCGGGAGCAAAAAAAAAAAAAAGTTGAGCCCCCTCCCTAAGAAATCCTGGATCCGCGCCTGGATTGTGAGATACGCTGGATTATAATGATGAATCCAACTTACGCTGAATCTTTATAATACGGGGCCCTGATAACTGTATCGAGTTACTTGCTATACCAGTGCTTTGAACAAACAGGATATGAAGTGAAATAACACATACGGTGTCACGTTATGTTCAGAACCTCACAAAACTTGGTATTGTATGGAACATCAAATGACCAACATGACCAAAGACCTTTAACTTGCCCGTATTTCAAACCTAGAACTGTGCTTATCAATGACACTGAAGACTGGAAATCATGCACCAACCGACGCCAACGGTAATATATTTTAACTCTTGGTATTTATCTAAAAACAATGAAACATTTTAATGAATAATTTACATCCAACACAAAAACATAATGATATATAATATTTCATTTCCTTATAACTCGAATGGCAAGTTCACATAATGTGCAAATTTTACACTAAAATAAACTTTAAAAAATCGAAATCAAAACATCACTTTGTTGGATGAGGTCGAGAGCAATAAAAACACATTTGATACAACATACATTGGAATAAAAGCAATACCATCGTTGGAATGTAACTGTACAGAAACACGAAGCGAATTAAGATAATAATTAGCAAAGACAAAGACAGATCTGTCTGAATTTTAAGAAAGCAATATGAGAAATAGAATAAGAAGACATAGGTTCATTTACCTCTACAAGCCAGGTAAATATCACAATAGAGATATTTTAATATTCTGACACCCGTACATGTCATTACCCCAATGTTTCGACATTACCAGTTTTCGATATTCTAGTTTCATTACCCCGATTTTGACGACACTATGTTTCAATACCACTATCTTTTGTCACCCCAATAATGAAAAACATTTATGCTTCGATATCCTTCGTTTTGATACCCATGTTTCGACACCCTATGTTGCGACACTACTTTGTTTCGTCACCCTTCTGTTTCGACACCTTAATACGTCTTCAGCTCTATGTTTCGACACCCCTTATTTTTCGACACCCCTCTGTTTCGACACCTCTCTATTTCATCACCTCTATGAGACGACCTCCCTATTTATCGACACCCCTATGTTTCGACACTCGTATTTTCTGACACCCCTGTGTTTAGACACCCTTATGCGTTGATATCCCTATGTTGGGACAACATTATATTTCGTCACCCTCTGTTTCGACACCCCTTTGTTACGACACCCCTGTATTCTGACTGCCCTATGTTCAAAACCAGTATTTCCGACAATCCTATATTTCTTTTGCCCTTATGTTTTGATGGTTTCTTCACTCCTATTCTCTGACATCCCATTTTCCAGACACTTTTCATATTCATTATCTATGGAGAACGTCCTATGCATGAACGATTGTGATATTTTCATACACATGTAGGCTGTATTGTGGTTTTATGACGGAACAGCGAGGTGCGGAACATAATGGTTGTCGAGACACAGGGACAAATCTAAATCTTAAAACTGTATCAAATTAATTTTACAAATCTAAACTTGATACTATGCATCGGCGTAAATATTATAATCTATCCTCACGCAAAACGACGTGAATAATCATCTCCTCACTCGGCTTACCGAGAATAACAATTGTTTGTGGTTGAAGTTTCATTGCATTTCAATTCACTGGAAATATTTTGTTTCCACGACTCACAAATCCACACTAAAAATTACATCAGCAACCCTCAAATTTCACTAACAGATTACATTATCAATCAATCAATCAATTAACCTACATAGAATAAAGATGGATTTTCCTCTGTGTATTAATTCAATCCTAATGTCAGTTCAACCAGTAATTATGCATTCATAACTAGCATGACGGGCAAGAGAAATTGACATTTTTAAATGACTTGTGCCATTGTTTTTCAAAGTATTGCTACATAACATATCTGAACTTTAATTCTACAATTTCTTGCTACTTTGATACCATTACAGTCAATGTTAGTTATCAAGTAATGCCCCTATAATGATATAGTGTAGGTAAAGTTTTGGGTCCACTGTTGAAATTAAGAATTCGGTTTAATAGTGTAGGAAATTGATGGGACACGACCAAACCGACTCTCGAAATCGACTGATTCTTCGGCCATTCGGTTCCATGTTTGGTCTATAATTGTTGGTCCGATGTCGGTCATGTTGTGATACCTCAGTCACACCGACGAGACCGATGCCACACCGACAACATAACGAACAAAAACTTGACATTACCACGAATGACCACCAATCGGCCGGTTTGGAATCGCTTGTGAGGTGTGACTGACGTATTAGCGTGAAATCAAATAATCGATTCCACTAAAAGTCATGCATTAGGATATGATTGCCCATGACAGAGCATATTGTTGATGGAATTGTACGGCTGCTGAGGGATGTTGTACCCGTTCATGGTGGAAGGTTGCGAGGTAAACGACGGGAAACTCTGAGGGAAGTACATGTTACCGTACGGTTGAAACACTTGATGCGGTGCGTTAGACTGTGCATGTATGTTGGTCTGAGGGTAGTTATGTTTGGCGCCCTCTTGGTTGATATAGCCATGATCTATGGTAGATGTAAAGTCATAACTGGTGGCGCCGTTGGATTGGTCCCCAGGATCCGACAGCTTTGGAGAGGTGCCTTCAGATAGCTGCTCTTCGGACATCTTCTGGCGTTTGGCAGCCTGACCCCCACTGTCGCTCGAGTTGGACTTGGAATCCGGGGAGCAGTCTGAAGAAGGTGGTGTATTGAGCCAGGTCATGTCCTGTCTGTCTAGTAACTTGTGGGTATCTGGACAAGCAGTAGACGTGTGCATACTGGGGAAGTGGGGAATGTCTAATTGTGGCGATGGCTCACCAGGGGTAGGAAGATCAACGACCACTCCAGCGGAGGAACGGTAATGAATGGTTTTGCTATCTGCGTTAGCGGTGATGGAATCGGACGGTGAAGGCAGTTGTCCTTCATCATGCTGCTGCTGCTGTTGCAGCATCTGCTGTCCTTGCTGGGTGCTACAAATCGAGTTCTGCACAATGATCGGGGCTAACGATGTAGGCACTGGAATCGGGAACGGCTTCGGAGAAGACGTGGACGAGTCCGGTGGGCTGATTGGCACGAAGGTGGGGCGACTTAGATGCGAGGCATTCCCCACTAACTTGAAAGCGGTCTCGTCTGGATTAGGAAGCCGGAAATTTCCGCCCGTCGGACCTGTTGTACATCCTGCTGGAGTTTGGCCTATGCTGCCGGCTGGCGCCAATTGCGGCGGGCGGTGGTGGAATGTTGGGAGAGGTAGGTGAGGGCGCTGTTGATGCTGGTGGTGCGGGGGTGGATGATAGTGGGCATGGTGGGCGTGGTGATGGTATGGGTGCTGATAGTGACCGGACTGATGAGAGATCATGGCAGGAAACTGACCCATGGCGATGTTAGCTGCATTCACTACCGGTGCAGGGCAGGAATTCCTGCTGACCGTTACGTTCTTAGATCGGGGAGCATTCGACAGAATACTAATGTCTCGTGGTGACAAGCTATCACAGAATTAAAAAAAAGGAGAAATGTAAGTTGCCATGGCGTAGGTATGGAGAGCCCATTGCCGGAAGAAAAGAGAGGGAGGGGAAAAGGGAAGGGAAGGTAGTTAGGATAGATAAAGATAAAATAGCCCCTATAACCCTCCCCACATCATTCCCTTACCCCATGGACTTGTCTTGTGGCATTTTATTCACCAATTATTTTAAGTGCCCCTCCTCCCACGACCGCCACATTACATCAGCCCCCCCCCCTCCCCCACCTCACTAGCCGGACCCATGCTAGGCTATTATTGCTAGTTGAAATTTGCAAATTGATACCTTAGAAGAAAAAAATTAAGGATGATCTTATCTTTATTAATAATTAAGCATACTGTAAATCATCAACCTAATTGTTTATGTTTTGTTATTTACTATTAAAAAAGAAAATCAACTCACGGTTAATTTCAATACCCGATTCCCTATTGAACATCAAAAATTGAGGTTGATTTTCAAAAGTAGTTACGACCGTGTTGATTATGGTTAAAGGTTTTCCCATTGCAGTCATTCTTATAATTATAAGAATTAAGATAACTACTCCAATTTCAGTTTTGCACTTGAAAGCGAGAATAGATAACTTACTTGTCGTAGTTATCTCTGAAGCCTTTTGCAAACGGATTGTAGTCGATTTTCAGTTGTGTTACCTGAATGAAAAAGAAAATAATTTGATGGGTCAAAAAAAAATATAATGAAAATATGCCAAAGTAATATCCTTTGGCAAGATATTAATCTATATTTGCCACTCTCCACCTAGGTGTAGTAAATGGGTACCCGGTAGGAAGGAATTACTTCAATGCTTGAGCGCCTTATCATGGCAGCTGGAATAAAGCCGGGTTAATAAAATGATTGCAAGACCCTTATTTGAGCGAGATAATATTTCACCGTCATAATGCTGTTTCAATAGAATAAACATAAATTTATCCGTTGGAGGACATAAAAGATTATTTGTGTAATATTGCTGACAGAAGTTGGGATTGGAACATCATCTCTTTCTCTTTCATTTTCTAGATCATGCATTTGAAGCCATCCATTAAACAAAAAAAGATATTTACTTCAACTTTTTAACAAGATTATTCTATCAAAATTCAAGAATGCAACAACTTCTCATCTTTAGTTTTTGAAATCGTCTGAAATCTTTAATTCTATGATAAATGTTATCAATATGAGACGTATAGGCACGAAGGCAAAAGATAACGCTTTATCACACGGTCATTGTTTTATATATAGAGATATGATCAAAGCAAGTCCTCTATGATTCAATAACGCAACGCAATCCACACCTTTCAATTAGTAATCAGAGTAATTACTGTATTCAAGATAACATTGAGAGTACAATGATAGAGTAATACTAGTAATTAAGATGAGTGATGAGAACTACTTACGTCAGTATTTTGGTAGGCCGTCACGCCGAAGAATTGCGTCTCGGGAAAGCTATGGGTTTGGATAGAACGGCTCTCACTCAACTCTAGGACGTGAATTCGAGGCTGATACTGGTGCATCGAGTTTAAGATCACCTGTATGAATTATAGAAGCGATAATTGTTTGGTAATTATAAATATTTGTATATAGGAAAGAGGTTAACAAGAACGCATGATATACGAACGACAGTAATAGAAAGATGCAAAAAACATACTCTGTCAAAAACGATTGAATTGAATGGGCAGTCTTCATCAGTAAAATATGAAACCGAACATTTTTTGTATGAGCTCTGGCTATTTTTTGAGGTTCTACGATAAATGCTCAGGCGACCTAAAACCCCAATTGCAATCCTCCTTTTAAGGAGCTCGGAACTCCTGTCGCCCGAGGAAATATCGCCGGAGCAAACCTCGAGTCACCAAAAGAAAGAAAAAGAATCAAAAGAAAATCCGGGTAAAATCAAAGAAGATGATGGACAGGGGGTGGGGGTGGGGGGGGGGGGGGGCAAATGGGAATAAATGAGAAATCGGAACGCGGTTGTAAAGGGGCGTGTACAGCGCCAATGGAGAGGAAGAGAGACAGACAAAGAGAGACACAAAGAAAGAGAGAGAGAGAGATAGATAGAGAGAGAGAGAGAGAGAGAGAGAGAAATATGGAGAGGGAGAGAGAGAGAGAGAGGGGGGTGGGGTGGGGTGGGGCAGAGAGACATACAGAGACAGACAAAGAGAAGAAAGAAGAGAGAGCGAATGAAAAAGGGGCAAAAAGTAGAAGAGAGAGGGGAAGAGGGAAAGAAAAAACACAGAAAGAGAAAAAGAAACATAAAATGAGGGAGATTAAAAATAGACACAAACGGAAAATGTGTTAGAGAATATGGATACCTTTAAAAAAAAATCTGAAATAGAATACTCACAAATCCATTGTCTTTTGCCCGATGATTGGTCAGTTTGAGCTTACTGAAAACGATGTCTTGATGCATCCAATGCAGTCCATTGCTAGGCGAATCAGGATGAAGATAGATGTTGCTTACTAGAGAGGAAGAATACAAAAAAAGGGAATAATCTAGTATTTCTCTTCGTCTAGAGCCAACGCACATTACAATCTACGATCCGATACTGGAAGAATTTACAATTTTTTTAAACATGAACAATTAAAGTTTGAGACTATAATTGCTGAAGTAATTACTGAAGTACATGTAGTCTTTGAATGGTAGAATCGAAATTTAAGGGGGGGAGGGAAGCTTCCTCGTTTGAGGAATAGCCGAATCGGTTCCAAACCATTTGTGACGTCAGACCAGTGCTATTGTCAACGAGTTGAAGCCGATTTGACCTTGACTTTGAATAGAGTGCTTAAAATTCAACCGGTATTTCGAGTTACAATATTCATTTAAAAAAAAATCAATTTAAGTTGATTTAATTATCCATAGCCCAAACCGGATTGCAGGCGGATCGTATAGTATGCGATGTGTTTAGATTATTCATTTGAATTTGAATTTCTAGGGTCCCAGATCTTGCTATTGAGGGGGCAAGGTATTCATTGAGAAAGGGGGTTGGGTTGATCGTACTCGATGAATGAAATGCTAGAGAGCAAAGGTATCGAGTGTGAGGAACTAACAATGTCGTCCTTGTCGAATAAGACTGACTGAATGAATAAATGAAAATATGAACTCATTTCTATTCATATTATCTTGAAATACCTTTTGGGATGTTCTCGGCCTGCCCGCACGGTATCCATTTACCACATTGAAACTTCCACTGGTTTGGGTCACACAGCACCATGTCAACAAAGACATTGTATTGCGAGGTTGGATTGAGACCGGTCAATTTGAAGACGAGCTGTGGAAACATTCGCCTAGAAACAATTAGGAAATGAAGAAAAGTGAGAGACAAAGCAAGACGTATTAAAGCATGATTAACAACAGTAATGGCGAAAGTTGAAGGTGATACAAAATGTGGTTATAATTTAGTTTGAATGTAGGAAAATGTAGAGACAGAGAGAGACAGAGAGGGAGGGAAAGAGAGAAAAGAAAAAGACAGTGTGGGTGTGTGTGTGCGTACATCATTTTATGGTCCCATAACAATTTGAACTGAGTATTTGTGTTAGGCCTATCAGTTTTCTTTTGGAAGTGAATGGTTTTTTTTTCCTTCTTTTAAGTGGGATTTGAAAAATAAAAGACCAAACGAAAGAAATGGAGCGGAACAGGTTTAGCATGTTACATAAGCATTTCTCATGATATTACCAGACAAGTTAATTTGAGCAAATCCTACATGATATCTACAGACATCATCAGATGCTTCAGACAGACCTACCCTCATATTTCTTCCCATAATCTTTCCTGTTTACGAACCACAAGCATACAAGCAAATTAATGAGCGCGGACACAAACAAGTCCACGGTCGTAAAAATACATAGTCACGCGCTGTTCTGACGCGTTTCCTTTGTTCATCATCGCAGGATGCTATGTTTTTGTTTACCAATAAACACATTAAAAACACATAATTCGTGGGAGCCGAAATACCGGTACCCAACAGGGGATTAATTAATGATCCCTTGATACGCCGCCATGTGTCACATACCGACACTAACATTCCGACAAAAGATCGATTTTTATTTACATGAAGCTGCCCGATAATTATGTACGAAGTATATAATATGTACGAAGTACATGTAAATGTACGCTGTACAATAAAAATATAATGTAAAGAGTTTCGCATATATATATATATTTTTATTTTTTTTTTCGAAAATCATGTTATTTGTTCATAAATATTCCATTATTCTCGTAATGTCTATTTAAAAAAGTGTTTATCATAGCTTTCAACATAATTTACTTGTTAGATTAGAAAACTACTTTTAATCAATATGTTTTGGCTTAATTAAAGCTTCAAAACAATACAGATATAGTGAATGTGAATCAATTTAACTAAGAACATAAGAATTTTATGCCAGAGAAGAAGCTACAGTCATGAAATATGTAATTTCCATGTATAATGCGTTTATAGAAACCAAATTTAGTTGCTTATCCATAATGTCTATCTCTATGTTGTGTTTTTTTTGTACATAAGAATAAGATGATGAAACAGGTTAAAACATTGTCAAATTACGTAGGAGAATCAGGGTGCGAAAGTGAGAGAAAGAGAGAGAAAGAGGAAGAGAAAGAGAGAGAGAAAGAGAGAGAGAGAGAGAGAGAGAGAGAGAAAAAGAGAGAGGCGAAGACAGTGGAAGGTGTGATATATATTCGGTATATATGAGAAAGTAAAAAAACAAAAAACAAACAAACAACAAAAAAACATATCATTTCAAATGCGATACATTTCAATAGAATGACAGCGAGGGTAAGAAACAAGATCTTGCAGAATGATATCTCTTTTATAATATACAAACAGATATTTCAAGATAGAGTAAAGGACACAATTTGATTGAACATGATTCATTTTGAAGAGAGGGAGAGAAAGAGTGGGAAAAAGAAAGAGAACAAAAAGGGGGAAAGGGAGGGTGTGAGAGAGAAAGAGAAAATAAAGAGAGAAAAATAGGGAGAGAGAGAGAGAGATAGGGAGAGAGAAAGAGATGCGGAAAAAGGCGCATCGTTGTCTTGGCCGTCCCAGGAACCCACTTGAAAATATTTAGTCTATAATATTGTTCATTTGGCGATACCAGATGGCAAGCAAGGCAAAAAACAAATTATCAATTCGAGGTGAGATTTAGGATTGAGAATTAATAGGATAGTCTGGCTTATATTCTAACACCTCTTGATTGAAATGTGTTAAAAATAAATGAGGTGGACCCATCTGTACAACGTTCAAAGAATTCTAAAGACTCTTTTTTTGTTAAAGTGCCTAAGCTGCAATCAAGTCATGTTACTTTGACTCAAGTGATCATTATTTTCCATTCGTTTATGTCATTGACGTAACAACGGGTGACACAGGGGCATACGCCCTTCCTCCTATTGCACGGCGAAAAGAAAAGAGAAGGGGGACGGGGAAGAGAGAAAAGGAAAAGGGAGAGGAAGATGGCGAGACAAGAACATGGTATTCGTGTTTTAATCAGAGGCTGCTGACCCCCCCCCCCCCCGGTAGTCCACACCCCTTTTGTAAAGCATTTTTTAAAACTCTATCTTCCCCCTTTTCCTTCATTTCTTTTCGTGCTCTACACTCGTTTTACCTGTCACCAAGATAGCAGATGTATATTGTCCGTCTGATGTTCTGGATATTTTTTTAATATCAGACACAAATATAACACATCGAGAGAGCCCCCCCCCCCTCCCCTCACTGCAGAAACTAGAAACAAAGGAGTCCCATCGAATTTCCTCAAAAACTTTGGATAATTTGCGGGAAATCAAAAAAAGGCGCAAACAAAGTAAAGACAAACAAACAGGCAAAACATAAGACATCTGAAAAGGTCATGTATTGCCTTATAAAAACCAAAGTACTGTTTTATGTTTTGATAAAAAATAACTTTCTGATACGTTTGGGGTGTCGAGGAACCAATGAAAGTCCCAGATGGAATAATTGTTTCTAAAAATAAATTTGTCAGTAATTCTGGCATTTCAAAAGGCGTGTTTACAAAATGCATTTCCAAATGGAAGAAGCTAATAGCTACAAAGCAGACCGATTTTTGTTCTTTTTTTTCTTCCAAAAAAGCAAAAAACTTTTCAACACAGATATACTTCTTTGTCTGCACAGTTCAGATAATGTTATTTTCTCTTCGTTTTAAAAGCGTTTGCTAGATCCTTTAAGAAGTTCAATAAATGGTTAGTGATGCACTCAAATTCGTACGTTACTTTGAAATGAACCGACAATGCGGATTATAAATTACATTTACAGGTGTAATGTGTCAAGTACACCAATACGCATGCCAAGTCCAAGATGCTGTGTAAAGATTATAACCGTCATTACCACTCGGTATTAACAGTTGACGGATTAAACAGGTGCAGAATAGAAATAGATATCTATACGTCGGAACTTTAATAAGGAGACGCCATGCGGTTTCATTGACTGGCGAGTAAACATTAAATCTGAGTTCAAATTCATCCCGAGTCTTTAGTCTTCTTATGCAATAATAGGCAGGTCAAAGTATTTGGCGATTTTATTTCCCGTCAGTAACACAGTATCATGCAATGATAAACAAAGTTAATTTAAAATTATCAGTTTCTTGTTTGTAATAATCAAAGCTCAAGTTGGGTTGTCCTTTTAAAGAAAAACCAATCCTCAACAAAAATACTAAGTTGCTTTCAAATAAGCATAAAATCAGAGAAAATTAAAACAAATCAGGAAAATTAGACAGCTTTACAAAGAGTACTTAAGATACTCCGACATAAAAGAGGAGCTTGTAAGGTATTTGGGCTTTGTGACTACCATGCTGAAATTTACAATTCACTTGTGTTAATTACACGAAAAAACTTGAATAATCCTCTATTATGACTCGTAAAACAGGCGAAGATTGGAATTAGTTTTTACATAATCCTGTCAAAAAAAGGTAATACTAGAATTTGCATAATCAAACACTTTTGAGTTATTAAATGGAGAAAATTTCTTTTTCTTTACATCCAGACCAGTTGGAAGCAAATTTGATTTAAGGGTACTTCGGTGTTTTTTTTTTCTCTCAAGGGAGATACATCCCCTTCCTGGTGGACAATTTTTTCAATTATCATATTTTTGTAATGTACGGCCATGTCTTTTTGAGGGGTGATTTTAGTAAATGACAGCAAATGGTAATTCAAACGTCTTATTGTTACTTTTTTTAGATGTAATTTTTGTTCAAATGAAAGAAACCTTATTATATAATAGTTATCATATGCTTATTGTCTAGGCAATTTAATATGGAGAAACGAATGAAGATTCATTCGTGAGGGAGAAAGAGCGGTAGAAAAGAAGGAAAGATTTCCTTTTGCGATAGCCACCTAATTCACTATGTCATCTAACCCTAACCCTATTGTTATCATGTTTTGTATATCATATTATTATTAGATATATATCATTCTAAGCTGCACCCATATTTTTTTTTATTCAAGTTGAGTGGCTGTCGCAAAAGGAAGTCTTCCCGAAAAAGAAATACAATTGTATTATGTTCTTTTTGCAAATGCATCACTTTTCTTTTGTTGCATTTTACGTACCTTCCTTGTTTAGTGATGATCATTTCTGTCTTGTGCTGATGAAACTTCCGCCACAGGTCTCGGTTGCAGAGGTAAACCGACGCCTTCCCCGGCCCATTGGCGACCTCTACATGCTGGTGCCCTGCTGGCGGAGGGTACGGCTGGCTGACGATGTGACTTGAGAGATGACTTTTCGCGTTCTCGTCCTCCTGCCCATGCGAGGCTCTGTTGTGATGGTGGACGAAGCTATGCGACGATGGCGGACCCAAAGAGCCGCCAATGAGCTGCTGTGGCAAGGTATGTGTCGTCTGGTGCAGCGGTGGTGTGTTTTCAACAAAGAATGGCGGGGCATGGATATCGCCATGCTCGAGTTCTTTCTTCATGTCAAATTCCTGCAACGGTTGCTGCTGCTGTTGCAGATGTTGCTGAATTTGATTGTGGTTTGCACTGGTAGAAAGTTTGGCATCCGTGTTGCTACAACCTGACGAAGTTGTTTGCGAGTTGCCGTGAAGTGTAAACCCAGTACCATGGAGATTATGGTTCAGTGCATCGTTTACTGAAGGGGTCTCGATCTCCGATATTTGCCGGTGGGCTTGATTTGTTTGAGACAGGTGCTGGAACCCATCTGCATAAGGAGCCGCCCCGAGACGCACCTGTTGGCTATGCGAAGTGGCGGGCGGCGGGGTTGGAATGCTTGTGAAGTTGGAGAGAGTGCAATTAGTATTCAACAGGTATTGCGGTAAATTCGACTGTTGCTGTCGTTGGTTTTGCAGGGACGGGAACGGATAACACCGCTGCGAATTCCCATCCGAGTCATGATGTGCGTTAAAATCATGTAAACTAAATTGTTCTGCATTTTCATGTGCATGTCCATTCCTCTGAAACAAATCAGACTGCCTCCCTGTTTGAGAATTCTCTAAATTGGACTTGATCTCACATAACTCAAACTTGTTGCAAGGGTAGTCGTTATTTGGATCCCCGACGTTATGATCAGCGTTTGAAATTAATTTATTGGTGTGAAATTGTTCGACTGTTGACTTTTCGCAGTTGGTATCTTCAGATCCATTGCTCCCGTCATCTCTATCAAGATTCTCATCTTCATAAACTTCATCGCTTTCTTCTGGTTCCGTCTTTTTTAACTTAGTTGGATTTGTTGCAGTATCGTGTTCAATATCCTGATCAGTCGTGTGTTGAAATTCTTCTCCCATCATGTCTCCTCAAACTGGAAAAAAAATCGCACCAAAATCAAAGGCGCGAAGGCGTTAGAATTCAATCCCTTTAAATTAGGGTTAGAGTCGGAGTGCGAAAATTCAGTCACAAATTACATGGATAAACACAGAAGCGAGAAGGCGCGAACGCTGATGAAATTCTCACTGCGATTTTAACACTTTTTCCGAAATTCCCCCGGTGCGATTTGTATGTGATCATCTCATTTAGGCGTGAGACGAACTGCCATCATATTTGCAAGGAACTGTCAAAAATAAAGCTGCGAATGCTTCTGTAACAAAAAGGGTGACCGAAACCGCCCACAAGTTTTGTTCAATAACTTTGCATGGATTGAGCACACGCTTCGCTTGGCTGACTTTCTTTGTATTACGTCATGAGTAAGTCAACCACTTAGGGGACTTGTTAATGAGGCACTTCAGACAGATCTCGTGGGGCTACCAGACAATGGAGAGTCGCGCGTTGATTGGCCGCCAGGGAGGCACGCGACTCGAAATAACATTTAGACGACGACGAAGAAGAAAAAATAGTCTGGAAGAATAACCATCTAGAACAAAAATGAACATATATTTGTGGAACCACCATATGTCATTGTGTTTTGATAGGTATAATAGAGGCAAATCTGGATATAAAATATTTATTCAGGAAAGGGTTAAAAATACGAAATTTAGATCTAAATAACTGTGAACTGAAAAGAGCAGTTTAAGGTAAACCTCTTAGACGTAAGCATACATATAATTATATTGCATAACATGAAACTTCTGCCATGTAAAAAAAAAAAGTGCAATGTACAAAGGTTTCTTTAACAAGATGCCAAGATGGTAATTATTGTCTTTATTATCGTGAAAAGTTGAAAAGCCTTACACGTTTTACTCACTTGAGCATTGAATAACCAGCGGAGCCAAGGGTGAGGGAGGTGAGGAGGGAGGGCTTAAGTTTCCAGATATGATAGTCAAATCTGTATTTTATCGATCCTTTCAGATGGATACCCATCTTCAGCATGTAAACTATGTCTATAATGATTATGTCTGGATCTGTTTTTAAAGCAAAGTCATGCACACATAGTGCTACGGCTACTTCTATTTCTCTTGCTGCTATACTTCTACCCAATATTACAACAACAAGAACAACAACAACAACAACTACTACTGCTACTACTACTACTACTATACTACTACTACTACTACTACTATACTACTACTACTACTACTACTACTACTACTACTACTACTACTACTACTACTACTACTACTGTACTACTACTACTACTACTAACCTACTATAAACCACTACTGTACTCTACTAATACTGCTACTGGTGTCATATATCTATAATTATATGGAATAAATTCCATGAAATCTCATGTGACGACATCATGAGTAAACCAGCGGTCGAAGTTCACGTCCAACCGGAAGGGATTAGTTGACCGATCACCAGACAGGAAGAGGTCAATGACCGCTTTGTGTTATCACTGTAAAGCACGCACAGGGGCCTTATAATTATTTTGTTTTTGCAATGTAGCCCTACATTCACACATCGATGATCGAATAAATGGACTTGTTAATTGTGTAAATGATATAACTTACATTATTTAAAAAATAGTAACATATCTTGCTAGAGACCATAAAAAAGAGGGGAATGAGAATAAAGGAGAAGAACAAGTCTTAGAACAAGGAAAGAGGAGGAAGAAGAAGAAGTAGCATAAGAAGAAGAAAAAGAAGAAAAAGAGGAGATTCAAAAGAAAAAGAAGAAAGAGAAGAAGAAGAAAAGTGAGATGAAAAAGGAAAAGACGAAGAATGTACTGAAGAAGGAGAAGAAGAGACAGAAGAAAAAGCAGCTCGGACACAATTATTAATGATTTCATCGGCTAGAAATTAATGTTAGAAATTATAAAGAATGTTGCTGGGTTTTTTTTTTGGAGGGGGGAGGGGGGGGGGTAGAGAGGTATATAACACGGTCCTATAGCGGTTATTAATGGGTAGTTAATGATAATAAATGATAATTAATAATAACACCTCTCGAATTTTATAATTTTTGCTTGCTCGCTTCGCTCGCTCGAAAATTAATATTCAGACCATCACACCCAACTGCAAAGTATGTTGTTTAATTAAACAGTATCTTGTACCACGTAAAAAAGAAACAAATATTGATAGAGTTCATGGGAGTGTAACCATAATCATGACGATGTATAAGGAAATACCTATGTCTAAAAAATGGTGTATAGGTTTTGTTGATGTTTCCCTTTGTAGGTGCCCCTTTTTTTCCTGAAAGTGCTCTTTTGTTGGTGCCCCATTCCTATTTTGGAAGACGCTCCGCCGCCCCTGCGTTATATTACTTTGTGGCTATAAGGATTTTGTTCTGATATGACCCCCTCCCCCCCCCCAAAAAAAAAAAAACCTTTTTGCTCATTACGCCACTGTCCATAATTATAGCTACTTGAGAGAGATAGTTGTGACACGCGTATTTACGCGTACGTGAGATGGTCCAAAGGAGCTCCAAAATACATGTAGTTTGCTCCCATGTACTATCTTTCTTTCAGTCTCAGATCTTAGTGAAATGCTAGACCAATCAGAAGCAACTGTTTCTCATCAATACGCTATGAAAATAATCCTATTATCACCCTCAAATTAGCAATGTCCTATTAAAGCTCACAAAACAAAATAAATTAAGACTCATCAGTTGCAGGGACGCCAGGCAATTTTTTTTTTATCATGCACAAGCATCGGGTGAAGAAGTAGGAAGAAGTCAAAGTTTAGGCAATCTAGATTGTCTGGGAGTCAGCCTAGAGTCTATATTTATTAAATCGAAAATAGACATGTATGGGCCCATTTTGTTGGGGGTGACATCTTGGCAGAATTTCAACTTTCTAATCTCTCTCTCTCTCTCTCTCTCTCTCTCTCTCCCTCTCTCTCCCACACATCCCCTCTCTCTCTCCGCTACCCCCCTCTCTCTCTAGTAGGCCAACTTGGTTAGTTGGTGGGGGGGGGGGGGGGGGCTGCAGCGACCACTTCAGCCCATAGCTTAGCTCACCCCTCCCCACCCCGCCTCGTAGGCCTACGCCGATATAAACAGTAAAAATAAATGATTATTATTTCACAGCCCCTCATGAAACTGATTTATGGGTAAGCATATATACTTCACACTAGGAGTCCACAAGAAAAACAATCATGTTTCCGACAATAATATATCTTCATCTTCTGCTGATCAATGTTCGAGCGAATCGGAGTTAAGTTTCCGATCTTACAAAATAGGTTGCGCGCATGCGCACATATTGTCAGTGCCATGTTGATCTTGTGAACTTTACTCCCCAATCCAAGGTCAAGAGACGATCTTTCATCGGACATTTCCGCTTTATCTAACACCTTCAGAGGATCTCTTCAATACTTTGGGTTAAGACAAAAGAGGAGACCATGGCTAGCTTCTCGTACATCATCTCCAATCTTTTGGAGAAGGTAATGGATCCAAAGTTTTCGTATCGTTCCGAGCAATGCATTTGAAGGGTACAGCCCAATCTCAGTCCCACATACTGTATATGATGTAGCAAAACACTACTTGAAGATAATTTTGTCATTTTTTGAACCAGAGATTTTAAATAATAATGCGAATGAGAGACACATATATTTGAATTTCTTTATTGCCATTGTTATTAGTCTTGGTAATCATGTATTTGCTGTCTCTTCCATAAAAAGAGAAATAAAATTGATAGAATTTTGATTGAAATGATTGACTTGAGTTGAGACTCGAGATCGAGTCACAAATCGAATGACGATTAAGTGGAGCTGGAGAGGATTATCAGGATAAGATCCTCAAATTTTAACAGACTAACCAGGCTGACTGCTAAGTTTGAACATTTAAGTTTGAGACTAACATTCTCAGTCTATTATTTTGAAACCCCGTTTATAAAAGTTGAAATTTACGGTAAACGTTTTGGCTTGGGTGTCGACAAATCTGAGTTTTTATTTTGACACTGGCATGTGCTTCGGCTATTCCTGTGGTGTCACTCCAGCAAAGCATAGTGGTCAATGCTATTGCGTATTGACCTCTAGCGTTGCATACATGTGTTTTTATACAGGTAAAATACTCTACTAAATTACAACTTAACGTGGGTTATGTTATATATATATATCTTTAATCATAGATCTATGCCATTTTGGTACATGATTTTAATAACAAAATGGAAACAAATTTTGTAAACTTACTTTTAAAGCCCTTTTCCCCCTTTTTTTGGAGAGACGACTGCTTACTTCCCTACACATGATATTGATAAAATAAAAAAAGCGTGTGTTGCGGACACACTACTTTAAAGCAGTTGCGCAATATCCGATGGTTGGCTGTCTATCTTGCATGCGCAGATAGCCTGCCGCTCGTTCGTTTGTCCGTGTCTCCTTTGGTGACCTGTGTTGAAAAAACGATCACACCGTAAACAAATGCGATGTATTAAGGCGTTTAGGTCTCCCTTCATTTTGAAAAAAAGTCATGAAATTAGAAAATGGCGGAACATAGTTGAAGTCAGTTGGCCCAATCGGTAAAAGTAGGCTCAAATATCTGCAAAAGCGACACAATTTTCATCAACAAAACTTGTGAATTCTATTTGTTACTTGTTTATTATCATCACTGGTTCATTAAATTATTTATTACCCCGTTTGAAAGTATCATACAGCAGGCTTTACAAAAATTTGCGTTAATGTGCTGCCGTACAGTGTTGCCTTTTGTAATACACAGCCAGGATAGTAATGCTGCTATGTGTGTGTTAAATTTTCAAGCACCATCAGCACAGCAATGTTATTTCATAGATTAATACTGGTAGACATAATTGCTCCCCACAAACTTCATTGATTGAATTAATATAGTTTTAGACCAAATTCATGATCAGTTTTATTATCTTAGTTTCCTAAACCAAGTTTTACAAGGCAACAAAAGTCAAGGTTATCTGGCTGGCTAAACAAATCTGTATTCCCCAATTTCCATTTAAATTTTTTTTTGCCTTGGAACCTCATTCTTGAAATGTCAGCTCATCGCTGAACAACTATTGTGTAAAGAATAAATATCTGTGCTGGATAACTCTTGAAAGTCAACATTAAACATGATTTCTAAAAAAAATTAAGGGTTTCTTAGTCAACATTTTAGGGGTTATGTTCTTCCTTTGGGGTTGTGACCCAAAATTTGAAAATCAGGTAATTCATTTTTTTCATCCCTTCCATTTTTACCTAGATACTTTGCTTTTTCAAGTCTTTTATCATGAAGAAAATTATGCCTAAGCCCCTTTTTGAAGCCTTTTCGTACAATTCATTTTGTGTAGATTCCTTTCTATTTCTGAACATGTTTTCATCAGATATATTCTCGTGTGTGTTTGATGTTTAGATGACCTCCAGTGATAAGGATTTCCGGTTTATGGCAACCAATGATCTCATGACTGAGCTACAGAAAGACTCCATCAAGCTCGATGATGATAGTGAAAAGAAGGTATTTACTCATAATGATTTATGGACTAATGATTGAGGAATAATGCTTTTCTTATCTAAAGTTTCTAGAGGTTCATTCACATAAAATGGTAAACTGATGTAGTTTTTTTGTGAAAGGCAAGTGGGGCTGAAAATGGCTTTTTGCAGCAATGATCTTACACATACTCACATACTGTATACATATCTTTAATAAGACACAAAACTGTGAAGTGCTGTACGCTAGTGTTTAAAAAAAATGGCATGGTAAACAAGTACAGTTAACAGCAGCATATCTAAACTAGCCTTATGAATTTTGAATTATTGATCATGTACAATAAAACATTTAATGTGCGGGTCTATTGAATTAGCTTAATAGAATGCATGTCTACTGAAAAGGCACCAACATGGATCAACATTATAGTATTTGTACAACATATTGCAGCCTCCAATTTCATTTTTTGTCATTGATTGCCAGATTATTTTTGTAGATCATTGCATTTTAGTTTTGTAACATTCGGTATAGCTTTCTTCAGATTTTTTACACAAGTGAATTTTCTAAATTGCCATTGCACCAACTCAAGATCACTTTTACATGTAAAACAAAGAAAATAAAACAATTATAGATATTAATAATTTGTCATCATTTAGTAATATTTGCCAATTACAATTACCTTTCCTTTCCTAGATTTAATTCATCATTTGTTGGATTGTTTTTATCTTTCAAATTTCAGGTTGTAAGGATGCTTTTGAAACTTTTAGAAGATAAGAATGGAGAAGTCCAGAACCTGGCTGTCAAATGGTAAAATTCAATTTTTTAAAGTTGTTTTACACTATACGAATATAGACGGTGTGTAGAAAAAAAACTTATAGTGCAACGTCCTTCAATTTGTAGAACAAGTCTTTGATGGTATTTTTAAACTGTTCCAGCTGAATTTTGGAATTGCAAAGATGAAGATAAAGACCTCTGATGGATCCTGGGCATTTTCTCTTCCACTCACCCCTTCATTCCCCTCCCCCCTCCCACATCAATATTGCTTTAATTTATTTGATCATAATTGTGTAGATAATACATAAAGAATTGTCTCAATTTATCCATTTGTATAGCGGGAGTGAAATATACCGCCCCCCCCCCAAAAAAAAAAAGAAGAAGAAAGAAAAAAGAAGCTGTACATACATGTAGCCAAAAGCTGCTGGAATATCATCAGCTCAGAACGATTTAATATTCAACATCAGGATGAAATATCATCAATTTTTGTCTCGCCTGCGTAGCAAAAAGCGAGACATAGGCGCTGCTTTTCCGGTGACGGCGGCGACGGTGACGGCGGCGACGGCGATGGCGGCGTCAACATCAAAAACTTAACCGAAGGTTAAGTTTTTGAATTTTTGATATAATTTTTAAAGTATAGGTTCTTAGTCAATGAAACTTTGACTATAGGGTAATCAAGTATCCCCAATCATGTGAGTAGAATTTCAGATCACAAAGTCAAGGTCAAAGGTCATTTCAGGTCAACAGACTTGGACTATGTTGTAGCATCATCATCAAGATTTTCAAAATGCTTCTTCTTCGTTATTTTTCAACCGATTTTGATTCTGATTGTTTCATATGATAGGGCTAGGAGGGGGGTTTGAAACTTCTAAACAGAATCGTGAAATTCATTATCTATGCTAATTTATGCAAATTTATTCGAAATCACAAAAAATGCTTCTTCTCCTTCATTTCTCGACCGATTTGGATTTGGTTTGCTTTATCTGGTAGAGCTAACTTTGGTATACTAAACTTCTACACCAAATTTTGAAATTGTTCTCCATTAATTAATAATGGTAATTTATGCAAATTTATTCCAAAAATAACAAAAATTGCTTCTTCTCCCTCATTTCTTGACCGATTTTGATTTGGTTTGTCTTATCTGGTAGAGCTAAATTTGGAACACTAGAATTCTACACAGAATTGTGAGATTTTGCTCCATTGATTATTTATGGTACTTTATGCAAATGAAATGAAATTATGTCCCTTCCAGGGCATCAAATTTTTATTTTTTGACCAGTTCAAAAGTGTACCACATAAAATTTAGGATATTTGTTGTTGCGAGATGCAGATGAGCGCTACGTCATTGACGTTCTGGTTTATCATATTGAATTGCGTTATGCAGGCGAGACCGCCGAGAGCGTTTCCCTTGTTTAAATATCAGTCGCAGATGTTAGTTTGTATGATATGTCCAACACCAGTCACTAAATGCTCACCATTGATTACAATTATGTTGTTTAATTGCAGCTTGGGGCCATTGGTGTCCAAAGTGAAGGAGTACCAAGTGGAGACCATTGTAGACACTCTGTGTAACAACATGCTCTCAGACAAGGAACAGCTGAGGGATATCTCAAGCATTGGTAAGCAATCTGTAGCAGTCAAGAAGTCGTGGTCTAGAGGATGTGTCGATGGACCACGGATTAATAGGTCTGAGTTCAATTCCCAGCCCCAGCACCAGCATCCTTGGCAAGACCTTTATGGGCAAATGTTTAACGTTTTTACTGCTTTAATTTTTGTAAAATTGGTTCCATGTAGTGAAAGGAATATTTATGTTTGGAGGGAACGATGTAAGCTCCAGGAGAGCTGTAGGAACTGTGAGAATTTTGTGTCATGGATATGCAAATATGTTCATTTTAAATTGTCCCACCATTTAAAAAAATGACATTTGATTTTATAAGCTAATAAAGCGGATCCTAATCAAATGATTGGTTGAGAGTGTACATGTGACCAGGCATTTATTTTGTCTAACAATTAATTTTACTAATGTCTGGTCATTAGTAAAATCATCTTATCAAACAAATAATACACATCATTTTGTTCGGCATTAGTAAAATTACCCACACTTGGTACCTTCGAAATAGTCCAATCACCCCTGGCTATCGCCTCAGGCGTGTTAGACTGTTCCAAACTCCAAAAGTACCTTGTGTGGGTAATTTTTACTAATGTCCTCACTGCTGTGTATTATTTGTATACTATTCATCCCGACACAGTGGTGTTAATTCCACTGAATTTTAAGATGACTGATAGACAATCCGAGAAATTATCTCACTACCACGAATTTGACAAACACTTTGTACATGGTCTAATTGTCTTTGGTTGTGATAGGGTTAAGCGCTGTCAGTTATGTCAGTCATGCGACTACATGTATCTATTACCTTGTTTATGGGAACCAGTGTAATTGAGCTTCCATATACATTCTGTTTGTTGTAGGTGGGGTAATTCTATAGGATGGGATATGGATTGTTTTACCTGTATGCAATAATGTCACGCCTGTAGTACATGTCTACATGTACCATTGTCTTGTCATGGCAAGACAGTGTATTAAAGTCATGACACTATCTAATCAGTTATGGTTGTGTTCATTCAATGTTTGAAACCTTTAAAAAAAAGTGTATAAGGTTATCTGATACATATATATATATATATATATATATATATATATATATATGTGATGATGATATGTTAATTATTTTTGCTGTCGTCATTGTTTTCTTGTACAATTTGGTCTACATCATAATTTGCTTCTTTTGAAATGGTAAAATTGAAGGAAAAAGAAAGAAAAAAAAAGACTGCCAGATTTTTGTCCTAATACCGGTACATACTGTACATGTATATCAGCACCTCAACAAATCCTAATACAAAATATGTTTCTTAAACCCCTTTTGGTAGTGATGATGCTGATTTCATGACTTATTCTGTGCCAGACATTTTAATGTCTTGTGGCATACGGTGCTTGAATCCATGTTTTAACACCAGTAGATGTACAGTTGTGGCGTACTTCATGAATATCACATGATTGTTTGGTAAGAAATTTACATTCACAGATATGTTTTTTTCTCTCTCATAGCCCTTCCATGATTACTCAAAGTAGACTACATTTTAATGTAAAGTAATAAATTAGACAGCATGGAATGTAATTTTTGAATTTTCTTTGGCTGACATTTATGAGCACTATAAATTTGTAAATCTATTTTGTGGTACAGGTCTGAAAACTGTCATCAATGAACTGCCCCCTGCTTCCAGCCCTCTAGCAGCTAACATATGTAAGAGCATCACAGGCAGGCTAACAAATGCTATTGCTATGGTAAGCATGTTTTTTTGTTATTGTTTATGTTGCCCTGGTGACGAGAAAGCAACCAGAGTCAATAGAGTACTGCAGTGTGACATCATTCTGGCCAAGTTGTCAAGGTTGCTGGTTCCAAACCATTTTGTGCTAAACAATGGTGTGGTGATCACACCAGCACGAGCTCTAAATTTGTCCTGCTCCAGACTTTTGCAGTGATCCTTATGCTCATGCTCTGTAGTTTGAAACCGGTAACCTGGACGACGAGTGAATATGACGTTAGCACTCCAGTACTCTATTTAAACTACTCAATAAATACCATCTTGATGGTTATTTAAGACAAGTTTCAAAACAAAATTTTCTTTTCAAGGGAAGAAGAAAAGTGATAAACGATACAGGTTTATAATAATCATCGTGCTTGCAACTTTCCTATGTGTGATGTGTGTAATCATGTCAAGCATTCAAATACAAATGATATGTAGTTGAGTTTATAGAATTCACCCTCTTTCTTTTTACACTAGAGACGATATTTTGTTCCAATAATTCATGCGAATGTACGAACCTCATGAATTTTGACTGAAATATAAGCTCCTCGAATTGGCAATTTCCAGCTCTTAATATTGGATATATGGAATTATCCTTGAAATCGCTTGACTTATCCCTTTTAATCAGTTGGATTTTCTAAAATTATTATCTTAAGAAGTTCAGTTTTCTCTAATTCTCATTTTCTTAGCAGGAAGATGTGTCTGTCAAGTTGGAAGCCCTGGACATCTTGGGGGATCTTCTCAGCAGATTTGGAGGTAATTTGGGGAAAAAACTCCTACTAGGGGGGTCTTTCAGAAACATGTTAAAACAGTTTTATTTACTCAGAGTTACAAATGATATTATGTTGTTAAAATTATGGAGAGAAATTTGTGTATTTTGTTTTGTATAGCGCCTTGAGTAAGTAATTAGAAAAGTGCACTTTATAAATATTTTTGATTATTATCATTATTATTTCACAAAGATCTTAAAGGTACTATGTCCCATTTGCAGGCCAAAAAAATGAAAAAGTTAAATTCCAACTGCATTTTGAAAGATAATACTAATTTAGAACTTCCCTAAAAAAGGTGGGGCTTGAAAATGTCTTCAAGGGGGAAAATAACGACTATTAGTTGTCAAATCGACTTTAGGGCTATAGAGCCCAAAAGTAATAGTCTTGATTTTCAGACAATTGTACCGAATGGTCATACGTTTTATGCTGCGCAAAAATTCAATCAGTTTAATCTTGGCCATCACAAGAAGTGGGTTATTGATGTAGACAAATGCTCATGTACCCTTTACAACTCTTTTCATGTATTATTACCAAAGAAGAAAAAAAGCCAGTCAGTCACTCAATAGTGTCTGACAATGAAGTCTAGCAAGTAACCGGGTTTCCTTGCATAATTTGAATATGAGGACACTGCTAACGTTTAAATTTCACAGATAGGACATACATGACATATTCATAATTCCTGCAAAGTTCTAAAGAATTTGAGGTTGGCTGCAAAAGGGACATAGTACCTTTAAGTTGAACTTATCTCTAAGTTAGACTTTAACAATTATGGAAAGCCGTTAGCATCTTTGAAAACATCTTGTAAAAGTTATTCTAAGGGTATACAATGTTGATTAAAATGATTCATATTTTCTATTATCAAGGAGATTTTGTGTTCTTGATGTGGAATTCATGAAAAGTCTAAAGTACTTGAATTTTTGCTTATGAATATATATTTTATCTTGAGGCTACAAATGGCTCTCCATAATGTTTAAGTCCAACTTCGATTTAAGTTTGACTTAGGATCTTTGTGAAACACCCCCTAGTAGTGTAGAGGTAGTGTGGTTTAGTGGATAAGTCACTGGATTGTAGATGACAAGGCACAGGGTTAGAAATGTTCTGATCGGTACTGTCACCAGTTTGTGTGGGGCTTTTACAGTTATTGGTTCATTCATTAGATGGCAAATGCATGTATACTGTTACATAGATTTGTTGTGATACGTCACAGCTAGCAAGTTCTGTACTTGGAGTTGATGCTGAAGTGTTTACACTCTGCTATACAGATAACTTTCAATAAAAGGCTCAAAATGTTGTTATAACGTCAAACCAGTGACAGAATTCTATCACTTTTAGAACATTTCATAGTTTTTCAATACTACATTTTGTAACAATGATGATGTTCTGCTATGTTCTATTTCTTACACCATCCAGGTCTGTTGGTGAGTTTCCATCCATCCATCCAGTCATCTCTTCTCCCTCAGCTGGCTAGTGCTAGGATGGCTGTCAGAAAGAGGACCATCATCGCTCTTGGTAAGGAGTGTTATTTTATTAAAGCTTGTGTGTATGATATTGAAAGCCTTTATTCAAAATTGCATGCATTTCATTAAAGTGACTCGGTAACATTGTTGAAGGTTGATAAAAAAATGCATCATTTTTGTATGAAATGTTACTTATTATATTCCTTCTACTGTACTAACCCTCTAAAATGCCAAAAATCCTAAAGAAATTCTCAAACCACAAAGATATTTATGGTTTTCTTTGAAGGCATCAATGTGCAACACCCTCTAATAGTAAATTCTCCTGACCATTTTTGAATTTTCCCAACCGTTTTTCCATGAAAATAAGACATAAGACAGGCGTTAAAAAATCTTTCAACACTTAAATGTCTGGAATGGTATATACTGTAGAGCCAATTCATTGCTTTGTGACGATTTACATTCACTTAGAATAGAATTAGATTTTAATGATATAGTTGGGAGAATTAAGGAATCAATCAGATCAGTTTTTCCCAATTTTTATTGCTAATAATGGTCTGTTTTTACTCAAACTTTCAGATTATCTTTAATTGTACATTTATCATTAAAGTCACTACCCTAAGCACCATTTTCTCTAGTCTGATCGATGTTACCAAGTCCCTTTAAGAAATATAATGTCAATACCTTCAGGTTTTTTCTTTCGAAATACAACTCTCATATTTGTTATTGAACTGTCCAGGTCACCTCGTCATGAGCAGCAGTATCAAGCTCTTCTCAGACCTGATGGACTACCTGCTGAGTGAGCTGAGTGCAAACAAAAGCTCCTCTACAACCCGGACATACATACAGTGCATCGGGGCAATCAGGTATAATACTAGGTGGTTTGTTTGTTTAACCAAACTACTAAGAAAGCATGCGTGTGCTTGTAAGTAAGCAACCAGGGGATTGATGGCTTTAAGTCCGTTATTTCAAATCTTTGAAGATTATAGACCCCTATTTTATTAAGTTGCTACATTTGCTTAGACTCACTTACAGTGCTCATTGTTGCTAAGATATAGAGTGGTGAAGTGTGACGTCATCAAAAATCTACTTTTAGAATTTCTCAATTTTTTCTTCATTTTCCGAAAGAGCATCAAAAATAATATCTGAATGTCGAAAACTAATTGGATATATTAAGTTTTGGCTGAGATATGACCATCTGAATATATAGATGTCCTATGGGAATTCAGTGTTTTAGTGCTCTGGTTCATAACATTAGAAACCGAATTGCATTCTTTGATGTTGATTAAAGATAACTTTGTAATTTTGCTCTCGATTGTCCAAGTCTGCCGGTTATATGTTTAGTGGTTGGGGTCAAATGACTATCATTGACCTTTGATGACCTTTTGGTATTTTGATATAGCCGTCAAGCTGGTCATCGTGTTGGGGAACACCTGGAGAGGATCATCCCTCTGATCGTCAAGTTCTGCAAGATTGATGAAGATGATGAACTGAGAGAGTATTGTATCCAAGTAAGTAAACCAGGGACCCATTTCACAAAGCCTTTTTTCAATGGCAAATGACAAAAATCAGTGACAAATCTGCTGATAACCAATCAGAAGCAAGGATTTCAGTAGCTTAAAAAAACTATCATATGTCACTGATGACAAGTTTTGTGAACCCCCCCCCCCCTTTTTGTAGAATTTCTGAACATCCAACAGAATATTTGAAGAAGTTCCCCCCCCCCCCCAAAAGGGGTTATCAAAATCTGCATTAGCTACATAACAGTAATATTTAGTACTTGGTTACTATACTTTTGATTATACTTACAATTGGTTGTTTAAGAATATCAATAACTCGTTCTTCTCCTTATTTTGCAGGCTTTTGAATCATTTGTGAGACGATGCCCCAAAGAAGTTTCACCTCATGTTTCAACTGTAAGTATATAACTGTAATGTTAGTTCACAAATGTAGGCGCATTGGTGCTGACGGATTTGATAGCAAGTTTGTAGATGGCAAAACTTGGCTGAAAGTACATGGTGTACAATCCCAACCACAACTGCCTTTTTTTTTTTTTTATTGCACACTGTGTAGATTGTAGAACTATAATTAGAGTATGCTGTAATGATCATACAGTAACTGCAACTATATTTGATTCATTGCACACTGTATAGATTGTAGAACTGTGCCTCCAGTACATCTGTTATGATCCTAACTACAACTATGAAGATGACGATGAGGAAGAGGATGCCATGGATACAGAAGGAGAGGAGGAAGGGTAAGAGCACCGAGATATTATCGTTTCTTTGGAGCCAAAAGGGCATTTAGTCCTATACTTTAACATAGACTTAATGCCCTTCTGGCTCTGAACAGACAAAATTTCATTTAAAAAGTATTTAATAAGATTGATCACACACAAACTCGGGTTATCAAGAAAATAAATACAAGAAATTAAAAAAAGACATACATGCAGTGCTGCCCTTATACCATGCTTGGCAGGTTCATTAAATTCCCACTTCACCAAATCTGACTCTACCTCCACACACACACACACGTTTACATACTCATGAATATCCATGAATGTATTTGTAACACTACTTTGTTTTGCTATATTTTTGCTGCTACCCAACAGTGAGAGCGATGATGAGTACAGCGATGATGATGACATGAGCTGGAAGGTGAGGAGGGCATCAGCGAAATGTTTGGATGCTGTGATCGGATCCAGACACGAGATGCTGACAGAGTTCTACAACACGGTCTCACCCGCTCTTATTGCAAGATTCAAAGGTAGGTGAACCAGGGAGCAGGGAATATTGAAGATAAACAATTTATGATAATAATAATAATAATAGTGGGTTCTTGTATAGTGTGTTTGTCAGACTTGACACTCCTGGCCCTCCCGATTATTACCCTGGCTTAAGCATGGCTGCCATTACGGCACTCTAAAATTTCAAGGAATTAATTCCTGCCATGTACCCATTCACCTGGGTTGAGTGTGGCAAATAGAGAGAGTTATGAAAGTTGCTGTAACTAATTTGACGTGTTTTGAGCCAAACAACTTTAGTGTGATGTTTGCATACATTTATGTTAATACATGGGACATAAGCCCCACTGTTCTAGCCTACTAACTGTAAACACTGTTGAAGACAAATGGTTGGGTATACATTAAATTTTAATACCATTAAGAAACAGTTTTTTGAATGAAGTGAATGAAATGAAAGAGAAAAATTATGTTGTTTAGAACATATTTCCTGGGAGCCTATCTCTACATCTTTCTCCTCATTCTCTACATTACAATTCTGTTGTGTCTTCTTTGATATATTTTACTATTGCAATTCATATTTTGGTGTAATAGAGCGTGAGGAGAATGTGAAAGCGGATATCTTCCATGCCTACATCACCCTACTCCGTCAGACGAAACCAATCAACACAGGCTGCTTTGATCCGGATGCTATGGAGGAAGATGAAGGGTAAGCCAAGCATTTTGCTTTTTTGTTCTTCCTGCTGAGAACCATAAGGCCTTTACCTCGGTCATATGAGTTAAAGAGAAGGTTGAGTTCTGGGGAGAGGTGAAAAATAATATTTGTGAGCGTCATCATTGTTATTATGCAGTTGTGGAAGAACATGAGAGAAAAAATGTTCCCTGAAAAGCATAGCTCTACAAATGCCTTCATATTCTAAATATGACAAGTAATAGTTAACAAATGAGGCCCGATTTTTACGACACAAATTGTTGTAGTCCCATATACATCTTTCTGTGTACAGTGCTTGTAACTTTTAATACCAAGACTGGGCCAAATTTCTTATCATTTTGATGATTCCAGAACCTTGCAGTACACACCCATACTTATATGCTAGATGATCAACCTTTTCTGATCGATTTCACAACGTTTCTTTCACAATGCAATCCTTTAAGCATGTGCAAATACACTGTACTAGTACCTTTATCAACCGCATGCAAAGAGGACTACGGATGAAACCTTTTTGATGTACATGTACTAAATTTTCCAAGCAATGTAACACTACTTTAAACTTTGTTACAAGTGAGTGAATGATTCCTGAGCCCATTCAGTAAACGAGTCGTCTGCTTAATCATTCATGTAGGAATAAGTTATTCTTAAAGCCCCACTGCACTACTTATAGCTACTTGCGCCCTCTATAGCAAACAATGCGAAATCAGGCCTGTTGATCCCCCATGATATGATCCCCTTTTTCTTATGTTAATTGAGAGCTGATTTCATGAGATAACCACCTGTCAGTGACCTTGCAGAGAGGTCTCATCCCCCTGGCCAAACAATTGCAGACAGGCTTTAAAAGATATGTAGGTGAACTGGCTCTCTGAGCACTGACATATGATCTGGAAAGAATTAGTCAGCCAATAGGGTATTGTTAAAACTGTTTTTTAATTATTTTTATTTGATAATCTATGGAGTATATTTATACAGTCAAAGCTGCTTTAGTGACCACCTGTCTACAACAAGCACATTTTTCGTTACCCATGAAAATGGTTTCTCATTGAAACATGTACTAAAGGAACCTGAACAAGCACATTTTTTGTTTCCCTTGAAAATGGTTTCTCATTGAAACATGTACTAAAGGAACCTGTCTACGAAGACCACTTTTTGTGTTTCCCTTGGGCGGTCGCTGTAGACAGGTTTGACTGTATTAGAATATGTAGAAATGCAATTTTGTGATTTGTTCGGTTTGCACAGACCGGTCGCCATCTTGAAGCAGCAGGTGCCGAACATTGTGAGGGCGCTACACAAGCAGATGAAGGAGAAGAGCATCAAGACGAGACAAGGCTGCCTCAATCTCTTGACGGAGCTCATCAACGTCTCACCCGGTGCCCTGACAGCTCATATCCCATCGCTCGTACCAGGAATTGAGTTCTCTCTCATGTAAGATGTTAAAACAATTTTTATTGCATGACCGTGTTACATTGATTTATTTGTTGCAAGAAAAGTGTGCAAATTATTGGTGTGCTATTAAAAAGAATTGTTTGTGTAAAGTATGAATAACTTAAACTGTGCTTATTATTTGTTGTATCCTAAGTACTTTGTGAGCAAGAACAGTGTTTTAAGTAGTGATAAGAAGAAATACACATCCAAGCCTGTTCAAACTGTTTTATTTGAGTTACTGCTGAATAAATGTCCTAGAAATACAATTTGAATCAAAGAAAATAAATTAACAAGATGGAGAATAAATAGAAGGGTGCAATGATCGAGGAGAATATAAAAGAGAAGCAAATCTTGTAAAACATAACTAATCCAGAAATTGTATTTTTAAAAATATCGCATTTTCCCTTCTAATTGAATTTCTTATCCATCAGTGACAAGAACAGTAGTTCCAACATGAAGATTGATGCACTGGCCTTCCTCAACTGTCTCCTGAATAACCACAGCCCTGAAGCTTTTCATGCTCATATCTCTCTCATTGTTCCTGTAAGTAGATCTCTAATCTTAAAAACAAAGACCAGTTATGGTCATGCGATTGCATTTTGAAAGAAACGATGTGAAATCGGTCAGAAAAGGTTGATCATCTAGCATAGATGTACTGCAAGGTTCTGGAATCATCAAAATGATAAGAAATTTGGCCCAGTCTTCATAAAGTAACAAGCACTGTATACAGAAAGATGTATATGGGACTACGCACACGTGCGCGACACATGCGTTTTTTATCTCTCACATCCCAATAGATAAACTAATTTACCAAATATATCAATTAGTAGGTGGTTTCCCAGCAAATTTTTTATCATCATGTATTATTCAAAACATATTCTTTCACACATGATAGGTAATGAGAGCTTATAATTCATTCTTTGAAATTGGGGCGTTTCCAAACTGGTCTTTACCTTTAATTCGTATTGATAACGCATACAGGGTTCCGACAGTCATGGAAAAAACCTGGAAAGTCTTCCCCAAAAAAAACATTTTGGAAAGTCATGGAAATTGTTCATGGGTATGGGCCATGTTTAGCTATGATAACCTTCCAGTTTGAACTGACAAAGGGCATGGTGTTTGTATGCCTCTTGGATGCTGCAACCCATACCCAAATGGTACTTACATTGTATCTGGTCATGGAACAAAAATGGGTTATGGAAAGTCATGAAAAGGTCATGGAACCTGGTTCTCTAACTTTTTTTTTTGTACTTAAATAGTGCCAGTCTGTGCTTTGGAAATTGTTACCAGCTTCAGCAAAGCACCTCAAGGAATACTAATTACTGTTACAACCTGTTATCAGTTTAAAAGCGGAATTCACTGGGTTCTTCTAGTAATCTTCAAAGGGTTTATGCATTCTATAATGCAGATAATGAAGATGAGGGTGAGGAATATAAATTTTGATCGTCTCATTGAAAAAAAATTGGACAATCCATTTTATTAAATTTGTAGCATCTTTTTTGGTTTGATGATCATTATCTACATATTGTACTACAATTTGATATTTCTCAAAAACTTCATATCACTATTTTTTTGTTCTATATTCATATTGGACATTTTCTCCAAGATGAATGATAATAATGATGAATATTCATCAGTTTGTATAATTTTACTATTCTTTAAGAAGGGGTAAAATTTAACTTTTTATTCTCTCCATAATTCCATGATTCATTACACGATTTGTAGAATATAATCCTTGATGTTTCTATGTATTTTTTTCTTGTTGCTAGCCTGTGGTCGCTGCAGCTGGAGATCCATTCTACAAGATCACATCAGAGGCTCTCCTTGTCACCCAGACTCTAGTCAAAGTCATCAGGCCACTAGGTATGTTTCAGCCAGCTGATTAGGAGATTGATTGATTGGTTGATTGATTGATTGACATACCATTGACATTGATGGACAACTGGATGAATTGTTAATACTGGGATGTGAAGGGGATTTTGTTTAAGCTGCATGACACGTACTGACTGAAAATGTGCGTCGCTCCAATTAACTCAATACTGGCTGTCAGTCAAGTTGAGTCATGCTATGGAATTAATTATATTTTTTGATAGATAAATTTCATTCATGATCTTTCTTTTTTTTCTTTTTCATCACAATCTGGTCTCAGGCTTGCAATTTTTTTTTCTTCATTATAATCCAGATTAGAATTTGCTCTTGCCTGATAACAAGCCTCCCAAACTAATTGAACAATCCTGCCTTATAATACATTACATTTTTATTTTTATTTTATTCCATTGCAGAGAAAGATAATGGATTTGACTTCTCCCCGTTCGTCCTTGACCTGTACGGCTGCACACTGACCCGTCTCAAGGCAGCGGACATTGACCAAGAGGTCAAGGAAAGGGCAATCTCATGCATGTAAGTACTCCCACCCTGGAAAAATGTGTTGACCTCCATTTTGGGATCTTGAGTTAGTATTCAACCTACTATTCTTATCAGGCAAAATCATATCAAAACTAAAATTCAGATGATCTCAGATTTAAATATGCATCAACATTGTCAACAATTACGCTCTTAGAAGTTGCACTACACTTTATATCTCATTATACTTTGCTGCAGCAAATTTTAGAACAATTTTACTTTACTTTGAAATATGCTCTGTGTTTAAAAAGTTGCACCTAATCCGAAACTGTCTCAGAAAATGTAATGACAAAGATAGTGGTATTTTGCTTGCAGATATATCATGTACATTGGTACAAGAGATTCAGTCATTTCAAAGCAATTCAAAAGTATAGTGATTTCAAATCTCTTTATGGTCTAGCTACAAAGAAGTCACAATTAAACATACATTGAGTAAAAATTGAACAATAGGGGTGAAGCTGACAATATATACCATCACATAATCTTGATTTCCTCCTTTAAACCAATCAGGGGTCAGATCATCTGTAACCTTGGCGATCACCTGAAGTCTGAGCTGTCTACCTGCTTGCCCATCTTCTTGGATCGTCTGAGGAATGAGATCACCAGGCTGACCACAGTCAAAGCTCTTACTCTCATCTCTGGCTCACCCCTTGAAGTGGATCTCTCTCCTATACTGGTGAGTTGTGTAGATGCCCTCATTGGCAAGTTTAAGGGGGGGGGGGGGAGATAATCTAGCCTGTACTACCTTTAAAAAAAAAACAGTTGCAAGTCGAGTCAAGGTTCTTACTCTGATTGCTGACTCATCATTCAATAGTTCATCCCTTTCCCCAATTGAATGAGTTAAGTGTGGATATCAGTGGCAGAATTAAACAAAATGAAAAGTTATGGAGGGAGAAGGGGGGGGGGGGGAGTGCAACTGTCTTGTGCCTCCTTTAAAAACCCTGTGGCATATAAGTACACAACATGTAGACTGATCTTGTAGACATGGACTGATCTTGTTGTCGTATTACATTTGTTGGCCAGTGCACATTTATACAATGTACTACTGATACATGAAAATTACATGCATTTTGATTCATATATCATTATTTCTTAATGTATATTTTATACTTCTGCAGGGACAAGGTGTACCCATTTTGGCCTCCTTCTTGCGTAAGAACCACAGAGCTCTCAAATTGGCAACGCTCTCATCCCTCAACATACTCATCAGAAACTACGGTAAGCATGGAGTGTCCTAATACAGAGGAATAGAAAAAAAAGAGGCATTCAGACTTATTGGTTAAAGTGACTCAGTAACATTGCCACAGATTCTGAAACAAAATCCTGGATTTAGCTCATGCTGCAATCATGATTATAAACCTTTAGGTCAGACAGGAATCACATGACTTTTACAAGCTGATCGCCTGTCTGATCAAGATATTTATGATTGGAAATCAAAAAAAAATTATTTTGTTTTCCTAACGAACTTCAGTCTATTGGGGAATATGAGTATGGTAAAACCAGTCAATCAAAGATTTTTACTTTTTTGAGGCACTTCACTTTTAATTTCGAAGCGAAACTTTTTTAGGGCTGTAATATTACACGATACCACAGACACTGGTAACACGTAGGGCCATGCATCACAGATTTAACATTGTTAAACGATGCCTTTAAAAAAAAGTTATATATGGTGACATAATCATTCAGTTGTCTCCTATTTTTATCTATAGGTTCCTCCCTGACAAGTACGATGATCGATGGCATCATGACAGAGCTGCCTCCGCTCATCAACGAGAGTGACCTCCACATCTCCCAGCTGACCCTTAACCTCTTGACCTCTCTGTGTGAGATCCACCCATCCAGTATGGCGAAGATCTACGATCACATCCTAGTGGAGATTCTAATTCTGGTCAGATCTCCTCTGCTCCAAGGTAAAAATAAATTATTCTTGTATGAATTTAATAAAGAAATCAAATATAGAAAACAAGTTTTGTTCTTGCCTCTACGTGCTAGGTGATCTTAGTCTTACTGCATTTTGTCTTTTTCACTCTAAAAATTATATATTGGTCAGTGACACTTTTCTTTTAAGCGGTCTGTTCATAAAATTTCTTCATCAAAATAGATACAGAATCACAAACCTGTCATGAAATGAAATGAATAATGCAATTATGCTATTGTCACTTATTAATAGGTATTGAAGAAAAAGTGAATGAATATTTTGTGATCAAATGCAGGCAGATCTTATCCCTGTTCCAATATGATTTGTTAAAAATAAATTTATGTAATTTTTAAAAGTGACATGATTCCAATGACCATGTACTGCTTTGTATAGTATGTATGAACCAGGCTTGGTTCATGTGGTGCACAACTTGTTGAATAACTTTACACAGCTTTACACAACAAATTTACAGTGTATGCACTTGGAGACCTACATGTAAATACTTATTCTGTTTGATTTACTGATGTAAAGCGCTTTGAGCATGTTTATGTAAAGGCGCTATATAAATATCAATATGTATGTATGTATGGTTATTTAAGATTGTTTTCTCAATTTATGTTTTTCTCTATCTTCCTTTTTGACATGTGCATTTCTATTCATTTTTGTAATTTACTCTGATGAGTGCAAGACTTCTTCCATAAATCTCTTTATACCCAACACTCTTCTCTGTTTTGTTTTGTTTTGTCTTTCAAATAGGTGGTGCCCTGACTGCCATGTTGGACTTTTACAAGGTACTGGTCTTGACCAAGACGTCTAAGATGGGGTTCCAGGAACTCCTTGGACTACTGACGGCTCCCGTCTACAGCCCAACAGAGGCTACCCAACCGTCTACCACACCCTATGCAGTCCACAAACAGGTAAGCCCACAGATGGGACTGAACATAATGTCTGTGCACCACTAGGTTGAGGCATAGATGTTAGCTAATGTGCATTCAATAAACAGTTAAAGAGAAAGTCCCCCCTTAAAAAGAAGTTAGTTTTAATACAAGGAGCAAACAAGAAAAACAGATCGGTGAAGGTTTGAGAAAAATCGGACAATAAATAAGAAAGTTATGGATTTTTTGGTTTTATGTTTCATAGATCGGACTATACATGCTTATCACCAATAGGTATTTACACGAATGGGACAATAAGTATACAAACGGGTAAATGCATGGATGGGACTGAAGGTGCAGTTCGCAAGCTAGGCGACACACCCCAAAAAGTGCTAGTACCTAAATGCCTCCATGTACGTGCTGTCCTCGATATTCTGTGACATGAGATAAAACCTTCCATTTTGATCTCAACTTCTTTGCAGGCTTTCCATTCAATTGCAAAGTGCGTTGCTGTTTTAACGATTTCCTGTGCCAACCAAGGATCAACTGTTGTTCTTCAGTTTGTAAATGATATCAAGGTGAGCCCAAATATATCTCTCTTCTTTTTTGTCTCAATATGATTATTCATGTGACTTATTATGTCAGTCTTCTTTTGGTGCATATGTTTCATTTTTAATTTTTCTTAGTTTTTTAAGATGTGAATATTCTTGTTTGAAGATGCTTGTGTTCTCCTTTTCTTTTGTTGCTGTATCTAATTTTTGATGTTATGAAGTATTATACCTCTCTTTCGAAATCATAGAATTTGTGTATCGTTTCTCTGTGCTTCATACCCAATTACACCACCCGTAATGCAAATGATGATGGTATTGTTTAGGTTGTGTCATATTTGCATTTAATAACTTGATTGTGTCTCTTTCCAGAATCCTGAATCAACAGATTCTATCAGGTTGTTTGCTTTGTTGGCTCTTGGTGAGATAGGAAAGCATGTGTAAGTATACTCTTAAAGAGAAGATTTGGTTCTGGGAAAGGTGAATATTGATTTGTATTAAAGCCTTTTCATTCTTTTTATGACAGTGTGTAGGAGTATCATAGAAAAAATGTCTTCTGAAGAGGATGGCTTGTCAAATACCCTCATATTTGACATATGACATATAACAACTAATAAAGGTTGTGAACCACACTTTCATGCAACATGTTTGTGTAGTCCCTTATACACATTTCTGTGTACAGTGCTTGCGACCTTTAGCAAGACTGTGTCACTTTCTTATCATTTTGATTATTCGAAAACCTCACAATATACACTAATACATGACCAATCAGAGTCAGACACACTCCATCTTCATTCTCAAGTCCAAGCTGCTACACTTCTGTATACGTGATTTAAAAGATTAAAAGATACAGTAGAGATGGTTTATCTACCACAATACAGTGGTGATGAAGAACTTGCCTAAATTTTTATATACACGTATGCCAAACATTATTTTGATACATTCACCATTCATGCAAAAAGACCATAACATGCCTGCCTTGCTGGATATGAGTGCTATACAAGATATTGTCCATGCTGTTGTTGTTATTATCAGTATTCTTATATTCCATGCAGAGATTTGAGCGGTCAAGCTGAGCTTCAGAAGGTCATTGTAGAATCGTTCTCATCACCCTGTGAGGAGGTCAAATCGGCCGCTTCTTATGCCCTTGGTAAGTAGATTGCATTATGGTCACTTCATCTTGACCGGGAAACCCGCCCTTGATAGTGACGTTCGATTCAATTTTCAATTCGCTTATTTCAATTCCAGCAGTTAAAAAAAAATACAGTATAATACAGTACAAATTTTACAAAACATTGTTTTGAAGGAAAGCAGATGAATCAGAGAGATTGGTGAAAGTTTGAACGAAATCAGCTGAGCAAAAGAAAGTTTTATTTAATTTTTTAAATAAATTTGATGATCATACATTTGGCAATTTCTAAGTGGTAGTGTCACCAATGCTTTATGATCAGACACCTCTCCTTTTTGCTCCTACATGTACATGCAAAATGACTACAGTGTATAAGTTTTATAAACAAAAAAGTCACTTAGGACTAAGAAGGAATTCACGATATATTAGTGTAACTACAATTTGGAGACTTGTCCCCAAATACGTGGAAATTCAAATAGCTTACAGCAATCAATAGGACAACTACAAAAAATGGAAAGGTCACAAAGAGTTATGTAGAATCAAGTGTATATGTAAAATTCTCCATCTTGGAGAAGACAACAAAGTTTGCAAACATTCTTTTGATTCCTTTTCTCTACGAATGTGTTGTTTGTTTCCTTTCAGGTAATGTTAGTGTAGGCAACCTCCCCAAGTACCTTCCGTTCGTCCTACAAGAGATAGAGACACAGCAGAAAAGACAGTACCTACTACTACACTCTCTCAAAGAGGTAAGAAATTGAAGAAACAAAGCAAATCAAAGTTTGGTTTGTGTATTAATACGTGATGTCATTTTAAAGAGAGACATCTTATGAAGGGAAGGCATCAGGTTTTTGGGGGAAATTTTGTTTCAATAAAAGAAAATATTTTGTTTTAATAGATTAAAGACCAGCAGAAAAGACATACCCTCCTACTAAAGTCTCTCAGAGAGATATTAAGGTGATGATGAGAAAATGGAGCATAGGTTGTTAATCATTACGGAAAGACATTTCATGATCAAACATCTGGCTTGTGTGGTGATGTTGTTTTGATCAAAGAGAATAGTTTTTTTTGAAGAGATTGAGGCACAACAAAAGAGACATCATCTACTACTCTATCTAAAAGTCCTTACTTATATTTTAGTGACTTTGTTCTTGTCTGATATTAAAGGTTTGAGGATTGTTGATTAATTGAACCTACCGGTAGGCAGAGACATATAGACTGGACACTTGAGTTGCATCCATATAGGTTATTTATTTATTTCATTTTATTGGGTCCCTTCAGAAGGATATCTACATGTATGTACATGTTGCTGCATGTAGTATATCATCAAGATTATCACCTTTTTCCCATTAACATTTATACACAGATTCCAGTATATACCAGTAGTGCTATGATAGTGTAAACTGTATTTTGTGTTATGTTAGTGTTATAATGCTTATTTCTTAGATCAAAGATATTGTATCAAGACCTGTTCCTACTTAAGCATTATTCTAAGGCTTACATTTAGAAGCTTACATTGAAGTCATCAGGTTATTTTGATGCATACTTGACCATGTAGTCCCGTCTTATATGCATTGATGTTGGTTGTATCTTTCAGATCATCTCATGTCAAAGTGTTTCCCAGGCTGGTGTGGATGGACTGAAGCCATTTGTTGAAACAATTTGGTGAGTTACATCAGCATGATCAGTCAGTTTAGATTTTATTTCAAGGGGAAAGCAGCTATTAAAACAGCAACAACAAAATCTAATAGAAATGGAGCACTAAAGCTTTTTTCGATTTTGCTTTTAAAGTGATTTAGTGTTGATGAATGCAATGTTATGATGAGTTGGAACAATGAAATCTGTATCGGTTTTATTTTTATATCATGAAAATTATAATAGTCTAATACTGAAAACATACAATTAATATGTAGCATAATGTGATGAAAGGGGAAGAAATATGAAAATAGTATACAGAATTTATATTTTGGGTTTGTGAGAGGACATAAATACATTAGTAGTGTTTTCTTCTTAATCATTATAATTTTGTTTTGTTACAAAGGTAATAAAGAAGTCAGAGAAATGGAAAAAAAAAAAAAAAATAAAATGTAGATTATCTTTAAAAACATTTAATAAGTATTTCTTTTTTTTTGGGGGGGGGGGCGGGGGAAGAGGTGGAAATTATTTCAGACTACTGATATTAATAGAAAAAATGCTTTTGATTTTGCATTTTTAGAAGAATTGCAGTGAAGATAAAAAGCTTTCTGTTCCGAGAACTGGTTCATATTTCTGTTGTAGGATAAACTGTGTTATTGATTTAATTGACTGGTAAGTTCATTTCTCTCTGTTTTTTTATGTTTTTGTCTTCAGGTCAATGTTATTTAACCATTGTGAGTGTCCGGAGGAAGGAACAAGGAATGTAGTTGCAGAATGTTTGGGAAAACTTACCCTCATAAACCCTGAACAACTGCTACCGATGCTGAAGGTGAGAAGCTTCAATCAGCTTGTTTTCTCTCTAGCTTTTGTAATCCCATCTTGTATTGCACCCAGGTTTGAGCAAGGCCTTATTAACCCATAGACTATATAATTCACTCATTGCCATAGGCTTAATACAGGGGCCACCCGGTTCCAGTAGACAATAGGTTAACCTATTTTTACACTAAACCACCATACCAGCGTAATGCCTTGCACATTTCTGTATCATATAGAAACACACAAATAAGAGAGTACATAAAGGGGCATTTGTTTCATGATGCTACTTTTGTATACCCCCATTTTGCACGTCAACTAGCAGTTTTCCTTTAGGAGCATTGGGTTTTGAGAGGTCTATTTACTGCATTAGATCAAAATAATGATGCTCATCAGATTACATGGAAATTAGATAAACAGATTAATTGTACTCCTAGTTACAACGATGTTGATGATAGTAATATTGATGATAGAAAATGGTGATCTCATGATGTTGATAATGTTGAAGGTGATAGCTATGGTTTTATTTTCGGCTGAATAGGAGTTAGAAACAATGGTAGTATTGACAGTCATGTATTTGTGTCAACAGTATTATTGTTGTTATTGAATTGATATTGGTTAAGTAGTAAGATCAGATTGGCCAGACATGAACATCATAATTGATAAAAAGAAAGATGAGGAGGTTGAACATTTTACGTACATGAGTAGTCTTATCACATGAGAGAGAGAAAGAGAGATAAAGGGAGAGAGAAAGAGGGAGAGAGAGAGAGAGAGAGAGAGAGAGAGGGGGGGGGGGGGAGGGTGGGGTTAGATCAATGATATCATGCAATTGGTGATTTGAACAAAGAATAACTTTCTATTATTTAAGACTATGTTGCATATCCATGTTCAACTGTTGTTTCCCCTCTTTGTTTTACCAGACCAATTTGAAGTCTGATTCAGCCTACACAAGGAGTACAGTAGTCACAGCTGTCAAGTTCACAATCTCAGATCAGGTAACGATTAATCTACTATCTATCCATTTATTAGAGGCAATCTTTCATTATCCTCCTCTATGTCAGTTTTGTATGTGATACTTATTCATACATGATCAGTACCAAAGGTAACTTTGGTGTTAGTATAGCAGCAGGAAAATGATCGCTGATAAATGGAGATGTTTGTATTAGTTTAACGAGTTGTAATAATTAGGGTAAACGATGCTAGTTGTGTAATGCATGAAATTCACAATGAGATTCAACTAGCAGCGTAAAGCGGATTGGAATAAAATTGGGGTGTCTTTGGTAATCACACAGACGAAAGTGCATGTTGATCAAAACTTCAAAAAAAATTAGTCTTGACACCAGTTGTCAATCAAGTCTTGAATGTTGTAACTGTGATTGATAACTTATTCCTTCTACGTTATGTATTCATACATGTATATATACATGTATATATATATATATATATATATCTACATCTCTATGACCCACCTCCCCCCCCCCCCCTTTTGTGTGTGTATATTTATTTAAAAAATTTCTTATGCAGTCTTATTGATTATCAATATATTTTTCTTTCTGACAGCCTCAAGCCATTGACCCTCTCCTGAAGGCATGCATCGCTGAGTTCTTACAGACCATGCAGGATCCCGATCTCAATGTCAGACGGGTTTCACTGGTTACGTTCAACTCGGCTGCACACAACAAACCAACCCTCATTAGAGATCTACTAGAAACCATCCTACCACATCTCTACAATGAAACAAAAGTCAAGGTAGGAAGGAATTTTATGGATTTTAATGATTTGTTTATATCGTCTGTTGAGAGCTAGAATGGCGTTAACTCCTTTACTTAGACTTAAAGAGAAGGTTGAGTTCTGGGGAGCGGTGAACAATAATTTGTGAGCGTTTCATTGTTATTATGCAAGTTTGGAAGAACATCAGAGAAAAAACAGTTCCCTGAAAAGTATGGCTCTTCAAATGCCTCCATATTCTAAATATGACAAGTAAAAGCTTAAAAATGAGGCCTGGTTTTTATGCCACATGTTTGTGTACCAGTAGTCCCTTTCTGTGTACAGTGCTTGTTACTTTACCAAGACTTGGCCAAATTTCTTATCATTTTGATGACTCCAGAACCTTGAAGTACACACCAATTATACTTATACGCCACATGATCAATTTTTTTCTGTTTGATTCCCCACCGTTTCTTTTACAATGCAATCACTTGACCAGAACTCAACTTTATCTTTAATGCCCTTCTAGCTCTTAACAGTTAATGGTGTGTATTAAGATCATACGCCTCCCTTTGGTCAAAACTGCAGGCGTGAAATTGGCTATTAACTGCTATAATATCACACACATAAATACAACTCAATGGCAATAGTAAACAAATATTGACTGCTTTTTGGGGTATTGTTAAAACAATTGTCCAAGGTGATCTCGAAAAACTGTGCATCAAGACTAGGTCGAGGGGCATAGTGCAGTCTAAAAATCACTGAGGAGATATAGACAGTAAGAGATGCGTTTTAATCTGTAAACATATTTAAAATAATTTGAATGCATTTTGTCAGGCACAACGTAAAATAAAATATTCATATTTTAAGGACCCACATGTCGATGCTATGTGTAAACAAATATTAACTATTCATGTTGGGGTCACAGCTCAAATTATATAAGGCCCTTGGGTGATCTCCAAATTCTGGTGTGTCCTATGCGTGTAGATCAATGGTTAATGCCACCCACGAAATCAGCTGGCAATTTTTAAAGCTTATTACCCTGTAAATCAGTAAATCTCACCTCTTGTCACGAAAACTGATTGATATGTTGACGGAAGTTTGTATATTATTTGGCTCTTTGCTGTATGATTGCAGTGTTTGATATGTTGATATTGTTGAGAGAGAGTCATTGCATCAGTTTGACCTTTGCTCTCACATTCACAGAAAGAGTTGATCCGAGAGGTAGAGATGGGTCCCTTCAAGCACACGGTAGATGACGGTCTCGATACAAGAAAGGTAAATTAATCCATATTCAATTTTTAGTACTCAAGATAAAGTCTGTGTTTCCAGGGAAACCTTTAGTCTTTTCATATCTCATTGTTATACAGGGACCACATGTAAATGAAATAAATGATAATAATGATAATTAATTTTGTTTATAGTCAATGTTTTTTTTTCTCCTGAATTTACAGAAGTGCCGAGTACAATTTAAAACCAAGCTTTTGCCCGGGCTACCCTAACAACGCACTTAAGCAAAATTTTGTTCTTCATACCGAGGTTCCATTCACCTGGGCGGAGAAGGGCAAGTGTAGATATATGCATTGCCAAAGGATACTTGTATTGGGGCAGGGATTCAGAGACTTACCCACTAGACTATGCCACTTCTACATACACAGTTTATTTGAATTGTTTGCTTTTACCGAGGCTGCATTTGAATGTATGCACAGTTGCACACACTTCTGGGGTCATTCACCAATAGAATTGATTATGTTTTGTAATGATTTGTTTTAACCAGGCTGCGTTTGAATGCATGTACACACTACTGGAGTCATGTCTGGACAGACTGGATATCTTTGAGTTCCTCAATCACCTAGAGGATGGACTCAAAGACCACTATGATGTCAAGGTAAGACTAATAATAATAAGAGCTCGTTCTTATATAGCGCTTTTCAGGACCGCAGGCCCTCTACAGATATATATTATTACCCTGGTCATCGGATTCAGGCTTACCCGCACAGCCAGGTGTCATTTTTACAAGCGCACACTTGCTAATCTAAGCACACTAGCTGTCGCATCCTACCATGGGGTACCCATTTAACACCTGGGTGAAGAGCGGCAAATGTAGATCAATGTCTAGCCAAAGGAACCGCGGTTCTTGTGATCCATATCAACTCGACCACGACACCTCTACACCTGTCACTCAGTGGCATAAATCTGTTATGGGAAAGGGGGTGGTAATGATTGCAATCTCGGGATGAGATTTCTTGTGCAATAACTCAAACACACACACGACTCTAATCAAGTAGACATGAGCTTTTGAAGATTTTTGACTCATTTTGGGATGTTCTAAACATATTTTTGGTATTTTTGTAGCATTTAAAGAGAAATTATCATTACTATTAAGAGTCACTTATATTTAGTTTTTCAAATGTTTAAACAAGTATTGATTTTCCTTGAAAAAGTGGGGAGTATATTAAGGAACCACCTGGAATATATATATAGCACTTGGCATATCACGTTCCCATTTACACCTGGGTGGAGAGTGGAAAATTTGGATTAATGTCTTACCAAAGGACATTAGTTTTGGGCTTGAATTTGAACCATAAATCCTTGAATCGAGAGTCAAGTAAATGAACCACTATACCAAGACACCAATAAAGCCTGGACATACTAGGCACAGAGTCTATGAAGAAGAATCATGAAATTGTTTCTTTTGTTCCACAGATGCTGACGTACTTGATGCTGGTCAGATTGTCAACACTCAGCCCACATGCAATCTTACAAAGTGAGTAATTATTTTTGTTTAAAGAAAAGGTTAAATTTTGATAAAGATAAAGAGTAATTCATGAGCTTTCCTACTCTTTGTATGCCAGTTTGGTAGAATATTACATATATGTATATGTCCTCTTAAAAGATTTCCCTGCAAATACCTCATATTCAAAATATATAAATATATAAACAGCTGAAGAGTTTGGACAACACTTTCATGCCATATCCGTGTGTAGTCCCATATGCCTATTTATGTGTGCAGTTCATGTGATTTTTCTGATGTCTCTGAAAATGTCATTGGTCACTCTTTACTCTGTTGGAGATCCACAGATCAACAGTGGCACTTGATGATCATGTAGATGCATCTAAAACGGGCTTTCCGCCATATTTATAGACGTACGTATGTATGATTTACTGGTGTATATCAACTTTTAAAATATTGTTTTGAAACTAAAAACAAACAATTCTCTTTTATCCCATCCAGGGCTAGACAGACTGATTGAACCATTGAGAACGACATGCACCACTAAGGTTAAAGCTAACTCGGTCAAGCAGGAGTTTGAGAAACAGGATGAGCTGAAGCGATCAGCGATGAGGGTAGTATCTGCTCTCCAGGCTGTCCCTGACAGCGGTAAGTCTGAACTGCATTCATCCTCAGTTTTGCATACGATACAATCTTCCTGCGATCCGATTGTCAAAGATAGAGGGGTAGAGTTAGAATTGCATTTGGATTTTAGGTCATGTTTAGGGTAAAGGTTAGGATGTAGGTTTTGGTATTGTGTAAGGTAAGATCCTTGGACCCTTGCATCCCATAAATAACCAGGGGGTGTTTAATAAAGCCGTTTTGTAAAGTTACGCATGACTTTATGAATGGCTATGATATGAAAAGCCAAATGGGATGCTCAATCACTTTACGAACAGCTTCATGAAACTTCCCCAGATGTAGTTTTTAATTCCACTAGGATGTTTGTAGTCCTACAAACTCTTTTGTTGGTAGTGCTTCTTGTACTTACCTTTTTTCTTCATTTCATCAAGAGTGAATCACTTACAGTTTGATGATTTCAGAATCTCACACTATACAATGATACATTCTTATTTTTAATCAATCATTCTTGATAATATCTATTTGCTATTAGTCGCAATACAATACTCTGAGTCCATATCTGGTTTATCTATAATTTCAATTAATTTTGAAGTAGTCATTATCTGTGTAATGTCATATTCTTCTTTGCCGTTTACTTGTAATTCAATATTTTTAACATGTTTATTTGGTATCTCTCACTTTTCCTTCCTTTTCCTTTCTTCTTTTTCTTGCGCATAGCAACCAAAAAATTACTTTTTTTTTTACGAGGGCTCTTTTCAGATTTTCCCTTAAAAAAATAGCCCCCCTTAATTATTTTGCGGTGGCTATTTTGGAGCTCAGGGGGGCTTTTTTTTTTTAAAGGTTGTATTTTTTTTAAACGCGGTTTTACCTAATTAAATTCCAAGCAAAGGCAAATATAGATACAATTGTAGCGTACATATGTCATATATTGTAGAGTATTGCAGACATTCAGATACGAGATACCCATGATTTATTCACTTTGTGTTAAACGTGTGGCTTTATGATTTACATATACATGTAACTAAAACTTGTCAAAAGGAGTGTTTTGTTTAACTGTTCGTTTTTCATATCCTAAGAAAATATTATCACTGACACGCGGGCTAGGAATTAATTTTTTTATGGGGGCTACTTTTCCCCATTGCCTAAAAAAAACCAAGGGGCTACTTCCTTAAAGCCATATTGTAAGCTGTAACAATAAGTTGTGTTTTTCCTTAGCCATCATACTACTAGCAACCAAATTGGTAGGTAATATGTTATTTAGTCTTTTTTTCTGTCCCAAATTTAATTGTTTATCATGGACAATGCAATCCCATTAAAAAAAAAATGTAGACCAACTCCCTTTAAAATTGTGTTATTTAGACCATTTATAACCATTAAATGTGAGTAAATATTTTTACTGTTGTCCCACATACCGATGTAGGGTCTATTTGTTATGCTGAAACATGCAAAATCATGGCCTTATTTTTTTTTTTATAGACTCTAATTCTAAAGGCCAAGCCAAAGCTAGTTTCATTTCGTAGACAGAAATTGATGTCATCATCACTCTTGACAATTGGCCTGGCATCGATCGTATATAGATCTAAATAATTTAATTTAATTAAACAGTTGTAAGAAAGATTCTGAGGAGTAGGAACATCCTTTATAAATTTATTTACGGTTTTTTATAACAAAATTCAATTTCTGTGTACGAAACTTGCTTTATACCGATTTTACAGGAAAAAATCCAGCATTGATTTTGCACGTTTCGTTATTACAAATATATCAGTATGTGGGACAACAGTAAAAATATACTCGCATTTAATGGTTTTAACTTATAAATAGCACAATTTTAGACGGAATAACATTTTTTTTAATGGGATTGCATTGTCCATGATAAAAATTAGGGCCAGAAAAAAGACTAAATAAACATATTACGTACCAATTTGGTCGCTAGAAGTTGAGCTCTCGTCACTCGCAAATACTTATTTGCTTCATGCAAGGAGCGTGCGGGCGCGCGCTGGAGCTGAACTAGTACGTTTCTGTGTATTGTGAACGTGTGCGAACTGCGTATGCATTCATGCTGTGCACGAAACTACATCGGGGCCGGTGGCCTGTCCGGCCGCCGGGAGCCTAGGCGCAGGCAGGCGGATACCGCTGTAGATCTAGCTACAGTAGGTACGACCGCCGATCCGCTGCAACTCACAAAACTTTTAAAATGTTGATGGAAGTTTCTAGTTTTGGAGTTGGTAGTTGGAACGGAGATTTCACTCAGACACATCAATAAATTGGTTTATTAATTCACAGGGAATATCAATTCATGGCGGGGGCGATTTTTCAAGATATATTGATTTTTTTTCGCCCTCGTCTTGATTTTTACCGTGGCGATTTCAGAGGTTTAGGGGGCGAATCGCCCGTCGCCACCGTGTATTTTTTTCGTTGGCGCATAGAAACATTGGTATTAAGTGCTTTATAAATATAATGTAATATTATTATTATACTCAATTCTCTTCTAAATTCTGATTCCCTTACAGACAAGAATCTGCTCCTCACCGAGTTCCTGATGCAGATCCGCTCGAGCCCCGAGATGGCGACGATGTTTGACAGCATCCAAAAGGATTCAACGCTCAGTAGCAGTGATTCGCTCATGGATACCACTTAGATGTCCTTATTTGCCTCATGATCCAGGTTTTCTTAGTACTCATTGCTAGAACTGACGATGCTCCACAATTGTTTTTGCTTGTATTTACTTCTGATACTGTACCACACATGGATGTAATTATCATTTTTTTTGGGGCTAGCAAAATATTAGGAACTGCTAAGGGTACCTTGACAAATATTCCACAGATGCTCAACAATTGTTTTTGCCTGTATTTACTTCCAATACCACACATGGGTGTAATTATCTTTCTATTTTGGCTAGAGAAATATTAGAAACTGCTAAGGGTATCTTGGCAAATGATTGACAGATGCTCAACAATTGTTTTTGCCTGTATTTACTTCTGATACCACACATGGGTGTAATTATCATTTTTTTTTTGGCTAGAGAAATATTAGAAACTGCTAAGGGTAACTTGACATATGTGTCGTGAGCAGCCTCTTTGTGATATTTCTAAAGGCTACAATCTCCTTGGAAGTCCATATTAAAAAACAAACAAACAACCAAAAGCAGTGCTACACTTCTTTTATCATAGAAATATGAGGTTCTGAAATTCTATATTAATTATAACGTAAGGACTAAGGAGCTTTACTATTAATACTTTGTGTTTAGTCACTCTAGTGCAAAGATCAAGATCTGTTTGATTCATCTCAATTCACTTTAGACTGTAGGCTTTACCCCTCCCCTGTATAATGCAACCTGGGTGTAAAGACCACTCAAGAGAAACAAGAAAAGTGGTCTCTATAGGGAACTTTGTCTCTGTGTTCAGGTTCCCCTAGTACACATTTCAATGAGAAATATAGTTCAAATGAGAGGCCATAATAATTAGATGAAACTGAATTATTATTTTTTGGTGGAAAATGTGTTTTTAAGTCCACCAGCTTCAGTTTTGTCATGCATATACAAATGTATATTGTACTATTGTTAGTATTGTGAGTTTTATGTGAGTTTAATGAGTTTTGCTTCACGACCCTATCCAATTTGAAAACAGTCTGCATCTATCTTTTACAAAATTTGGCAGTTTGAGATTCTGCCAATGTTTCAACCCCAGTTTGCTGCGATCCGATCAATTGGAATTGTTTGTAAATTATACGTCGATGTGTAATCATGAACTTTCAGGATAACATTTTGTTTGATTCTGGGAAAAATTACTTTCCAACATTACTAGAACTCTTAATTACCTGTAGGTTTCCACCTATTACTCTATATTACTCATTAGAAAAAAAACAGACATTCAGAGGCAACTGCTTTATCTTTTTGTTGACGTTTACCGTTAATTCAAACTGATATTTTCGTGGTTATGTGCTTTTATTTCTTGTTATGAACAAGCCTTCTTTCACGTACATGTAAACCATGTACCTTTGTACTTGTATTTTTAATAGTTAGTGATAACTTCAAGTATTGTAAATGTACACAGATATTTAAAGTAAATTTGTACACTGTCTTTACTTGCATGTACATGGAAATCATCTAATCAACACTGTTCACATTTCATTCTTATACTAACTTTTTGGTCCCATCATAAGATTTTTTTTTTTTTTTTTTTTTTTTGGGGGGGGGGGGGGGGGGGGTTGGTGTTCGAAATTGTTGGTCCATATGCACTGGTCAGTTGTCATTGTTGAGGCTGGCCAATTGCAATGTGGACATTGGTACTAAGTACTCTCCAAACCCTTTATTCTTGTGGGAAATGATGTTCAATACAATATTGAATTCATGCATGGGAAACAGAGGTACATGTATTAATGATTTCTTAAAGAATGTGATAATTGAAATGTTGTGAATATCTTGAATTTGCTTTCTTTGTTAATTTTGGGTATTGCATGCACATGCTGAGACATGCTTTAAATTAAGGATTTGAAAAATATGTATAATGCCTGATTATTGTATGTTTCAATTTTATTTGTTACAGGGAATATTTGACTTCTAGAATTTTGAAAAAGAGAGATGATTTTTAAGTGCAGTAAAAGGAAAAATCAAAATAGTTTAATATACACCTTTGCAGAGTATGATGAATCCTAAATAAACCTCACACTTTCTTCGGTATGACTAGCATTCATTTCTGAGAACTCAAGATGTGATGGCCTCTCGATGTATTCTCTGATTATTGCTCATATTTTATTTTTCCACCACGCCCAGGTACCGGTATAGAAAAAAATGTTTGGGAGAAAACACTTCAATGTTTCTGCCAATTTGAGGATATGTTTTAAAGCCCCACTGTCCTACTTGTAGCTACTTGCTCCCTCTATATAGAAAACTTCCCCAATCGGTGCCTGTTGGTCCACCATGATCCTCTTCTTCTTATGTTAGTTGAGAGCTGAGTTAATGAGATAGCCACCTGTCGGTGACCACGCTGTGTGGTCTTATCCCTTGTGGCCCAGTAGTATTGATGGTCTTTAAAGAAAAGGATAGCCTTCTTAACATTGCATGTGGCATGTAACGATTGCTGTTCTCTTTGTAATATACATTAGTTGAAATTTATAGACTCTGGGTGAAGATAGGCTGTTGAAAATGCTCTTGGGGATCTATTTTTTACCTTTAACTGCAGAAGAATTTTGTAACACTACGTTTATCAACATAGTTTTAAGCTTGTCATAACGTCAAATTATGTCCAAACATACATGAATGACCCTAAACGCTGATCCCTTTGATGGTGATAGAACTGTAAGTGTTGTAGTGGAGTCCAGTAACACCGCCATACTTTAGATCAAGTCATTATACAGATAGTATAGAAGGTACTATTTTTCAGCAGCTTTGTGACTCAGAACTTCTGGCCTCGCCACAACACCGATGACTCTGTATTATGAGCAGGTCTCCTATCGGCAGGATATTATTTGACGAAAACGTTTCATTATCTGTTCACTAGTTCTTCTGTTTACTAATTCATCTGCTTCTTGTGAACTCTCCCAGATATACTGTGCTTATGTGTAATGTTAATGAAATCACATTGACTACAAACTTACTTCTTACTACAGTGTATATCCACCCTTTTGTGCCATCTCCCATTTTCTTTCTGATTAAAATTGTAGCAGAAAAATAGACGTGGTATATACATGTATGTGTATGATCTTACTTTGTATGCACTTGGGTGCATATATTTCTCGACTACTTGTCAAAGTGGAATTTGATTATCAAGATACTGCAGTTTTTTGCTTGAGAAGTGATTTTGTAGATCACTTTAAAATGGATATGTTAATAAATTTGGTTGCCATTACAGATTTTTGCCTTTGTGTCACGATTGTTTCTTGGCTTTAGCGTGTAAAAAGATTTATATTGAGAATAATTGAATGGTTCCCTTGTAAATCTTGTACTTTGGGAAATTAAGTATTAATTGTTTAGAATAATTTGTTTAAATAATTCTCCCTGTATTTAAATCATTGAAAGGAAAAGTGCCTCTGATATACCTGTCTAAAAATCACCTACAAATGCTTTCATTCATTATTTCCCAAATATTTGGAAAATTCATCACATACATTGTACATTTTTTTCCGAACTGTGGGTTGGGAATCTTTCTCTGCCCCTGTCTCGATCCTTCTCTTCCACCTTTGCCTCTCTCTTCCTTTTCCTCCATCTATGTCTCTTGAAATTTCTCACCGTCTCTGTCCGTCTCTCTATGTCTCTCCTGGCATGCACCAGCTAGGGATGAGTTTCTGGGGGTGGGGGGGGGGGGGATCCATCAAACGTCAAGTCATACCTGTCAACCTTTCACAGTAATAATGGGGAATCTCTCTAGGCAAAATTAGAAATGTAGACCATTTTGTAAATTTTTTACAGAGTTTTTAAAATAACAGAAATATAGCAGTAGTGGACATAGTTAGAGGCGAAAAGTTAGGCATCATTCCTTGGAACATGAAGAAACAGGAGCTTAAAGGTAAAGACCAGTTATGGTCATGCGATTGCATTGTGAAAGAAACGTGGTGGAATCGATCAGAAAAGGTTGATCATCTAGCATCTAGCATCTGCAAGGTTCTGGAATCATCAAAATGATAGGAAATTTGGCCCATTCTTCGTAAAGTTACAAGCACTATACACAGAAAGATGTATATGGGACTACCCTATATCTCTCACAGACCATGAGAGAAACAAATTTACCAAATATATGAATTAGTAGGCGGTTTCCCGGCAAATTTTTTATCTTCATGTATTAGTCAAAACATTTTCTTTCACATGATTGGTAATGAGAGCTTCCATTTCATTTTTTGAAATTGGGGCGTTTCCAATACTGGTCTTTACCTTTAACGTTTGTCATTCATGCTTGTACAACGCATAGAGAAACTTTTGTTTATAATGCGCTTTATAAATATTGTATTATTGTGTCACAGGAGGATCGTGTAGTGTGTGGGCCGAGCACAAGAGTTCTTTGATACCCTCGGACACTTACAACTGTATTTTGATCTCGTCTCAACTTGTCACTCCTTTACATGTAATATAGTTTTCCTTCTCCTGTGTAGATATGTATAAGAAATGTATAAATATTTTAATGCTACGTTTTTTATTCGCCTTTTAGAGATCTCTCCTCTCTCCAAGTCTCTCTTTCTACCCTCCCTTTCTTTCTCGCCACTCTCTCTCTCCCTCGTCATTTCTCTCCTCGATTTCCTCGTTATCTCTCGCTTTGGTCTTACTACATGTAGCCAGCCGTTGAATATTGTATTGTCACCATATTTTCACGTGCGTAAAGCAACATGTTTTTCGTAAGTGTATAAACTTTGGTTCAATTTTGTTTACACTATTCAATTTCATTGTAAATCAACCATTATGAGTTCCTGAACTTTAAGTTTTGATGTTTTTAAACCAAATAAATAAAAATAAATATATAGTTCATATTTTGCCAGGGCAGTTTACCATGGTGGTTTCCTGTGTCCTATATGAATAGCTTTTATGGTATATTTAATTATGATATATGTAGTTTGTAACAATATGACACACAAATCACAAAGCAAATCAAGGAATTAATTGTAGATGGTTATTATTTAATCATCTCATCACACGAGCATTGAAATCAAGATGAATATCCCATATGCTTGCTTCAGTCACAAGCTTCCAGTGAAAAGGTACCGTTCTATAAAAACATGCTGAGAAATAAAACAACTGGGGTTGAAATGAAAGTTACGTCTATAAACACGATGCAGTGATATTTCAAATCATGGGTATAAAGATTGGTGAATCTTGGCATTAGGCTGTTGTGATATTGAGGTAATATTGAGACGATGTCTGGAAAACTGAACATGGTCAGTGACAAGTACGAAACATTTGCTTCCGTGGTGTTGTCGAAATGAGAGTCAAGGACACGGGGGAGCGAGAGACGAATCCCGTTCACACATGGTTAAGTCATCAAAGTCTCAGCATATGGTGATGTTATATTCAGGTCGCATTTCACTGTAGGCTTGTGATAAGAAGAAGAGATTTGAGCCCCGGTGTGGACTAGTCGAAGAGGCCGAAACCCATGTCATCGTCGGATTCCTCCTCAGATTCCTCCTTCTTTGCAGCTACCTCTTCCTTCTTCTCAGCAACTGGAGCTGATGCTGCTGCTGCCGCTAAGAATGCTGATGGATCTGCCAGGAAGGCCTTAGCCTAGGGGGTAACAAGAGCGAGAGAAACGATAGGTTAGATGTATAGAATGTTCTATGATCAGGGATGCCAGTTAGAATTGATCAGAGGGCCTGAAAATCACCTAGAATGAGCTATTTTGTGCACAAAAAAGCCTAAACTATGGTCTGAAATTAACTCGCTAGGGCCTGAATTCATGCTGTTGCCTGAAACTGGCATCCCTGTATGACACATGCTCTGGTAACAATTGTTCCATTGTACAACAAAATCCCCCACTAACCAACCCAATTGGCGAAACACTATACCCCACTCGAAACCCAACCCAGAGGAAAATGTTTCTGTTCGCAGTCTCTTTTAGGATTTGGTGTTGTATAAGTGTGATGTTCTCACAGGGATATTTAAGTACATTTTTGTTTTTTTACCAGAGTTCTTTTGGAGCTTTCGAGAGCTACTCGCTCATCATAATTTTTACCCCCACTGCCATTACCTCAAACTCAGTTGCAACCCTATAGATTTGACCAATAAAAAATCTTGAGAAATTTTTGCTGGAGCAATCTCTGATCGCCACTTTCTGGTGACCATTGCTCCATCATTAATATCCTATGCTAACCCAACTGACCGAACACTACACCTAACTTTGACCCTGTATATTTTGGGAAATTATGCCTGGAGCAAATGACATAGGATAGTCTTCCTGATTGAGGTATTCTTCATGGTCATGTGAAGATAACATACACATTTACAATGCTGGGATGGAATATCCCAATATCATGCATTGAAACAGCATGATATTTGGGACCTTTAGGTTGGAGAAAATCTAATCCGAATGGGGAAAATACTAGCAACTGGTTGAAGTCACTACAATTCACAACCGAAGGGGCTTTACATGCAACGTGAAGGCTTAGAATATCCTGCAATATCATACAACATCAGATTGCAGTCAGGTCGTAAACTGCGAGGTGGGTGTAAAATAACCATGAAGGACCAGGCTGCTTACCTGTTCTGCCTGGGCGAATGTGATCTCCGTTGCAACAGCAATGGCCAGGATATTCTTGAAGCCATTGACGATGGAATGAGGCACACTGGCTGGGGTTGGGTACCCTATCTGCAGACAGAGTGCAGCCACGTTGGCCACACCCTCGATGAACTTGACGTGAATGTCCTCATCGGTGATGTCCAAGATGCTGGGATGGAACACAGAGCCTGCCTCGTACACTAGGAGCAAATGACAAACAAGGCAAGAGGAAGTTAGAACAAAAGTAAGAAATTGCTTCTTTCAAGTGTGGTTTTGGAATTTCATTCTGATATAAGGTTTAACATTGTGATTGATATCTGTTCACCTCACTGTGTAGTTAAGTAAACTAAAATGTTCTTCAAACTTCCGTAAAAAGGGAAAGAATTTCCAGTACAATGAAATATTAAATTTGTATTCGACATTTTTAACGAGGGAGACTTTCCACAACCTTTGAATTGTTTTCTCTATAATTTCTATTTGACCTTCAGTGGGCTTGAACACAGCACTATGTGAAATTCAAGAAGATCTTACAGTAGGGGCTTTCCCCTTTGAAGAACCACAAGCACGGACCCGTTTCACAAAACTTGTCATCAGTGACAAATGCCAGTTTTTGTTATAAGCTACTGAAATCCTTGATTCTGATTGGTTATCAGCAGACTTGTCACTGATTTTTTTTTTCTTCATTTGTCATTGAAAAAAGGCTTTGTGAAACAGTTCCCTGATCATTTCAACATTTAAACAAATATGCAAGGAAGATCCAGAGACTCACCTTGGCGGATCTGGAGACCATACGAGAAGGGGTAGATCTTCAACATCTGAAGCAGAGTGGCCTCAGAAGCTCCTACCTTCTCGCCCAGCTTGATCAGATGTACTTTGTTCTGCAGGATAGTAAAAATTATATTCCACATACTAAGAATCTTGCTCTATGATTGGTCAAAAGTAAGTCATGTGATGAAAGATAGTTCGCCCATTATTGATGGGAGAAGCAAAAAGTTTGTTACACTGTGTAGATAGTACTACTATTTACACAGTGCAACGCACTTTCACTGAAGATTATCCAAAAGCGCACTAAAACCAGAGATGCCAACCCTATAGGATGGCTGTCAGTAACATTTACATTTGTCCGTAACAAATGGGGGTCTTTCCGTAACGCAAGACACCGCAGCATAATTTTCGCGGAAAACGTACACAAACACCCAATCACTCTTACTGCATTTCGAACCTACCATTTTTAAGTCCAAAATAAAGATGTGCATAAAAACGTTTTTAAAAATCTGTTTGCAGCCAAAGGATCTCCTCCTCTGGTACTCGCTCTTTTGAGTGAATCCATGATAATATTCAGGAAGAAAACACCTCGTTCAAGCGTCGAATGGAAAATTCGAATCCACAGTCAAATGGCAGAACTCATATCCTACACACGCACACGTACACTCACCAGTACCACAGACACACCAGCCCAGGCCGCTAGGCCCAGCGTTCATGAACAACACACCGTACATCGCACTTGCAATGCGCCCGCTGAATCACCGAAGTCTTCGCTACTATACTTTGAATTGGTATTGCGGGCGCCGCACGCACGATCATCCACCCCATGCTCCCCCCCTAAATGCACGACCGCACGTAGTATACTAGTATCAAAACAATAATGACGGCGGCCGTGTTGTTTCGGAATTAAACAAGATGGCGGCGGACGGACCATGTGCGTGAAAGTGCCTATCCAGTGTAGTCAAATTCAGTGAACTTATGATTGAATGAGTGCGACATTGCAGCGCTGTGTACTGAGGCTATGTATAAATAGCGGCATCTGCTATAATGTACTTTTATTTATCGTTTCCCCGTAACCTTTTGATTGTTTACCGTAACGCCGTAACAAGAGCATCAAAACCGTAACAAATACAGCGAAACCGTAACGGTTGGCATCTCTGTAAAACAGGCGTAATTAAGCGCGCATTACCATTGAGCGCAATTAAAGAAAACACATGCGCGCACCGTACCCTCAAGGGGTTGGGTTAAACTTAAACTTTTTTGGTGTGAATTTGGGCCTAGGTGTCTTTTATGTAAATGCATACACTTTCTTTTCTTTTTGTAGTTAAAATTGTTTTAGATGTGGAATATAAAGCAAATAATCACCTTTTGGTTTCAGGCGATGGCAAACTATCACTTCCTCGTCGATCAGAATAATCACCTTTTGGTTTCAGGCGATGGCAAACTATCACTTCCTCGTCGATCAGAATGTATACGCTATCTTTCCTCAGCTTCGCTTCGGAAAGATAGCTACATCCAGATCGCCTCGGAAATGGTAGTTTGTCCCATCACCTTCACTAACGGTAATTATTTGCTCAATAGCAATTAACCTTCAAAGATCAAACTAAAATTTTGGGGTAAATGCCTGATGCAAGTACATCACTTTGCATTTGGTGAGTTATAGAGGCATCAGCATGTACATTCCTTCCAAAATTACAGGGAGAAAGAAGAACGGTGTGAAAGTAAAGATCCCATTCACATTTGTCTAAAATGGGAGAACCATGTATGACAGCAAGAAATTTAGCAGTAACCCCCCCCCCCCTCAATACTGAATGTATCTTATAAAAAATAACTGGTTCAGACACGTTATTGAGGGCTGGTTTTTGGTCAATGCGGGATGCTGGCCTTCAGTGGGTTCAGCCATTTCTGGCTCTGATGGCACTATGTGCATCACACTGGCAACATGCCCCTGAGTCATCACTACCAGTTATCTCAAGTAAATGCCCCAACCCTTTGATGCAGCTTGCCCACTTTGAAAGGCCAAGCAGGTGCTATATATAAAAGACGGCTACTTTCCCTCCTCCTCCTCTTCCTCATCCTTCATAACAGGGCTCCAACTCCACAATTGCCTGGCTGCCTTTGACCTAATGAAACCCTGCTGGCAATCTAAGTTCTATCTTTGTAATACCTGTTTAACAAGTCTGACAAATGACAATCTCAGTGCTATTACTAAACTTCATGTAAATTTTTCACATTTAATTTCAATGACTAATGAAAGAGGACTTTGGTAAGCCTGGTGACCATCCAGGTTACCTTGCCAGCAATGACAATCACAATCAACACATATAAAAAGTTCAAGTGAGAGACCTCTATTTTTTATAATACACTCACATTAACATCTTTTCAAGGATGATTTTTTTTTTTCTTCATTAAGAATCAATAAATTATACAAGCCTCCAAGTCTTATTCACTGCCTACGAAGCAAAAGAGACAATTCTCACCAAGATTTCAATGGTTCCCCTGGCGATCTTGGTGGCGATGGAAAGAGCCTGGAAGAAAGAGGTCTTCTCGGGTCCCAAGCCGGTGTTGACGCTGTCAATGAACACATCAATTGGTGCGAGGGCACCAGCCTTGGCTGGGGCAGCGACCTGTACAACACAGAAACCGTTGTGGACATGTTAGAATCAATGTAAAATATGTTTTTCATTTAACAGTATGTGGGGAATTTCTCCCCCAATTTGTTGCAATTGAAATATAAATTTCTGAATTTGAAATTCTCATAGAATTTGTGATCTAACCTGTCAAACACAAATTTCTCAAGATATTATCCAACTTTCTTTAAACTCTTACTCCGCTGTTTCTACTTCTACACAGTTTCAAGAAAACTTGGTATATTTCACAAGGTGTCACTACGAACACGACGTACAAAGAAAGTGGACAAAATATACAGTTCTTCAGGTAGACAAAGGAACATCCCTTGACTGCCATCGTGTAAAAATGTGTAGAACAGGTGGATATGCATGTGACACCTGTTCTACACATTTTTACATAATAGCAGTGAAGGGATGTTCCTTTGTCTACCTGAGGAACTGTACATTTTGTCTGCTTTCTTTGTCCGTCATGTTCATAGTGTGTTTAGCCGCGATACCAGTTAAGTTTACCCAATGAGCCCGAAAAGAAGCCTGTACATTTTGGATCCCTATACATTCTGTATTTAAAATATGCAGTCTGAAAAGGCATGGAATGGGAGATTTTGGGTGTGAAACCAGGCAAAAGCTTGAAAACGCTCTCATGATTCAGACGTGTTATTGAGGGCCATTTTTTGGTCAATGCGGGATGCTGGCCTTCAGTGGGTTCAGCCATTTCTGGCTCTGATGGCACTATGTGCATCACACTGGCAACATGCCCCTGTGTCATCATAATCATGGCATGTAGGATGTTTTGTGGAAGGAGAAAAGAAAGAAACAATTTAAAAAGGGAGATTCTTTTTCATTATTTTGAGCTCTTTTCCACATTTCCAGTGGGGTAGGTTTCACCTGCATCATTCATGGCAAGTACAAAGAATCCTTTACGATCACCCGTCTTTGAAGACCACATTTTCTTTTCCCCTTGAATAGTGTTGACTTTAAAAAGTGTAATTAAGGAACTTGTACACAAAGTCCATTAGCCTTTAAAGAACTCTGTCCTATTTCCCTTGAGCAGGCATTTGACAAAACATTAACAAAATTCTGTAGTGCATCTGTACCTTGTTAGCCAGGATCTTTTCTCGGACCTCCAGCAATTCTCCCTTGGTGAATACAAATCCAACATTGCCTTTCATGTGGGGAAGGAGCCTGCAGGTTGAAATGGACAGCAAGGCAAATTACAGGGAGGAGGATAAGCAAAGAGAGAGGGGAAAATGTAACATGGATGAACGAAAAGATTATGTAAGGAGATGATTGGACAAAGAAATAGTGGATCAAAATACAGCAACAGTGGAATACTCCTTTAAAAAATAAAAGCATTCCATTTTTGGCTTTTCTTTCTGCATTTTTTTATGCTCCATAATTTTTCTTGATGTTCATAATAATAATATAATACTTATCATTTAGGAGTGGTAGAAAACATTAATTTCCATAGCACTTACAAGATTACAGAGAGTGAAGGAGAAACTTGAAATACCAACACTTATAAAAAAATAGGTAAATTGCATTTAGTCACTGAGGGAAGATGTACATGTATGTTTCAAGGGATTTTTGGAAAAAGGCAAGACAGGTTAATTCTCTGATGGAAAGTGGGATATTGCTTCTTTTTTCAAATCAGCCACTTTCAAACATTTTCAGGAACATGAGAATCTGGATTTGTGAACAATTAATTTATATTTGTCAATTGTTCATGGAAGGTTACGAGCTAGTGTATATATTTGGAGGGTGTCATTAAGATATTCAGGTTCCCTACGATTTAGAATTTTTGAAGACATACAAGTAGAACTCAAACAGAATGCATTGTCGTAGAGGTAACCAATGGAGTTCCTCAATCAAGGGAGAAGTACGAGTCGGAGATCCAAGGCCAAAGATTAATTTAGCGGCCAGATTCTGGACATTTTCTTGAAGCGAGTAGTTTTGCTTTCAGTCTACAGATAAATTGATACAAAGCAGGCAGAATTTATAAGGCCAACAGCTGCCCCCCCCCCCCCAAACAAAAACTAGCAATTTGCAACTGATTGCTATGTACAATAAATCAATCATACTATCGATTGCAAAGCTCTCTTGTCATGAGGTCAAGATCTTGAAACATGCAGAGAGAGAAAATATTCACAAATGCACGACAGGATCAACTAGATGGAATTCGACTGCGCGCAGTCGAAAATGATGCCTCCGTCATAGAGCAATTTTACAAACCAAAACAGAAGAAATTTTTCAAATTCAAGTTCAATTGTAATCCATTAACAGGTTCTCAGAATATCGTGATTACAAACAATTTCTCATATACATATATGACCCTTTGAACTTTGACCTCATGATCCTAATATCTACTCAGCTCATTGGCTCTGCAAGATATCCAGAGTTAAATAGTAATCCATCTGTCAGTTCTAATGAGAATGCGTTCACAAGCTATTTTTGCATACATAATGAGCCCATGACCTTGGACCTTATGAACCAAGAATCTACACAGTTCATTGGCTCTGCAAGATACATAAATGATCTAAGTTTGGCAGGAATCCATCAATCTGTTCTAATGATAACGCGATCACAAGCTGTTTTTGCATACATAACGGGCGCTGTGACCTTTGACCTTTGACCTCGTTACCCAAAATCTAATAAGTTCATCGGCTCTGCAAGTAACATACATGACCTAAGTTTGGCAGGAATCCATCAATCGGTTCTTGAGATAACGCGATCACAAGCTGTTTTTGCATACATAATGAGCCCTGTGACCTTTGACCTTTGACCTCGTGACCCCAAAATCTAATCAGTTCATTGGCTCTGCAAGATACATACATGACCAAAGTTTGGCAGGAATCCATCTATCGGTTCTTCAGATAACGCGATCACGAGCCGTTTTGCATACATAATGAGCCCTGTGACCTTTGACCTTTGACCTCGTGACCCCAAAATCTAATCAGTTCATCGACTCTACAAGATACATACATGACCAAAGTTTGGCAGGAATCCATCCATCGGTTCTTCAGATAACGCGATCACGAGCTGTTTTTGCATACATAATGAGCCCTGTGACCTTTGACCTTTGACCTCGTGACCCCAAAATCTAATCAGTTCATCGACTTTGCTAGATACATATATGACCAAAGTTTGGTAGGAATCCATTGATCCGTTCTTCAGATAACGTGATCACGAGAACGGGACGTACGTACAGACGTACGTACAGACGTACGGACGGACGGACGGACGGACGGACAACCCGAAAACATAATGCCTCCGGCTACTTCGTAACGGAGGCATAAAAATTTGTAGACCTACTTTTCCAGACCAGGATCATTCTCCATGTGACCTCTGATGGCCTTGCGGATCATGGTGTTCTTGCCCATGAGGACGACACCGTGTCCTCGAAGCGAGGAACGGATTGCCTGCATCTGCTTGGAGCCGACATTGTCAACGCCGACGATGAAGCACTTGGGATACTCATTCAAGTTTTCCTGAAATGTAGAAAGTGGACGTACAAATTATTTACATACCATGGAAATGGAATATTTTAAACAACTTTGAAATTTTGTATCATTACGGTATCAAGAAAAAGTCTTCTGACAAAGTGTCAGTTTTGTTTCAAAATTGATATGAAAATGTAGAGCCTACTACATACATACACCCAGCTTCAACTACAGTACAAACTACACCATGCACTATTAAACCGTTCGAAATGCCAACAAAAAAAAGTTATACCAGAAACCTGATGAATCATCTTTCAGTGTTTCACCGACTTTTTAAAGACAAGGCTTATAAAATTTTAAATGCATAAAATAACTCCATAGAAAAATAAGTTTTAAATAGGTAATTTTTTACAAAATTAACTGTAGATCTATTCCAAAGAGATGGTTTCTCTTTTCTCTCTTAAAAGAGAAAATTAACTACACTGTTTCTTAATTCTTCAACCAATCTTCCCTATAGCTACAGCTAATCAAAATTTATCACTCAATAGTACACATTCTATACATTCCCTTGAGCTTAGGTGCTATAGCATTGTAAGAAATAGGGGAAACAGAGGACATTGCTTACAATGAGTCTGACGAAGTAGTTGGACTTCCATGTGGCCTTGTCTTCCCTGACCATCTTGTGTGACTCAAGGATCGCCGAAGCTGATTTAAAGACAAGACAATCTGGAACCAACCAGAGGAAAATAAGGGAGAGAAATCAAGGACATGAATAATTTAAAATTTAAAGAAATCATTATTAACCTACAAAAAGATTGTAAGAAAAAAGTTACAGCGTTACTACAAATAAAAATTGAAAAGTATTGAAAGTTAACATTTCCTGAAACCATTCAGAAACCAGACCTACCAACCTCTGGAGTTCAAAAACTGTATTATTTAAATCTCAAAAGTTGTATTTTACTGACAAAAGTTGTATTCTTAAAAATGAACGCCAATTAATGCCTCTAACAGTTCCTACAAACAGGAAGAAATTTTTGTAAGGATCGTTGGTTGAATATGCACAGGGTTCTTGTTAATAGCCGGCAACCGGCTATTTTTTCCGGCTGTAACGGCAATCGTAGCCGGCTGTAAGCCTCTCCAAAAAAAAAATAATAATAATACAAAAATCACATCATATTCGGTCAAGTCGCTATCTCAAATTTCTGTTATCACAAGCTTCACGAAGACACGCTTTCATAGCGCGGGGTTGTGAAAACGGTCGTAAAGAAATGAGATGAAACGTCTCCGAAACGATCGTAAAATAAAACCCTATTAAAATATGGACTTGCGGCGCGGCGCACGCGGGGGCAGAGCTATCTAGTATATGCCCAGTGCGCCAGAGCCAAGCGCAGGCCGGCAAGCTAGCTTACGCAAGAAAAGCGCGTGTTGTGAGCCGAGCTGAGCTAGCTGAGTGAATTTATCTCCGAGATCGCACGCCAGTCGAATTAAAATGGAATCGAAACGGCAGACATCGATGTCTTCCTTCCTTACTACAGGGTTCGTACACTTACACATTTTAAAAATTCCATGACTCTCCATGACTTTCCAGAGCAGGATAATGTAAATTTCCATGACCATTTTCAATGATGAACATGTCTTAATCTAAAGCGTACAACTATACATCATCGCAATACTAGGAAGCAAATTACAAAACTGTAAGGCGCACCCCTATTTCGAAGATTAAAAAAAAAAATCTGGAAAAAAATCTGGAAAAAAATCTGGAAAAAAACAACAACATTGTTACTAGACCTAGGTCTAACTTAGTTCACAAGCACTTCAACTGTGCCTTGTATAATGAAAAGTAAAAGTATTTTTCGAACACTGAAATAAGACGTGATCTGATCTGGTTAACAAAAAGCCACCAAAAAAAAGCCAACATTGGTCATTTTGTTAACATCAGATCGGCTCTTATTTTAGTGACAGCGTTCGAAAATACTTTCATTTTATTACGAGGCACAGTTGAAGTGCTTGTGAACTAAGTTAGACCCATTTAACAATGTTGTTTTTAAAACTAAAGATGACAGAATTTTCCTCCGAGTCCAAACAGAAATGTGGACAGGCTAGTTTTCACGTGGTGATTCGTTATCCCCTGTGTAAGTGAGCTTGCATCATACAGGTGAGTGAGCTGGAGACACGGGAGAGCTTCGGCCGGCAAAGTCCTTGTGACAGGGCATAATTTATCGAGACTGAAGAAAAAAAACTGGAAAAAAAACTCTCTTCCTTTCAAATTTGGAACGTAGTTTAACTTCAAATAGTAGATCCTATTCTTTATTTGCATTATGTAATTCATGTTGAGACACAGAGATTTTTGAAACCACTAAAAAGTAGCATTTGAGGACTCAAATATCCTGTACCTGACTATATAAGGCCCATCCCCGACTTTGGATATTTTGCTGAGGGAAAAAAAGTGTGCCTTCATTGCGGACGTTGGGGAAAGCAGCAACCACGAGGCTAGGCTAGCTAACTACTGGCTGTATGCTCGCGCTCGCACAATGGACGCCAAATGTATATCAAATGCGATTCAGGGTTGCGATATTCGAGTAAAGAGCAACACAATTTTTAAAGGGGTTCTTAAGAAAACACGAGTGGCTCATGATACATAGTTATTTACATTTCAATTATTGTTTCATGAATATTCTGTGGTAAAACCCCAGGGTAAAACACCTTCATTCAAACTTTTAATCAAAATCAAAGCACAAGCTCGATCAAAAAGTAATCGTATACAGCGTGCATGCAGCATTCTTGTATGTACACACACCGGCACCACGCACCGCACCTGTCACTGCAAGTCATTCACGCGCACAAACATCTTGCATACAGTATGAAAGACACAATAGACACGGTACCAGTAGGTCCTAAAGATATTGCGTGTTACGAAAAAGGTCCTGTGAACCACAGATTTTACCAAATGTTTTTTCCTTTGTTCACAAGACAAATTAAATGCCATTTTAACAAACATCTTGAAAAAAAAGATTTTCCCTGACTTTCCCTGACTTTCCAGAAGAAATGGATGAATTCCCTGACTTTCCCTGACTTTTTACTTCTGGAAAAAACATTTTTAAATTCCCTGACTTTCCAGAAATTCCCTGACCCGTACGAACCCTGTTACTATTAAGAGTAAGAAGCAACGTACAGGTAAGTTTTTTATTTGAAATGTAAATAATAATGTAGGCTAAATTATAAATAATACCGGTAGTAATAATGAGTGTGAAACTGTGATTGATTTGGCGATGCACGATTCGATAACGTATTCGTAACACCCCCAGACCCCTGTGACAGCTGTCACATACCTGCAAACCATTTACCAATCCAATTTTGTCATATTTTTTTTATGTGTGTTCCAATTTTTTAAATTTTTTATCGCAAACGATTTTCTTCACTGACAAGGTCCTGTAAACGTCAGTTAACCGTTTTTGCCCAGGACTACCTTGTATCATTATCATGTGATTCAAAATTGTAGATTCATCACAAATATGATTGATTTATCAGAAACAATAATGGAGCATTTTCATTTCATATTGTATATCATATGAAAAGTAAGTTATTCAGCCAAAATATTCATGATCTTTATCATTAAACTATGGCTCATACAGTGTGGTCATATCTTCAAAAATAAGGCTAAGATAGCACCAAAGAGCATCTAAAACCCTAAAGCTTCCAGGGCCCTTAGGCGGGCCCTGGACCCCGGCCGCAAGGGACTTCGCGCTCGTGATGTGCGCTTCGCGCACATGGTGATGTGCGCTACGCGCACAGAGATTTTTCTTTTGCAATTTTAGTAGCCTCCTGTAAATCATAAATAGCCTGCTATCAGAAAAATTAACAAGAACCCTGTATGCATGATTTCGTCACGACTGGTGTGTTCGATGAACTAATGAACATCCCCAAATTGCTGATGTGAGATGCTTGTAGGATACTTTATAGGACAGAATGGGCATTTTTTTTTTTTTGAAAATCGTATTTTATTGAGGAAAATCGTACTGTCGTATTTGCTCCTAGAAATCGTACTAAATACGACTAGAGGTCTAAATCGTACTGGTTGGCAGGTCTGAGAAACTGAACAGTGACTGACAGAACGTTTGTTATCGTTGGTATATCAACTACTATACTGGTAGATTCTCCTTATTAATATACTGCATTTTGTAAGCTTTTGGGCCATTCCATGGTAACTCGCATTACACATAATGGGTACATTGACACGATAATGTGCCTAGATCTTTAGAACTGCTAGGATCTACAAGATACTTTTTTCAAACATGGAAAGGGTAGATATAGAACAACTGAATGAAACAAAAAAGAAAATTGAAGAACAAACATTTTTAGATTCTTGGATTATTGAATTTCGGTAACTCACGTTACAAAAAAAGGACATGGTCAATTCTATAAGACCCTCTTTTCTCCTCATACTAGACAATCTTGACAAAATCTTTCCTACTTTAATTTGATAGTAGGTTGTGACTTACTAGTATAAGATCACAATATTAAAGATAAGAAACAATGGACTAGTAAAATGCAGGAAGCAAATATGTCGGTAACTCACGTTACGGTAACTCGCGTTACATTTTGTCCGGAGGCCATTTTCACCCCTATATAATAGATTAAATATCACAGGACCCCTTAGAATATGGAAATATATTCATCTTTTTCCATTTAGCGAAATTTTCAGGAAAAAATATTACAAGAATCCTGTGTAATCTGCAATAAATTGTTTTTTTTTTCATCTACAGTCCCACATGTACGTTTTTGATGATGGTTTGAGATCTTAGGAAATCAACAAAAATGAGAAAAAAAATTGTATTGAATTTGAAAGGCCCTAATGTTTTATGAACATCCATGGCATAAGGTTAGTGATAAATCAAAGAATTAACATAAGAGGTACATTTCTTTTTTGATGTCATGTCCTTCTTCTCATGGAATGGCCCTTTTAAATAATTTTTGGGAAGAAGGAATTGTTGGTATTAGGGTCTAAGTTATTTGTAAATAGGAAGCATTCATTTAAGAAAAAAAAAAAAAAAAAAAGAGGTAAAAAAAAGGTATAGAGGATCTATCCCGAGCAGTAAGTGGATTGATTAACACTTTAACTTAGTGTTTTGAATCTTATATGATATGGGCGATGTATCTAGACATCTAGATCTACACCTTATTGCACGAAAGTGATAAATAAAAACACATATTTCTTTCTATACCAAGTACTACTACTAGACTATAGTGCCACGCATTAATCAAAAAAAGTAAAAATATTGAGGAGTCTTAGACCTATTTCAGTGATATAGATTTCATTTAGATCTAGGCCTAGAGGGTCTACACCGTACACGCCTCAAAAAAAGGCTCAAGTTCTCAACAAGCCATTTTTCACTTTAAAAATCCAGAATTGCATCTTAAATCACAGACATTGAGTAGATCTAACTTCTTTTTCAGTTTATGAAATGTCAAAATGACACGATCACCTTTTTTGTGTGAGAATAACATCTTTGAAAATTTCAAGCCCTCTATTCCTACTCAACCACTCAACTCTCCACGCCATACCTCGCGCCTCCTCCACTACAGGATTCATTTCAAATTCCACGCTTTAGCAACTGTCACGTCAATGAATTAAACAAATAAGTGACATGAAAATAGATTTTTAGAAAATTGTTTTTAAGTTCAATTTTTTTATCAGTCGTAATTTGAATGAGCGAATGGACAAAGCTGACCGTCATCGCCCGTTTATATGCCGGTTCTCATGCAACGAATACAATGCACTTGCCATACATGCGACCGTCGGCCACGAGTGTGCTTGTACATGTACTGCGCTAGTACGCAACCAATCTTGTCGCAATGCCGTCGGCGTAGCTTTTATCTTCAAAAGTTTAATAAAATTTCAATGATATCTATCCTTAGTTTTTCAATCAACAAGTAAGATTCGAATGTGTATTTCTTTATAGATTATATCGTTCAATCATTTCAAACATTTCATATTTATAACATAACGAATTTAGTGAATTTCTAGAGTATCCAAACTTCCCCATGCTTACAAGTAATAAGATGATGAATGCGAAAGAGACTGATTTGGCAGGTAACTATTACACGTGCTTTGCACGTTTATACATGCATACTCCGCCCGAGTCTTTAGGGAGCAGCGAAAATTTATTTCACCATATAGGCGCGCGTACACATGCCATCGACGAGCTATTCACAATGCATCGCGAGTGCAGCTATTGTAGAAGAGATTTTATTGCGGAGAGGGATTACTCAGCTCCACTGAGCAAGCAATAGCAGTACTAGTAGTAATCCGTCATGCTAAATCATGCCACAGGATGATTCTCAACAACTTCCAACTGACCATCAAGGAGGGGGGGGGGGGGGGGGGGGGGGGGGGGGGGGGGGCACAGTGCCCCCAATTTTTCAAGTATCCTCACAATGTCCCTTTTTACAGAGGAAAAATGCCCTTTTAACTTCAGGTAAGTGCCCTCTTTATTTCTTATAGGTGCTCGTTCCACATTCTTATAAGTGCCCCTTACCACCTCTAATAATTGCCCCCTTTACCAATGATGATTGCCAATATTCAAATCTGAGAGGTGTCCTTTTACTTTAGCAAGTGCCCTTTTCCTTTGTAATACTGTGTCCCTTCTCCTTTTGATAAGTGCCCCTTTCCATTCTCCGAGGTGCCCCTATTCATCTCAGGCGAGTGCCTCTTTTTAGGTACAAGAAAAAAACCTTCAGGTGCGAGAAATTATCCATTTTCACATGAGATAATTCCAATTTTTACTTTGAAACGTGCTCCTTTTCTTTTAGAATAACTTTGCTTTTCCTTTGGATAAATGCCCCCTCTAGGCCCTCTTCCTATAACTATACTATGTACTCCTAATTTAAAGTGGCTAAGAGCAAACCTTTCTTTATTTTTACCCAAAGCTCGCTCGCATTTGACGTTGATATAATTTTGTTTCTTATTAAAGGAACTTGGTAACATTGTTCAAATGAGAGAAAATGTTACCAAGAAAGTGACTTCAATGCTAGATGTACAGATATTCTGAATGTTTGAGTGAACTTAAACATACCATTGGGAAAAACTAATGTGATCTATTCCTAAATTCTCCCAACTATATTATTATAATTAAATTTAATTTTAGTTGAATGAGAATAATCACAAAGCAATACATTGGCTCTATGTACCATTCCAAATATTTAAGTGTTGAAAGATTGTTATAAGCCTGTCAGTTTATGTCTTATTTTCATGGAAAAACGCGGGTTGGGAAAGTTTAAAAATTGGTTGAGAGAATACTGTTAGAGGGTGTTGCACATTGACGCCTTCAAAGAAAATCATAAATATCTTTGTGGTTTGGGAAGTTTAATAAGTAACATTAAATACAAATATTACGCAGTTTTTCATCAACATTCAACAATGTTAACGGTTATGAGGTCTTTTCATTTTTTAATGTTGACCCCATCATGATTGTTTTTTCCTCTTTATACAAGATGCAATATTTAGCACTGCGACCTCACAAATCTTAAAATCTTTGCTTGCTCACTTCACTCATTCGTTAATTAATATTCAGACCATCACACCCAACTGCAAGATATGCTTAAGCAGTACCTTGGACCAGGCGCGTACGCAGGGGGGGGGGGGGGGGGGGGTCGACCCCCCTCAATTTATTTTTTAATTAAAATTTTTTTTTTGTGCTAATGGGTGACCAAAAAAAGGTGACCTCACCCCCCCCCCCCCCCCCTCCAACGATATGAAATATCGATCGGCCAAATTTTCAAATTTTCGGGACAAAAAAAAAGAAAAAAGTGGTTTATTCAAATACGCAGACCGAATTGCGAAAGTTTACAATTACAATGTCGTTTCAAGATATACATTAACAAAAATTGACATTAAAAGGCTTTATATTAAAGTATCATAAATGGAATTAAAAAAACCCGCATAGAATGATCAAGAAATAAGAATTACAATCAATGTAAAATTAATAATAACAGATTCAAAGAAGCTGTTAATGAAATTAGTATTGAATGCCCATGTTGTGATATGCATGAGTCTGGTGATGAATTCCATTATGTTTTTGTATGCCCTTTTTTCAGAAAGGAAAGAGAGTTATATTTAGGTCGCAAAGTAATAGTTAAACGCCCTTGCACATCATACATGTTGAATTTATTTTCATGTTCCGGTATAGGACAGCTGAAGAAATTAGTACTCTTCTTAAGGATAATAATGTCATATTTTGCTCGTCTATATACATGTAAATCTGAACAATCCAATCATATGTCGCCCATAAAAAGAAATGTTACAACCCGAAGTGGTAGGTTAATTAAGCAACCAACAATTCTTGATCTGTAGTACAGTCTTTCTTTAGGTCAAGTATAGTTTTGATGGTTTGTTTGTTCTTTTGTTCATTTTTTTTGTTTTTTTGTTAGTATACTTTTTGTTTTGTTTGTCTTATTACATTATATTCCATTATGTTTTTGTTTGTCCAATGGACGATTATGGCGTATTTTGTTAGTCTGCATATATCTTAACAATCCAATCACAACTCACTTACATGTACAAAAATGAAACTTATAATTTCTTTTTTAGTTAAGACAATAATGTATTAAAAAAAAAAAATGTGTAAAATTATTTTTTGTTTTTATCTTTCTTTGTCTTTGTATTTGTATTTAGATTGTTCATGTGGTATTTTCCACTTTTCATGTATGCTTGCCATATTGTATATGTTTAGCATATAGGCTAGGTTTAGATCATTCCTATTTATCGTTATACTTTTATATTGTTGTTTTGTTGTATTCTGTATTCTTTGTATTATTAAGCTATGTTTGTATTCTTTATTATGTATCATTATCATGACATGTACATGTGTTGTACTCTCATACCCCAGAAGGGGGTCGAATGAGTCAATAAATTCTATTCTATAAGACATGTTGAATTAAATTAGGTAAAATATGAAGATATAGGGAAAAGGAAATATCCAACGATGATGAAGGAGACAGGGAGAGCGAGGAGAAACAAAAGATGAAGAAAAGAGATTTAAACAAAAAAAGGTGACATGACGGAGAAAAGAAAAGACGTGTGTGTGTGTGTGTGTGTGTGTGTGTGAGAGAGAGAGAGAGGAGAGAGATGGAGGTAGATATAGATAAGAGAGAGAGAGAGAGATGAAAAGAGAGAGAGAGAGAGGGGGGGGGGAGAGAAAGGTATTGACATGAATATACAATATAGGATTACAGATGGTAACTTAAACAAGATGCAAGAAATAACATAATCCTCGATATCAAGATAAAAGCAAAGTCCTTAAAGATAAAGACCAGTTATGGTCATGCATGCGATTGCATTGTGAAAGAAACGTTGTGGAATCGATCAGAAAAGGTTGATCATCTAGCATCTAGCATCTGCAAGGTTCTGGAATCATCAAAATGATAAGAAATTTGGCCCATTCTTCGTAAAGTTACAAGCACTATACACAGAAAGATGTATATGGGACTACCCTATATCTCTCACAGACCACGAGAGAAACAAATTTACCAAATATATGAATTAGTAGGCGGTTTCCCGGCAAATTTTGTATCATCATGTATTAGTCAAAACATATTCTTTAACATGATTGGTAATGAGAGCTTCCATTTCATTTTTTGAAATTGGGGCGTTTCCAATACTGGTCTTTATCTTTAAACTTGTACTAGTAAACAAAAGGTTAATGCCTCCTTCTTCCTTTGAATGGATTTCCTATACGGTCTGATAAAAAACGGAATCGCACTATCCCTTAGCCTGTTTCTGAATTTGAATTGTGCCGGGTATGCCTGAGTATATCTAGTTGTACGGGTGTTAGGTTCACGGGTTGGGAAGAGATGTCGAAAGTCAGTCCCTTTTTTGTTGGTGCCCCCCCCCCCTACACTTTCAAAAGACGCTCCGCCGCCCACTATTTACGAGTGTTTAAATATTATGTCATTTCTACTTGTTCTTTTGCTTTATTTTGTGGTAAATTCTGATTTTGTTGCAGCGCTCTGACAAGATGAAATTATTATTATTATTTAATCAATAACATAATAATTTAATATGGAAATATATATTGTAACACACACAAACAAAACTTTACTTTTATACCTCCCACCATGAGGTAAACTGAGAAATGAATTATTAGCCAACCCAAAGATCGAGGAAGCTTTCTTTGCTCCCTGGCTATCACCAAACTCGAAGGATAATAACTTACATTCTCTTCAACTCCCTCCACATGCATCAGGAGCCAACAACAGCTTCTGAAGAGTTATTAAGTGCCTTATAAAAATATTCGAGAGATTGAAAAGCACGATCTTGAAACCAAAATTAATGAGTAATGCATTTCATACCACTAGTCATAATCCCACTCAGATCATATCACTGCAAATCCGCGCGTGCCATTCGTACTACGGAAGTACGTAGTTATCCCTCTCCTCACGATAGATGCTCTTGGCATATGTTTACGTGTCCGGTCCAGTCGGAACTCGAATCAGTAAAGACTCATTCGAGGTTGTTATAAAGTTGGGGTTGTTATCAGTTGGATTTATTTTGTACTGTTGAGATGCTGTGATTAAAGAAGGAGGATGCTCAGATCAGGCAACCGTTACCGAAATGGAGCACTTGTAACTTCAGATGATATTCTTAAAAGTGATATTGATCCAGCGAACGCCGCCACAGACACAGTCTTAGCAGACGGCACCACCAATATTCTTCACGACGATCGTGCCCGAACTGTCGGGGGAGAGTTACCAGCCAAAGAGATGGAAGTGGAAATTCATCGTGAGAAAACTGATCTGAGGCAGCAACATTCGCTGCATCAAACAAACGTTAATATGAATGTGGTGAAATCGGTGATTTTAGTAAATACATTTCTGTATGCTGTCTGTTTTTGGATTCAAATGGGAGTTTTACCGGTACGTACATGTATATTCCTGAAGTTTATTCGTTAGGTTAAAAAAAAAAGTGTGACATGACTTGACAATAAATCCTTGAAACTTGAAGTTGAAGCTGAACCTTATCCCTGATGCAGCTTTTTCAAACTAAACTGGAATGGGACGTGTCGTTTGCTTTTATTAAATAGAAGTTTTATTTTTAATCTTTGTAAAAAATGAAATCAGTGACTGAGAGAGCTTATAAGTAATAATATAATACACTTAAATAATAAATAGCTGAGTTAATTAGGCTCTGCCTGACTGCCTCTAATTATTTTAAGTGACATGCATGACAGTTACAAAGTTAAGATGTAGATTTAGATCATCTAGACCTCTTGTCAATATAAAAAATAAGCAGAGAGTTGCTTTTTAGTTTGAGAATACAAAAAATGTTACCTTTATTTTTAATCTTTTAAAATTACCTGGCCCCTTTTAGTTGTTTTTTGCTTATCCAATGTCTCCATATCTTTATCCTTGGGTTTTTTCTTTATTCTTGATTGATGCAGTATATATATGTAATATTTTTAGTTGTTTTCAATTTATTTGACGGTTTTTAATTTGCAATAAATTTACATTTCAGTAATACATTTTATATATCCTTGTGGGCGAAAAGATCTGTCAATCTTTGAGAGTGAGGGGTCAGTTGCGGCCTCTGATATGTTCATCTTACTTCTACTGCGCTGCTTTTCAATTCATTTTAAAATTTGTATTTAGATGCCTTTTCCAATAATATATGATTTTATAATTCATTCCAATCGTGGAAATAAAACTGAACTGAACTAAAAATAATTTTCTGGGAGGCTATTTAGGTGAAAAAATATGTCGGTAGAGCCTAGATCCTGTACGTCTAACAGTAGTTTGGAAAGTCTAGACCCTGAAAAATGAAAGCCCTTTGATTAGGAAATTATAGAAGATCTATTTTTTTTTTTTATATCTCACTAGTAATTGCAAGGCCTTTCAAATTTCAAAGCCAAGTGAATCTGTAATAATTAATTTTAATTTTTTGTATTCCTTTTCCCTCTCCCTTTCTCTCTCTCTCTCTCCCTCTCTTTCTCACTCCAGTATCTGACCAAGAAATTTGACATGGATATGGTGACCTTTGGGTACCTCCAAACGTTCTTCTCGGGCATCATGCTTGTTGGAGGTCCAATCTACGGTAGATTTGGGGACGTCTACGGAGGACGTGCTGCTCTAGGCCTGGCTTATTTATCTGCTGCTGCCATCTATGGGATACTGGGTTTGGCCAATTCTGCCACGTTGATCTTCATCTCGAGAATTCCTTCCCTGTTTTTGCACGCTTTCCAAGGTAAGTAGCTGCTAATCTGCACCATACCAAATTCCTACCACTAACTTTCTTTAACCCTAACATTCAATGACGTTTCAATATTATGTCTTCTTAATCAATTTAACTTCTCTTTTGTTTATATTTCTTGTAATTGCCCATTTATGTCCTTGTCATTTCATTTGCCTTCTTTAATTTTCTTATTTTTATTTAAAAAAACTTTTGCTTGTGTTTTTTTCCAAGATATTTTCTTGCATTTATGAAAAAGAGGAAGAAGAAGAAGAAGGAAAAAAAATAGCCAATGTTAACTGATGACTTAAGAAAGTATGCTGATTTTTATCTCACTCTTCTCTATTATTTTTCTTTTCTCCATTACAGCGTGTAGGGATATATTTTTGAAGTGTGTGTTAAATATAAGTATGGTTATATTATTATTAGTGTTACAAAAAAAAGCAACTTTACATAATTGTATTTGTATTTTAAGACACGCAGGACCCCACTTGCAAATCTGCACTTATTTAATAAACTCAAAGCCATCTTATTAAATACAAAGAAATGCTTAGCTTTTTAAAGATGAAACTTGTTAATAATGTTATTTTTAAAAAATTATATATTTTTAAATGTTTTTTTTTGTTGTCTTTTCTTTAGGAACTCAAATGGTAATATCTGATTTATCAGATGAAGCAGGAAGAACAGAGGCACTGGGAAGAGTCAGTATGTGTTATTCTATTGGTATTGTGGTAGGGCCTTTGATTGGTGGATGGATCAGCGTCAGTATGAGGTAAGCAGGGGTAGGCACTGCATTCAGGGGTATCCAGGAGCAGATTTAAAGGGGGGGGGGCACAAGTATTCCTTTGTTTACATCCCAATCTGGCTTCCCTTTAAGGGATCGTTTAACAATGTTAAATCTGAGATGCCCGGCCCTACGTGTTATCAGTGTCTGTGATATGGTGTTATATTGAAGCCCTAACAAAATAGCGCTTCAAAATGATCAAGAAGTGCCTCAAAAAAGTAAAAAACCTTTGAGTGACCGGTTTTACCATACTTGTTTTCCCCAATAGACTACAGTCTATTGGGGAAAACACTACAGTGTTATGAAAACCGTTTGGCAAACGCAAAATTTTATTTCTATTTTCAATCATAAATATCCTGATAATCAGACAGGCGATCGGCTTGTAAAAGTCATGGGATTCCTGACTGACCTAAAGGTTTATAATTATCATTGCAGCATGAGCTATATCAAGGAATTTTTAAAAGGATCTAAGACAAAGTTACCGGATCCCTTTAACAAGATATGCCCCTCCCATTGTGTTCTTGTACCCCATTTTAAATTTCACACTTTGCAAATAGGCACTGGAAAAAAATGTAAGCTAAGATTTTGTTTGTGCCAAAGATTTTTCATATACGTGCCCCCTTTTATGCTGCCTCTGGGGGTATCATTAGTGAGATGAACAGGAATAAAGCTTCCCTCCTCCTTCTGAAAATTTACTTTTGAATTCCTTAATTCTACCCTTGTCTGATTTAGCATCTTCAAGTCATAGCTTATAAACAGTTCTGGGTCCATTAATAAAACCTTACAAAACTAGTTATCAATTAATTCCATAGTCTATAGTACATAGTTGATGACTAGGCCTAGGAAGGTTTTTATGACTATGGGCCCAGGACTCTTGCCATCTGGGATATGAAAGCAGGCCTCTGCCCAAAGAAATTTTGGGTTATCTGACATTTAATAGCCATGCAGCTAAACATGTACAAGCTATCAGAGTTAATGTATATGCTCTAGCATTTAAAAAGAAACATGTTTAAAAAAAGTACCTCCACAGTGACACTGAAGCTGCCCGTGTACCATTTACCTAAAACTGATACTTTTGTGGTCACCATTGAAGGCAAATCACACCAATATTGCAAAACAAATCTGTTAAAACAAGTTTTTCAAATAAAATTAATAGGGCTTACACATTTTCTCTATACAATACGGTAAAACCAGAAAATGGTTGTGTCTCTGATAATATTTATTTAATGTAGCACTTGAAGTGTAATTGAAAGCCACCTACATAATACTTTAAGTTGGTTAATGAATATTATCCCTTTTTTATCATCTATTTATGCAGTGAACAGTCTGCAGCAGCAGTTGCTTGCATTGGATCATGTGTCAGCCTATCATTGGTGATACTTTTTATTCCAGGCAACACCAAGCCTGTACAATCTACCTCAGCCAAAGGTAAATATGATGCAGTACTTCATAAATTATTTTGGCCTGTACTTGCAGTGGTTTCTTGTTTAGAGGCTTGTTTTACAGCTTGTTTTTAGGAATTACAATTGGATTTCATATCTAGAAAAAGAAATGGTTCTGAGTAATTTGGGGTCCTTTTTTTTTTACCCATGTTTTGGCACCTAAAGGGCAATACAACATCCATTTTATAGGCAAAGTGTAGGGTCTGGATTTAGGTTAGGAATTCTGTTGTTTTTTTAGGATATCGACTGAAGCAATTGAATTGTTGCTGGAGCATGAAATGGAACTAACCATAGCTCATGTAAGATAAATGATTTGGGTATTAGTTTCAAATTGCTTTTTAAACCTTTTTTTGTTCCTTTCTTTCTGTTCTCACTTTCGTAGACAAGTCTTCCGATAGTGTGTTCAGCATTAAAACCTTCACCCACCTGATGCGTTCCTCACCCGGTGCGGCATTCTTCCTCAGCGTGAATCTTCTTGCAGGTCTGCCGTCGGCCATCTTCAGTTCTATGTTTGCCCTCGTTGTCATTGACAAGTTTGAGCTGACGGCGGATCAGAACGGTTACTTTCTCTCGTTCCAGGGCCTTGCCAGCATTGTAAGTATTGTACTTACAGAAAGAGGGAGAGTTTACTGTAGAACCAAAAATGAATGTAGGAGAGGAGCCATCTTCTTAGAGTGAGACAGAGAAAGAGAGAGAGAGAGAGAGAGAAAGAGAGAGAGAGAGAGAGAGGTAGAGATAGAAAAAAAGGGTTGGGAACACAGAAATAAGAATTGAAAAATATCGTGATTACATAGAGGGTTTTTTGCTCCTTTTTTTTTCTTTTGGGAAAATGCCTAATTCCAGACTAAAGTCTTCCAATGTACAATTTAGCTGAATACCACTATTATGTGTTTGATCCACAGGTATATTTTCATTTGATGGTGACCAAATGGCGACAATTGCTGCAGGTTTTATTTCATCAAAGGTACAGGATGAGGTTCAGGGTTAGGGCTAGGGTTAGAGGTTAGAGTTTATGATAATATAGCGTCCAGGGTTGAATTTAAGAATTCAGATATCACTGTAGGAAATTGACTTTGAGCAATTGTCGCAGGAGAAAGTGTCCTCTAATCACTTTCAAATTTGTGTCTTCCAGGGGATTGAAAGCAACTTAAATTGGCAGATTTAGTTGACAATCTGGCAAGCTATGTTTTCATTTGATAACAATGTTTTTGTTATTCTGCCTTTCGTTTGTTGCAGGTTATGCAGGGCGTGGTGATAGGACGTCTTACAAAGAGATACAGTGAAATGAAGTTACTCCGAGCTAGTGCTATTTTATTAGCAGCAAGTTACATGGCCATGGTAAGACTTTGGTAAAATTTGAAGGAACAAATTATGACGTATGACCAAATTCTCTTCAAAACTTGCCTACTAAACCCCAATTGGGTTGAATGATTAAAAATATTCATACACAACCTCTATATAGTGAAGAAAACCAGTGCACAGGTGACTTTGAACCAGAGGTAAGCAACAATTGGGATTACAGTTCATGAATAAGTTTTAGGTTCATTTGCTGATAATGCAAAATCTTACTTAAAAGGTCTTGAGGACTATCAAACACAACACATGCTTCTGTGAGAAATTCTTTCACATTAAGGCTAAAGTAAGAAGGATACTTCCAACCTGCCCCCCATCCATCACCATGGTTCAGCCATTCCCTTCAAAGCCCCTCTGCACTAGTTGCCCAAGAGGGATTAGACCTCCCTGCAAGGTCACTGACAGGTGGTTATCTCATCAAATCAGCTCTAAATTAACATAAGAAAGAGGGAATCATGGGGGACTAACAGTCACTGGTTAGGAATTGACTGCTATATAAAGGGCACAAATAGCTATAAGTAGTGCAGTGGGACTTTAAGTAAATAATCCATTTGATTGTCTTTCAGTGTCTCGTTCAAGATGTATGGCAGCTCACAGCCGTGCTACTTCCCATGACCTGTGGAAACTGTATTACAACCACTGTGATTACCAGTGTTCTAACCAAGGCCGTCCCAGCATCAGAATCAGGTAGGTCTTCAAGGTCTGGGACATCCCAGTTCAGTAGACCGATGGCCCATGAGACCCAGAGCCCACCAGACCCCACCAGACCCATGTCGGTCTCAAGACTGACAGGTTGGTCTTGCAGGCTGACGGTCTCTTGAACCCTCTCAAATCTAGTTTCCACACTGTAGTCCCTTCTTTATGATGATCTGACATATGCTCCGTTGACAATTGCTCCTGCGACTATTGCGTCAAAGATAAAGATTTAGTTTTGCAATGAGGTTTTTGGTTAGGGTTAGGGCTAGGTTGGTCCAGGATTACAGATCCAAGGAATTTGGTTAGTGGTGGGATAATTAAGAGGTCATTAATAAGACGCATGCTGTCAATGCTCTGTGAATAACCTGTGAAGGCCTGTGAATGAACAATGAGGGACCTTCACAATGATATTCTTCACTTTTACCAACCCGTTTCTTTATTTCTTAAGGAACTGTCCTTTGTCATCTTTGTGCTGTGAATGACCTTATTCATGTATCTTAACTTTTTATTCCGTTATTTCTCCAGGAACTATCCTTGGCCTTACTCATGCTGGCACATCTTTGCTTGGTACCTTGGCGCCGATCATTGGTGCTGTGCTCCTGACTAACCTGGGCTTCCCATCACTTGGTATTACAGGAGCAGTCATCAATATAGTACTGCTCTTGGTTCTCACCAAGTATTAAAGACCAAAATGGTCCGGTGACTCCGGTCTGACCTTGATAACTTAGCCACTTGTTACGGGCAAGTCTGAGATGTTACGTTCCAAACGTTACCAACCACATCCAATATTTGAGTCTACCTAATGTTTGTAGTAATTCAATACCATTCTTCTTTTAGGGGAGTCTTAATCAAACTTATGGCCTATCCAAGATCTTCCCATTGTGGCTGCAGATTGTGTCATATGAGAGATTATATTTACATTCTTTATTTAAGGAGTGTTCAAATAATATGAAACAGTATTGATGTTTTAGGCACACTGACAGCACATGCTTGTCCTAGATAGTGCTTGTGCGGCTGCAGATTGTTTCACCTGTGATAATGTTATTTTTTTCCATTCTATTTTTGTATTTATATGATAGACCAGTTCGTATTTATATTAATAGCCCAGGTAGTAGGTAACAGATGTTACAAATGACCCCAAATATCCACAGATCTTTTAAAAAAGAAGAATCCACTACATTTTTGTCTCGCCTGCGTAGCAAAAAAGCGAGACATAGGCGCCGCTTTTCAAGTGACGGCGGCGGCGACGGCGTCAACATCAAAAACTTAACCTAAGGTTAAGTTTTTGAATTTTTAATATAATTTTGAAAGTATTAGTCCTTAGTCAATGAAACTTGGACTACAGGGTTATCAAGTATCCCCAATCATGTGATTTGAATTTCAGGTCACAAAGTCAAGGTCAAAGGTCATTTCAGGTCAACAGACTTGGACTATGTTGTGGCATCAACATCAAGATTTTGAATTTTAGCATATTTTCAAGTGTTCAAATTCTATGAAACTTGTACCCAAGGATTATCAAGCTTCACAAGTTATATGACACAAATTCCAGGTCACAAGGTCAAAGGTCATTTTAGGTCAGTAGACTTGGATTATGTTTTCACAACTTAATATGAGAATAAATGAATCAATTTTTCTTATTTGAGGTCAGTAGACTTGGACTATGTTTTCACAACTTAATATGAGAATAAATGAATAAATTTTTCTTATTTGTTCATGATGCTTGATCAATATTCACTTCAAAATGCTGATTATATTCAGAGGATTTCATTTTTGGGGGCCTGCTAATAGGCCACACTGCCTATAAATAATCTTCCAACCTCAATTTTTCATCATATCGAATTGCGTAATGCAGGCGAGACCGCCGAGAGCGTTTCCCTTGTTAATATTCACTGCCGAAGAGATGAGGGTGCCTCATGTATACATGTACCTTTGTTTGTCCCTTGAAAAAAGTACTTCATAGGATGTACAACTGGTGCATAAATGAAAGGTGATTACATAACTTTCATGAACATTTATTCAGTATTCGTTTTGATGGGTTTTTCAGTTTTTATGCCTCCACCCATCGAAGGTGGTGCCAGAGGCATTATGTTTTTGGGTTGTCCTTCCGTCCTTATTCGAGCTTTCTCATTAACGCAATATCTCAAGAACCATTTGAGGAATGAACTTCAAACTTGGTGATAGTATGTAACACCATAAGAAGATGTATTTGTATTTGTACATATGTTTTTGTGTAACTAATACTAGGGTAGGACTTTAGCCAATGATGGCGATTTTGCAGTATTCTAGAGAGTGAGATATTTGATTTGATTTGAATTTGTTTATTTAATTTTTCTTCATGGTATTTTTTCAAAGTTACAAACGAATTTTATATTAAAACATGATCATGATATTATACAAATTATATAATCAATACATCATTAACGTATAATACTTACATTGTAATACTAACTTTAAGTAATCATGAATGTAATTGGTCCGAGATACCAAAAGGACACTTAGAAATTTGGTAGCGCTAATCGCCATCCCCACCTTTTGCTTATCTTGAATTGTTTCTAAAGGTGTGGCATTGAAACCTTTATCATGTTCTGCTCAGTCAAGGTCTGCCCTGTACAGTGAGTAGTATACTGCACTGTCTGCACATAAACTAGGTAATGAGAATTATGTTAATGTTATGCACTCAAATAATGAACACAGATCATTGACAGGTATTCTGAAATTAGATTTGTTTTTATTTTTAAATGCTCAAGACATCCACCATAATTAATCTACATCATTCCAGTTGCTAGGTAAGAAATTTATACTTTGGAACATGTTCATATCTTCTGGCTCTAAACTCCTTCCATTTCCCCAGCTTTTCCTTTCTTATCTTGTGAAATCTTGTACGTTAATGTATAATTAAATAATATACCTTGATAAAAGATTGTTTGTACAGATGTATCCTGTACCTACTATACATATAGATATGTTATAATTTTAGTTCAAATATGTATGATGATATGTTATGTCTAATATTTCTATAGTTCTATCCAGAAAATAATACACATATAAATGCACTATTTATCAAGAACAGGTGTACATGTATTTAGAAATGACACAGAAAAATGCTTCTCATCTATAATGGTATGCATGCTTTAAATTAAACTCAATTTATTCCCAAGTCTTAATAAAGTGCAATTATTCAGATGTAGTTGGTATTAACAGCCTTTCGTTTGGTTTGGTCTTTTTCGTTATGCATCAACTATAACATTTACTATGGAGATATCAAATATTGAGGCTCTGCATGTATCTGCGCATACATGTACTTTGATAATAGAGGGGAAAAGTATGGGATATGCATGGTTAGTACAGGATGTCCCTAAATGAAAAAGGAAACTGTATTTTATTTGTCAATTACTCAAGAATTCCAAATTATTTTTCATCAAAATATACATCATTGGAAAGCTCACTTTCTATCATTATTTCATTAAGACATAATCTGAAGTGGTAGTGATAGGATCCCATTTGTCCAAAATAAGCGATTCACTGATACATTTGGTTGATTATGATTTTTAAGGAAATGAAAATTAATTTTGTATTATTGAAAATATGATTTCAAAGCTCAAACTCTCATTTTCCATATGAATGACAGTAGGATCGAGAATGAAGTGGGATTATCATTATGGAGCAATTTACCCATACAAAAATAAAAAGTAGGGAGGTGAGTTGGCTCGGTAGATAAAGCGTTTGCCTGTCAAATCATAGATCATGGGTTCGATTCCAACCCAGGCAGATGACTTAAGCTTGTGTTTTGTGTTATGTGCCCCCCCCCCCCCCCCGTTTCATAAACACAGGCTATGTTGCAGTGGAAACGTTCCATCCATCCATCACTATTTTGGACGTTAAATAGAGGCCCTGTATAGAGGAGAGTCAACACCTTTGCACGTAAAGTACCCATGCACTGCACTATTCCTATAACGAATCCGTGCTAACTCGGACTTCGGGCAAACTCGGCCTCGCTCTAAAAACGGTCATTTAAAAAAATACATTGTCTCTGCCCCTGCACTCCGTACATACAGTGAAAATGTATTATGCATGCCACCTTTGATATATCGTGGCTAGTAGCGATATTATTGCAAAAAATTGTTGCATTAAATGAAAGATGCACTTGATACCAGACAAAAGACAGGAACGAAAAAATGGTAGACAGATATGATCCTGTCACAGCTAGCGCTAGCTTACATCAAATTATCTACCAAATTGGAATCTTGCACATGAAATATGTAGTACCGTCACATCCGTCGTCATTCCACTCGTAGCCGAACGTGACCGTCATCTCACCGCAGTCTTCACCCGAACCACTGTTACTTGGTTGGTTGGAATACCACATGCTGAAATTGAACGGTGATCGGTCGGTCCACTTGAACGTACCCTCATTGGTGGTGTCGTGGCAACCAAGCCATAAATCATGAGAGGTACCCTGAAACATAATCATATATCTTAATAATACTCTTCCTGAGCGTCCTGCAATCAGCTTTAGCACGGCTACAAAAACTAGCTTTGAAAAAGGCGCTCAATTATTCAAGGAATTTCTTCCTATACTGGGTATACAATTTCCTTTACCTGGGTGGAAAGTGGCAAATGTAAATTAATGACATAAGTGCAGTGACTGTGATTTGGACCTTGCACATTGTAGTTTTAGACGTAGCCCTAGCCTGGAACCTTTTTCTTACGAAACTGTACGGCACGTAGTCACGTACAAAGATTTTGCAGGAAAAAAGATCGTAGACGACGCTCTTGTGAAGTTATATCTAGTCTGATAGATCAACTTCCATAATATGTAAATTTTAGTTGTTAAAGTATGTAAATAAAAATCAACTTTGTCATCAGATAGGCTACTTCAATCACAGATGTAAAATTATGTTGAATTTTAGCCTTAAAATGGACTGTACTAAAAGTGCTATGTATATTGTATTCCCCCTGCCATCATAGAAAATATATGACGTATAGACCATAATAACGTTGACACATTTCATATCCATATATCATGGACTTGATTGTGCATATACCCCCTTCACCCTCCCAGAAACAAGAAAGCAATGTTAAATAAAATAAGAATTAATACAGGCACGCGTCACAGATAAGTCAATTATAGTAATTGATAAATTCATAAAGCTCTGCTTGGGCAATAAGGTCCTTTGGCAAAACATCTGTTACGCACTCGACCCAGGTGAAGTGAATGGGAAGAGGTATGAAGATATTTTTGTTAAATGCTTCAGTGCCCTGTCTATATGCAGCTATATAGACCAGAGGCGGGGTAATACTCCAGAGCTCTTTGGAAATGTTTAAAGACATTTTGGCAAAAACATGTATATAATATGCGCTATAATTATTAATTTCATGATCATCATGATTATGATTACTATGATTATTCGTTCATGTTTTTGTTGTTCTTATTGTATCCGTGGTTGGGGGGATGATATGTGCCAAAATATTTTCGGCAATGGATCAAAGCAATCAAGAGGTAGAAGCGTGTGGCCGGGTTGCACCCCTCCCCAAGGGCGAGGCCATGAGAGTTACAGAGCGCGCGAAGTGCGCTCCCTATGGGGTTGGGTGCAGGGAGGGCCCTCCCCCACGAAGCGCGCAAGCTTTGACGTTTCATTTACTTATTAGAGATAGAAGACGATACGTTGGACCGTTCTCGACTCTTAATCCTTGTTTGAATCAAGTTCCCCTTTGACGTTTCATTAGATTATTAAAGAAAGAAGGCGATTCGATATGTACCATCCTTAATCCTTAATGTTTGAATCAAGTTCCCCTTTGACGTTTCATTAGATTATTAAAGAAAGAAGGCGATTCGATATGTACCATCCTTAATCCTTAATGTTTGAATCAAGTTCCCCTTCCTCCGCGCGTAGCGCGGAAGCTCCGACGTTTCATTAGATTATTGAAGAAAGAAGACGATTTCATGTACCATTCTCGACTTTTAATCCTTAATGTTTGAATCAAGTTCCCCTTTGACGTTTCATTAGATTATTCAAGATACCATTCTCGACTCTTAATCCTTGTGTGAATTCAGTTTCCCCCTTCCCGTGCGAAGCGCGGAAGCTTTGACGTTTCATTAAATTATCAGAGAAAGAAGACGATCGTTGTATCGTGTCCTTGTCTGAGTGCAATTCGCTCCCACCCTCCCGCGCGGAAGCTTTGACGTTTCAATAAATTATTACTCTTAATCCTTGTCTGTATTCATTTTCGCCCATCCAGCGCTAAGCGCGGAAGCTTTAGTTTCATTAAATTATTAGAGAAGGAAGACGATTCGTCGTATCGTGTCCTTGTCTGAATTCAGTTTTTCCCCTCCCGCGCGACGCGCGGAAGCTTTGACGTTTCATTTGATTATTACTCTTAATCCACGTCTTAAATCACTTTCGCCTATCCCACGCGTAGCGCGGAAGCTTTCACGTTTCATTAAATTATTAGAAAAAGAAGATGTTCGTTGTATCGTGTACTTTGACGTTTCATTTGATTAACTCTTAATCCTAGTCTGAATTCAGTTGCCCCCTCCCGCGTGAAGCGCGGAAGCTTTGCCGTTTCACTAAATTATTAGAGAAAGAATACGATTCGTTGCACTGTTCTGTACATTAATCCTTGTCTGAATTCAGTTTCTCCACATGATGTACGTATGGAACGTTCGTTCGCAAATCTTTGCATGTGCACCCAATAAACAGAACACTAAAAAGTAACCTCTTTTGGGAGTGTATTTTAAGTGATTTTAAAGTATAGTGCCTTTTGAACTAGATTTAAACGTTATCGACACGTGCCTTCATTTAAACAAAAAAGTTATTCCTGTTCACGTTTTCATCTAACCTAAAAACCACCAGTTTATCACGCGACTGGAGTAACGTGATTCCACTTACCTCTGTAAATTAAGTGTTTATGACCAAATACCACTTGACCAAGCAACGAGTTTTTTGTCCGTTAACCGATGGTGGCGATAAATACGAAATTATTTGGTCTTGTAAGCACCTTTATCGATTGGTTTCACAGGTTATCCAAGGTTGGTGGTAATAATCACGTTACTTACACCGGCTAATCGTCTTATTGTTCTGTCCGTGAATCTCTGGTTATATTAAATTAGTAATTCTTAGGTGTCTTACACACCTCTTTAAATGGTTTCAAAGTTACCATAAATTTCTTGGTTATGATCACGTGGCTCAAGCTGATTACTAATCTAAGCTGTGAATCCGTGATATGTAGGTGTGAACAATTTGTAATTATTGGGTGTCTTAAAACACCTATTTAAATGGTAGTCAAAGTTGCCAGCAGTTCCGCGGTGATAATCTCGTGACTCAAATGGAATATTAATCTAAGCTGGGCATACGTGACTTTTAGGTGTGAAAATTAGTAATGATTGGGTGTCTTAAAGCACCTATTTAAATGGTAGTCAAAGTTGCCATAAGTTCCGCGGTGATGATCCCGTGAGTCAAACGGATTATTAATCTAAGCTGGGCATACGTGACTTTTAGGTGTGAAAAATTAGTAATTATTAGGTGTCTTAAAACACCTATTTAAATGGTAGTCAAAGTTGCCAGCAGTTCCGCGGTGATAATCTCGTGACTTAAACGGAATATTAATCTAAGCTGGGCATACGTGACTTTTAGGTGTGAATAATTAGTCATGATTAGGTGTCTTAAAACACCTATTTAAATGGTAGTCAACGTTGCCAGCAGTTCCGCGGTGATAATCTTGTGACTCAAACGGATTATTTATATAAGCTGGGTATTCCGTGTTTTCCAGGTGTGAAAATGAGTTATTCTTGGGTGTCTTGATGGTTTCACAGTTACCATTTAAGTTCCGTGGTGGTAATACCGTGACTGTTGGCATATTTCTATGTTCACCAGTTGATAACTGACTGTTGGCATATTTTCATTGCACCAGTTGATAACTGGAGTGTGCATATTTCCAGTTGCACCGGTTGATGACTGAGTGTTGGCATATTTCGAGTTGAACCAGCTGACACCAGTTAATTTGCATATTGAAAATGGGGTGCGTGCAGATCTATGTTTTTTAAACAATTTATCTGAATTTACAGCATATTTCTTAATTACTGATGATTTAGTTATATGCAATTCATTTCGAAAATACTACAAATATAAATTACCAGTTATTAGGACATTTCGCTACTTCGTATAAATTACATTTAGTTAAACATGAATAAGGGAAACATTAACTATGAACTAAAATAATTTCAATAAAGTACAAGTATACGAAATTTTTTCGATTAATTAAATTATGTAAGTCTACTTATTACCAATGCCTTTACATTGGAAATACAGACGTACCAGTATTGAAGTATTGTTGCTGTTCAACTGGTTGGAAGTTAACCAAATGTTTCTAATGGCTCAGCTAGACCAGTTGAAGTATAACTGGCCTGGATCAACTGGATCATTTAGCCCATTTCAATTTCCAGGATTACCAGTTGGCATTAAATGGTTCATCAACTGGACCAGTTGCAACTAGCTTTCTCTTCTGGGATGTTTGCACCCACCCCCCTCCCCCAACCCCCTCTAACCCCAAACTACTACCAGCGCGCCTGGACGTAATTATGGAAGATCCAAGACACGATGTTCACAAACGGGATGATTATTATTATTTTAGTTCATTTATTGTGTAATATTTGCGTAATTATTGGGTTGAACGCGGGTTACAGTAACATACTTCCTCTTCGACGTAAATTTCACGTGAATGAAGAACATGATTCATCTCAAGTCAGCCTCGTAATATTCACGTGAATTTCACGCAGATATTTTGACTAAAACTATCACTAACACTTCACGTATTTCTGTGACGCAATAATTTCGTTTATGAAGATGTAATTTCATAACCAAACAAACACGGGAGTATCAGGTTTACAAACCATGGTCTCCAAGGTAGGGATAATCACGTTATTACAATGGTGATATTGCAGTGACAATTGCGTGATTTAGTGTACGTGTGTTTTAAGTTACCTAGTGCAATAAACGTATTAACACATTTACGTAAATGTCAGGTGTTTGAAGAACGTAACTCTCCTCAAGTCGATACCTTGATATTGACGTGATTTTCACGTGATTTTGTTTATTGGGCAGCCCGAGTGAATGGTAGCATGTTATTTCCCGGCAGTGCTTGTCGCAATAGCCCCCCCCCCCCCCCCCCCACTCAGGGGTCGGAATGACCGCAAGCGTGTTACCAAAATGTCCGGTAAAGGGGTACTTTTCGTGCGACAAAGTTCGGCTCGAGAATTGTAAAAAAAAGGGGTGTATTTGACTTTTCACCCGGAGATTTCTTTAAAAAGGGTGTGTTTTTTCTTTTTCTCTCTCATCTCTTTGGACCCCTGAGAAATTATTCCGAATTTAGGGGGTTACATTGAGCATTTTTCCTGATTTAGGGGGTTCTCCAAGGCAGGAAAAGCCCGCGAAAAGCCCGCGAAAGGGGGTTTCGGAAATGTTGGCAGTCCTCAGATAGGGGGTGCTTTCAAAAAGAGGGAACGAGCATATGCGTACCCTAAATAACACTGAGTGGGGGGGGGGGGGCGGGCGCAATAGCTTCTGGAAAGGAATTGTATACTACAATTAGTGTTAACGGCCACTATTTAGGTCCATTAGTGACTATACAAAATATATGCTCTTTCTGGCTATTTGGTAATGTGTCAGTTTGCAACAGAAATGAAGAAACGCGAATTTTGTTGAAAATCATGTGATATCACGAACATTTATAAATCACTTGTATGAAATACGCCAGTGACATAGGCCTAAATCAGCTTTTCAATAAAACAAAAATAAGTTGTGACATAATAATCTTTCTCCAAAAATGAATTTTTAAAGGAAATATCAGGAAAAAAAATGAGTGAAAAAAATAAAAATAAAGATACAATGACGTGAATTTTAAAAAGGGTGAACGGAAACAACATAACAACTAGTAAACTATCCTATAAGTCATACTAATGTCCGAAAATCTTTCTCCTTGTCTCCGATCTCATCACGAATTTGTCACAGAGTTCATCTATGCTTACACTGTCCAGGATTGTCTAATGTTGCAGATTGCTACTTTTGCGCTTCGCGCTTAACATTTAGCTCGTTGCTTTTTAACGCTGCGTCTTGCATCTGGCGCATTGAATTTCTATGATGCTGTTGATTAAACAAATTGAATAAATTCATCAATTGCTGATGAAGCCGTATGAACGAGAATTCAATTTATTCTTGTCTCATATACGGTTGTCACATTTACTTCGTATATATGTATGTATTATGAAAATGAGATAACAAAATGTGTATATTGACGGTCATCTTGCGAGTAATAACCATTAACTACTCTCATCGGGCTCTCATCATTAATTTTGTTTTTGTTTTTTGGAGGGTGAATTATTGGGGGGAGGGGGATGATTGTTCAGGCCATCCCCCCCCCCCCCCATCCCCCCCCCCCCGGGATCGACACCCATGATTACTGTTATTGTTACTATTTTTATTATTATTAAGTCCATTATTGTTACTAATAGTGTACTATCATTAATATCGGAGCACTGTGAATACCGTGGCAGATTTGTAGTAAGTGGCGACGAAATCGTGTTCATCTGGAGAATTGATGGATACGAGATGTCCCAAGCTATCTCTGGCTGTTTCACCCAGGCCTAGAGACGGCACCGAGAATTGGTTGCAAAATTCCTCTGCTTCATGCCAAGTCTTCCGGTCACTGAATAGTCTGTGTTGATATTTCAGGAGAATAAAAAGAAAATGAGGATAAAGAAGCTCTGGGGGGGGGGGGGGGGGGGGGGTTGAAAGAAGAAGGCGAAGGAGGAAATTTTATTGTCATATTGATTTCAAGAAGAAGAAATGCATAGTAAAAGCTGTTCACATACAGAATGATATTTGAAAGCTGGAACAATTACCACAAGCCTGTTATTTTTTAGACAGGAACTTTCGATTTTCACGACCGACGTGATCTACGACGGCATTAAGACCTTCATGTGTGAAGTTGAGGATTACGTGGTCGGCTGATCCTACGATCGCATTCGGGATGAATCTTAGTCTAGTTCTGGACCCTATATTGATTTTTGTTATATTACCGAGCGGTTCTCGAGGGTCGCGCCATCACTAAGGATCGCGGCATCACTCGGCTTAACGCTTATAGTCGACGAATATAGGGTCCAGAACTAGACTAGGTGAATCTGCGTTGTGGTGCTGAAAACGAGAACTTCAGCTACATCATTTTTTTTTATCCAAGGCCCGCGTCGTCGATCGAGTCGCGTCATCGAAACAGTATTTGGTATTGGTAAGCAAGGCACTTTATATTTTCATCTCTTTAGATCACGATGGAGGTCACTTATAGGCATTGAGGGACATATGAATATTGTACTGATCGGCCCCGTCTTTTGCTATGGATGGTCACAGTCCGCCGCGCGTCTTTTTGCACGTGCGTATATATTATTCGCTGCCACTGTCGGGTCCCGGTCGGGTCGTAGGCCAACTCCTGTAATTCACAGATCGACCCTCCTTACGATCCGTCGTGGGACGGTTGGCGCCATCATTAATAATAATTTCACCCTCCTCACAAACATCCTCGCCCTAAACCTGCAGGAATACTTGAGGTGACCTGAGACCTCACACCCCCCTCCTGCCCCCAGGGTCTAAGTTGAATATAAATACTGTGCATGCGTGCATGACCAAGAATACAGTTTTTTTTTTTTTTAGATTGGACGCGGTGACGTCCATTTTTCAAGAAAAAGGGTACTTTTTAAAAATCTTGCTGTACGCGTTAAGGGGTATTTTTCTAGATCCCTGCCGACTCCGAATTGAAAGCTGGTCGGGAAGCCGGTTGTCTATAACTTTCGGTTACGTCAGCTTGCTAATGTAAAACACTTAAAGAAGCCCCTATACCTCACGTACATTGTCAACAATCTAAATGGTAATCCATATCGCACTTCAAAATGCTCAAGGGGTTACAATAATATTTCAAAATACTTGTTTAGGAGTTCATTTTTTTGTGAAATACCTGTTTAGGGTGTGAATTGTGGAAAAAAAACACGCGAAATCCTCATGTGGGGTGTATTTTGGCCCAGGGGTCTCAGTCAAATTTAAATACTGTAAGCATATCCCTTACAAAAAATGAAGGGTAATCTGAATGGTTAATGGTATTTGAAGGGTATTTCAGAGCTTGCTTGCATGAAAATAACACTATTTTATTTGTTTTGCATATTGAAATCTATGCAATTTTGGGGGGCTCTTTTATGACTCTCGGGGGCTCTTTTTGACATTTCGGGGGCTAATTTTTTTCCCCTGATATAACTCAAAGGGTACCTTAATGGTATTTGAATTATACCATTTGAGTTTGATTTGATTTCATTTATTTACCAAAAGCAATACATTTCATACAATTACTTTACATATACAAGAAGAGAAACTATTGGTTGGTAAAAGGGGCAAGATAATAGCACATGTGCTAATCGAGCCTAACCCCTTAAATATAGCTTAACAAAGTATTTTGGTACAATTAAATCGGTTTAAAAAATGTAACAAAACAAAAGATAATGAATTTACTATTACAATCGATACTCTAAAAAACAAGAATACTCAACAATGTCTTACAATATACAAACTAATGATGTAAAATATAAAAACATAAATTGTGTACATATGCAAATTATTTAACTTTTCATTTTGAAACTTAAAATATTTCAAGTCTTCAAGACTTAATAAATTGGGGATTCGACTAAAAGTTTTATCGGAACCAGCTTCTAGATATAAATCTTTGAGAGACTTAAACGTCTCGCCAATCAGATGGCCCGTACCGTAGAGCTCCCTGTCTCACGCATGACGTCATGATTCAGAACCCGTATATTTTGCTTTCAAGCCAGGACTTGAAGTTCTGAGCAGGGTTTGGACAATATGCTTATTGGAGTGTCTAATCAATATTTACACAACCTTAAATCAAACGAATTGTGTTCTCAATGATATAAGCTTTCCTCTCATATATTATTTGCCCATTTTGTGAAATTTCTTTGCACAGCTACTTTAATAAGGACCTCCGCCGACGACTTCACGACAAAGTTGCAAATTAAGGTGGAGCAAACCTGGCTCGTGGCCCCTATTGGCATACACACTGTATATACCTTAAAAATAGCCAACAGAAATTTGTCCCCATAACAGTGTTGATTTTCGGCACTGTAATAGTGTCGTAGTCCAGTAGTTTTGAACACTTGACTGGGGATGCGAAGTTCGTGAGTTAATTCGAACCCTGTTGCTGGACTCCTATCCTTTGGCAATACATTAATCTACATTTGCCACTCTCCACCCAGGTGTTACATGGGTAAATATAGTGGCAGAAAGAACTTCCTTGAATGCAATGAGCAACGAAAGTAAAGCGTATCATAATATAACTTGATTAAGGGTAATACAAAGTTTTGGTAATATTTCAGCAGGATTGGATTATAAAATTTAAAACAAAATTGCAATTATTACCGTTGTAAAACCTACTTTAAGAATAAGCAACTTTGAAACAATTTGGCTCTTAAACACAAAGGATTTCGAGAAATTAAAATATCAAATTTATCGGTGTTCCCGATAATTTTCAAATATCGCCTACGGCCATACAATGGTAGCTGCGACCATAAACATCTTGGCATATGCAGTTCTGATCTTTAATTACCAAACGGGAATAGAAAATCGGTCGATTTCAGTCAAGAAACTTATTATTTTGAAGCTAAAGTAATAGCGATCTTGAGAGGGAGCTTTACAACATAAGGAGTTTGTTATTTACAATTTCATCACTATTGACTCAATTTCAACCGCGACAACGATAATTAAATATTGTACGATCGCATATGCTTCGTTCAATAAATTCATGACCCCATAACAAAATTTGTATTACCTTTAAATAGGCCTATGCTGGGCAGCTGGGGGTAATAGGAAAGTTCCTTCAGCATCTTGAGTGGTAATCATGAGCGCTTTAAGAATATCCAATATTAATGATAAATTATCATACCCCACCCCTTTACAAAATCCGGCCCTGACTGAACCAACCTGTAACAATGACCGTTGTAGGCAGTCCAAAAGGTGGGGCAACAGCAGCTTGCCCGAGTCTCGCCGGGGCGCGAATTTTTTTTCCCAAACAGGTTTACCTATGAGAGTAAAATCCTGCCTCCTGATTGGTTCAGAGGTATACGCATCATGAATATTCATGACTGAGCTGAAAGATACTAGTTCGTTGATGCAGCGCAGCTATAGTACGTAGGCTATAGTACACTGCATGCATGGATATGCATGCGCAGTGATTGGCTCTAAGTTATAACTTTTACATGAGCTATTGTATTAGTATTATGGCGGAGTCTACAAGTACAACTCTCTGCAATTTTGGTCGCTCTAAAGAAGAGAATACCGATTTCTTCTGCAAGAACCATACAAGTCTTTATGTAAGTACCACAATATTATTGTGAAATTGTAAATCGGCCCATCCCATACCGCCATAGGCGAATTTAGTCTATGAATTATGGTGCAGCAGTTTGGTTAAAATTGTTTAGGTCTAGGCCTAAGTAACGAGTAACGTTAGATCTAGCCTAGATCTAGTCTACTGTTAGAGCTAGATCTAGGCTAGTAATACCGTACTACTGAAGTAGATATAGGCTACTAGTACCTACCGTATAGGCCTAGATTTAGGTAACTAGCCTAGCCCTAGATCTAGATCTACTAGTAGGTCTAGTAGTACTACAGTACTTGATTGTCTAGGGTTAATTGTTGTGTGTATGTATGAGTAGGCCTATGAGATAGTAATGTTACATGACGAAAACTCGTTGTGAAACCTCCATTTGACTTTCACCACTAGGCACTAGATCTAGAGCTGAGATTGTGAAAAGCCCGAACATGGCCGAAGTAAACACTAGCGCTGTAATCCACCCCCACCGAGACCTTGATGAGGTGATAGTGAGAGAGAGAGAGAGATAAGCATGATAGAGGGGGAAAGGAAGGGAGAAGGGAGAAAGAGACACATGCAGGGGTTGCTGCCAGAGTTAAAATTGTTGTTACAGTAGACCCTATATCGCCAATTATGGGTCATTTTGCTTCGTTCGAACTTTCATTTTGGTCTTCATCTAACTTATTAGTGACTTTTGGACATGAAAATATCTTAAAACAAGTAAAATACTTATTTCCTACTTCTCAGAGCCCCAGTAAGAGTTTGTTTACACTAGGTCTAGTATTACATAAGATGATGAAGAGTCCAGCTGCAATCCATTAATATTATCTTAATCTCCCACTCAAGAGCCTCAAGGCTCTGTCCAAGTTTTTAACGAAAGAAACGAAATGGGGTAGAGCATGGACCTACTACTATCACAAGTAGTAGTAGTCTAGTAGGTCCATATGGTAGAGGCACCCCACCAGAAGCTCTCTCAAAGTTTTAAAGCCCAAGTCCACTCCAAAAATAACTTACTTTCAATAGAAGCAGAAAAATCAGACTAATTAACCAATCAAAAAAGTCTGAGCAAAATCGGATAACTAATAAGAAAGTTATGAATTTTTAATGGCATTACAAACTTTGAAAATCACTAGACAAATTGGCAACTCACTCATGAGTCTGTGACGTCATGTCCTCACTATCCACTAATTATTTTCTTTATATTGATGATATAAATTTCCTATTTTCTCCTTAAGAATCTTACTTCTTCACACCAGCATCCAAGTTAGATTAAAAGTAATATGTTTTTGTGTGGATGCACTAATATCTAGTAATTTTTTCCAGTTAAATTATGAAAAATGTAAATTTTGATAAACTATTTATATAAAAATCAATAATTATGAATATACAATATTCAGAATATAGTATAAATTCTTCAAAGTTCATAAAAGATTTTGTGAAATGTTATTCACGCAATATGATACAAATCATAACCTGGGCAAAGGCATGGGGAAATCAAGTTTTGGGGAATAAAAAGGGAAATAAATGGGATTAAACCACATAGAGCAATTGAAAGATAGTGAGGACATGACGTCACAACCTGATAACCAAATTGGCAACTTGTGTAGTGATTATCATAGTTCCATACTTTTACATACTTTTTCAAAATTTATAACTTTCTTATTATTTATAAGATTTTGCTCAATTTTTTTTGATTGGTTTGTCTAATTTTTCTGCTTCTATTGAAAGTAAGTTATTTTTGGAGTGGACTTTTACTTTAACGAGAGAAACAAAAATGGGGTAGCCCATCAGATTACATTGACTGCTGTGTTAAAGTGTGGGGTATAGTTTTAATATATGACGAACGAGAGCTTTTCGTCATGACACGGTCACCTCAGCTTGTCACTGTTTCGTTAATATTAGGCCTAACTATCAGGATATGTTCATAATCTGCGGTGGAAAAGGGAACAGACAGGGGCGGCCGAGCGACTTCCAAAGTAGGGGGGGGGCACCAAGAAAAAAGGGCATTGAGGAGAATGGAAAATGGACACTTATTGCAAAGGAAAAAGGAACTTGTTGAAGGAAAAGGGGCACGTGTCCAAATAAAAGGGGCACTTATCAGAGTTGAAAAGGGGAAGAGGCACTTTTACAAATTAATAGGGGCATTTGTCAATGTACAAGAGGCACTATTCGTATGTAAAAAGGGGTACTTCTTACAAAGTTAAAAGGGGCACTTTTCGGGTGCTTGAAAAAATGGGGGGGGGGGTGGGCACTGTGCCAAAATATTCCATGCAGCCTGTTTCCCGCTACACCTAACGTTAGGTCAATGCCTCAGAGTCGGAGGCCCATGAAAGTAGAATTGCCATTTGATTTGTCATAAACATTGAAACATATGGGGGGGGGGCACAGTATAGGCTCATGTACATAGGTGCTAGCTTTACCAACATCAGGTAAATTGCCACTTGGTCTGCACCCACCAGATTTTCGTCTGGTTTCATCACCCCACATGGTCTAATCCTATTTCATCTACTAACCATTTGCTTGGTATAATTGCCACTAAGCCCATTTACCATTTCGTCTAATCTCCAGTTAGGGCTTGTTATGCTATAGTTACTATTTGTTTCTCTAGTCTCTTCCCATACATATTAATTTCACATCATTTGCATATTCATTTCATCCATTCATCTCCACCACATGCATACCAACTCATAAAGCTAGAACAGGTGGTATGTTCTCTTCTCATTTACATATTTCCACTTCTTACTTATCAATGGTTCTCTTCTCATTCATTTCACATCATTTGCATATTCATTTCGTCCATTCATCTCCACCACATGCATACCAACTCATAAAGCTAGAACAGGTGGTATGTTCTCTTCTCATTTACATATTTCAACTTCATACTTATCAATGGTTCTCTTCTCCTTTTTCTTATGAATATTCATTTTTATTCATACATCCTATTTTGGTATTGGTTGATAACGTATTTTTCATTTGAATATAATCTGCATGAAGCACATGTACAGCCTCATATAATAAAACTCATACAGAGCTGGACTGGACTAACACTGTGTAAGAGGTATTGATTTAGAGTTCTGTTGGCATGATAAGTTAGAGACTTAATAGGAGAGAGGATTTGTGAGTTTGGCAGTGATTTGTATGATTGGTGTTTAATTCAGTGATTGATTGGCAAGAGATTAACTGGTTTTAGACAATGTGAGAATCGATCTGCTAGTAGACCAAGTGGATACAAACCACAATTCACTTTATTCTCGCCAACTTCATCTGTGAAGCACAACTTTAGTCAACCATGACTCTTCAATTAAACATGTCTTCTTTCTTAAATTACAGGAATCCCTTCCACCTGACTATGCCTACCACATTTGCAATTATCAAGAGGTTGCGGATGGCAAATATGAGGCAGAATTCAGAATTGACATTTCCAATGAAGATGATGCTAAACTGTGGCTAGAAAAATACCAACAGCTCACCAAAGTGACATTCCGTGTTGGAGCAACAAAGCTAAAAAATGGATGGGTGAATCTGTTCAAGGTTTTTTACCGTTGCCAACACAAGACTCTTCCTCGGTCTGAAACAGCAAGTCAGAAAATGTCGTCAAAGAACACGAATTGTCCAGCGAAGCTAGCTGTGACTGTTAAAAAGATTCCTGGGAAACTAAGCAGGTAAGTTTCAAAAATATAAGTTGGCAACATGATGAAAACAACAAAATCACTATTTAAAAATACAAATTGGCAACTTTTCGTTAAAATTTGCTATAATCGTTCATGTTGATCTCATGTTATATCCATATTTAATTTTGTCAAAATATGAAAATAAACAAAATTAACGATTGTTGCCAATTTGAGGAGCAAAAGCAGATTAATCTAATAGACCTTATGAAAGCTGTGTACCTCTTTGGGTTAACACAATATGCCCCAAATGGTGGAGTTGGGCCCTTCCTGTATTCCAGTATTCAATTGTTTGGTTCAGTTTGTATTGAATAAAAATGCCAGGGGTTAAAAGTTATTGGTTACATTCGTTCTTCAAGATTATATTTTATTTTATATCTTTCATTGTCAATTTCAGAGCCAAAAGTAAGGATCTTCACTTGCCAGCCTATCAAACTGTTGTCAAGATCTCTCACACCCATAACCACATGAATGATAGTGCCGATACACTGAAGCACAGAGATGTCAGCAAGGAGACGATTGAGAAATTCAAAGACTTGTTCTCTAAAGGCCATTCACCTGCATCAGCTTTGAACACACACAAACTGGATCTGCAACTACAGTATGACCAAGATTATGTGTATGAAGCTGCTGACCGTGCAAACTGTCCAGACACACAATTCTGTCACAGGTGAGAATTCATATTATAGTCTTGCCCCCCCCCCCCCCAAAAAAAAGATGTCATTTTTTATGCCCCCACCCATCGTAAGTGGTTGCCGGAGGGATTGTTTTATCGGGTCGTCCATCTGCCATCCATCCCATTTTCGTTCTTGCGATAACTAAAGAACCGTTTGACTTTATCAACTTAAAACTTGGTCCAAGTATACATATAGGATTGACGATGATCTGATTAGTTTTTGGGGTGATAAGGTCAAAGATCACAGAGGTCATTATATACCTGAAAATATCTCGTTCTCGCGATAACTAAAGAACCATTTAAGGGATCATCTTCAAACTTGGCTCATGCATGTATGG